GATGTAGATTGTTAATGAATTAAAAAAAAAAAGAGTAAATAGTAACCTATATACTGTAGCTTATTTACCTCAACACAAGCTCTTGGATTACTGCAACTCAAAGGGCATTCATGTTAGTGCTTACTCTCCTTTGGGATCTAGTCAGTCTACTTTATTACAAGACCCTGTATTGAACACGATCGCTCAGAATCGTAACAAGTCTGTCGCTCAGATCCTTCTTTCCTGGGGAGTTACTCGAAGCAGTGTGCTACCCAAAAGTGTAAATCCCGAGGTAAGGTGACACATGATTGTAAATCCTGGAGCTAATGATTGTATCTATTGTTTTACTGCAGCGTATCCAATCTAATATTGATCTTATTGAATTGAACGATGAAGAGATTCATCAAATCAACGAAATTTCAAAGACAACGACAAAAAGATTCATTAGACCTACATGGGGTGTACCTGTGTTTGACGAAGATTTTGAATAAAAACAAGCGTTCATATTGAAAATAGCGTATGTTTTATTTCTATTAAGAGAAACAGGGAGTTTCGGGCGAGATCATGGGCACCGTATTATTCTTGAGAGTGAAGGCTCTCCAGAAACTAGGAACGGGCAAGTTGCGGAGTGCAGCAGGAATTTCATTATACAAGTCCTTGGTTATATGCTTATGTACTCTCTACAGATAGATCAAAGTAAGTTTACTGCGCAAGCTTATTTTTATTATTATTATTACCTTGGGCACTTTGCCGCCATTTTTCGTCGTACGGTCTTCTTCATATATCTGGCGCCAGAGTAAAGAAACGGTAGGATCGCGCGTGAAAGGATTATATTCGAGCGGTTCAGTCACATAACAATTCTTGTTATCAACCAAACCTTCTTTGGGATCCAAGTTACCCAAGCTAATCACATTAGGATCTAAATCTTCGACTGCACCAAACTTGTTACTAGACACGACAATGTGCCAACCAAGAGGAGAGATAGCCACAGAGCTGTCCCACACGGGCTTTGGACTCGTGTAGTTGGCGCGAGCTGTGTAAAAATCATAAAATGTAATACCCTCATAGAGCCAACCGCTCAAAGGTGCGGGTGGAGACATCTCGCTGCCAAGGAACCGGTACAAGAAATTATTATGAATGACCATATTGCTGACTTGTAAGAAATCCGCGTGGACAGCAGCATACATCATGATGCCTGTGTTGGCAAGATAATTAGAGATCACATAGCCGTCTACCTGTACTAAAAGTTAGAATGAATCACCCCCTGATCACTTTAGGGGCACTTACAGCAGAAGTGAACCGAACAGCACCACCAAAGTCAGCAATCTGCCAGCCAGCAATAAAGTTTTGGTAAATGTAGGTTTGATTAGAGCCTACAATACTGATACCATGATCTTGGTGAATCTGTCTTGTATCAGGGAATGTTGCGTTCTGAGTGACGAGTTGATATCAATTTAAATTTATACTAATTAACCAATTCTTCATTACCAGAATGTTCTCTCGAATTGTGATATCATTTGTAGAGTACAGCTGGACACCTGAAGCAAGGAAGCCTTGTTCGTCAGGTATGTCTCGATTGAGACAGTTGTACACATATCGCAAGTTATTATAGGATCGTCTTAAAGAAGGATTGATGACGGGTTCCAATTCATCAACGTTACGAAGGTCAATGCTATCTGTCAGTTAGTACATTTGTAAGCTCGGAAATTCTATTCTTACCCAAAGATATTGTTCGAAACTACACTTTCCTTTTGTGTCTGGAACAAAATGCCAGTGTCTAGAAGAAAGCATATTTAGGGTCATTTTTTTTTTTAAAAAAAAAGAGTTACATACTAGTCGTGTTGTAAGAAGGATATCTCTCTGTAGCAGCATGCAATTCGTCACGAAGGAATATATTACCATCTACAGCAAACAGGAATGTTATTTACAAATAGTAATTATCTTGGTGTATATATTACCGATGTAGAGCTTATTGCTCTGTTTAGCCACAATCGATCCACGACCTCCATTGAAAAAGACATTGTTGTAGATAGCCACCTCATCCTCATTTTGTTGATTGTTGACTTCAATGCGAACATTTTCAAGCACAAGGTCTTGAATGGACCAGTTCTTATTCCTTGAGTCAACTGTTGAAATGAGATATAAGACACACATACATATTTTTAGTCTTAAAAGTGTACCTTCAATGATTGCTGGTGCATTCTTGTCTTTTACAGTAATGATAGTAGGATATTGTTGATTGCCTTTGAGAGAAACACCTTCTTTCAATAGAATTGGTTTATCAGAACGTATAGAATAAACGCCTGGATCAAGATAGACAACAGGGTTTCTACGACATCTGTTGGTCCATTGCCACTTTAGTATAAATTATGCTGTGTTACCGCAAACGATTTGCTTCGTTGATCAGGTCCTGCAATCTGTCAGAATAATCCCAGGTAGTATCGTATTGATTTATATTGGCACACCATTTAGCAGAGACAATGGTTGTCCATAGGATTAAAGAAACAATAGAACTGGTAAGTAATTTCATTAGAAAAAAAAGGAACCTGGTTTCAATGCTTAGTCAAAGCCTCCTTCTCTTTTATACTCACTCTGTCTTAAAAATGTGCTGGAGCTGGCGGGAATTAAAATAAAGTTTTCTTTTTTTGTGAAGCTTTTTTTTTGTGTTTCTCTTCCTCTTTTCTCTCTCTTTTTTTTTTCTTCAATGATTGATTGTGAATGTCTAATACAACCTATCTGATACCCAAAGATCTTCCGCCTTCGTATGACTCGCTTTATCAGTCCATTCCTTCATGCTCACAGGCCAATTACTGTCATGATTCAGTGATAAGACGATTTTTTCGTAAACATGGGCCATTTTTACAAAAGTTTATTGCAGCCGTTTTTGTAGCAGCCACTGTTTCAGCAACCGTCATGCTTTTGTTATGGCAATTACAAAATCTGACAACCTCACCTCCACCCAATACTGATGATCCTTGGTTTGATCCTTATCAAGAAGAAGAATATTGACACTGTATAATGTATGTTTGTAAATAATGTATTCATAAAATAAAATAAAAAGCTCGGGTGACTTTCTCTTGTTTTTTTTTTTTTTTTTCTTGCAAACGTATATAAGAATAAAAGATAAATAATGAATGAAGCAAGTCAATCACTATTTCCTGAAGAAGAAGAACAACAAGAGATTGTAGAAGTAAAGCAAAAACAATTGTAATGCGTGATCAAGACAACTTATTGCTTATAGTACAACTATAAAGAAAGTATAGTATTTGCTATTGATTGTCATCCTACCATGTTTGAGCAGGACATGGAAGGAATTGCCCCGATCCAGACCGTGTTTGATCAAATAAAGCGTATTATGCTCTATAAAGTATTGGCCTATCCTGCTGACCAAGTGGGTATCATATTATTCAACACAGTACGTCTTTCCCCGGTAGCGTGTTGATAAAATATCTGAGCACGCTCTTTTTGTATAGGAAGAGAAACATAACTCAGCAAATAATGAACGTATTTATGTATTGCAGAGTTTGGATATACCTGATGCTTCAATAATAAAGGAGGTGGATAAATATATCAAAAGTAAGAGGGTCAATAAAAAGTGACAGCGACAAGTGTAGCTAATACCAACATAGATATATCATTATTACGAGATAACTATGGTAGCAGTAAAATAGAATGTCCACTGGGTGATCTCTTTTGGGTTTGTTCAGATGTATTCTTTGGAAGGTAATGTGCTTAAATTGATATAATGAGTACTGATATATATATATATATTTCTAGTGCACCCAAATATGCTTCCAAGCGAATGATACTCATAACCAATAATGATAATCCTACACAGCACAAGCCAACATCGATTCAACGAGCCAGGGTAAAGTAGAAAACGAAAAAGAAATGCATATGACTCAATACGTCTTTAGGATCTCTTGACGATTGGAATAGATATTGAGCTGTTTTTCTTTAACAAAAGAGATGCTCTATTTGATCCAAATTTATTTTATACAGAGATTGTTAAAGACTCTGTGCATAGATTAGAACATTTGGAAACTATTGTGAAATCAAAACAAGCTAAAGGTCGATCCGAGTTTCGTATTCCTTTCCGAATCAATGAGGGTCTTTGTATAGGAGTAAAAGGATACAACATGATCATCGAACAGAAAGTCAGCCCACACAAGTATTTCTATACGAGTGGAGAGCAAGTAAAAGAAGCGAGCACGATCACGCGCTGGAAATGTGTCGACACAGATCAATATTTAACAAAAATGGATATAAAGCGTGCTTATGATTATGGAGGAGAAAAGATTGTGTTTACGAGTAAAGAGATAGAAGAGATAATCAACTTTAAAGAACCAGGTGTGCTGCAACAGTGCGTACTGATAGGAGAGAAACTAACAAGTATTGTTATTATTAGGTCTGCTGTTATTAGGGTTTAAAAGTCTAAAAGAACTAGAACCACATTATCAAGTAACGCATCCTTATTTTATTTATCCCGATGAATCCGTAAGTTCCGAGATATTCCACGATATACGATAATTACTCAATTTTCTCCCTTAATTAGCAATATGAAGGCAGCACGAAGTTATTCTTTCACCTTTTGCATGGAATGATCAAAAGAAGCAAGATCGCCATTTGTTCCTTTATGAGAAGAAAAAATGTCGCTCCCAAGCTAGCTGCTCTTGTTCCTCAGGTAACTAAAAGCAAATGTTTACCCTGATTATATAAACAACCCTTATTTTAGGCGGAACGTAAAGATAAAGAAGGAAATCAAATTGAGCCCCCTGGATTACAAATCGTTACTTTGCCATATGCCGATGAGATACGACCTATTCCATTCTCATCCACCCCAAAGGGTAATTATATGAATGAACGATAGATAACGATGACTCACTTGATATGTATTTAGCTGACACGAGTAGCATTGAAGCATTTAAGGAACTTGTCAATAAATTTACCAGCAAGGGATATAATCCGAAGCATTATGAGAATCCACGCAAATATTTATATTTATTGATATACATTGAATGATAACCTATTTCTGTAGATCTCCGAAACCATTACAACATGATTCAAGCTATTGCACTTGAATTAGAAAGTAAACCTCAATCAGATCAGCTATTACCTAATTATGAATACATTGATCAGGTAATAATAAACTGAAAACAATGGATGATGTGCTTACGATTATCAATAGGAAATGGCACAAGATATAGAAACAGCCAAGCAACTGGTTGGTCTAGATACCATTACAGAGCACGACATCATGTCTGCTGGTCAATCAGTAGGCCAAAAGCGGAAGGTAAACAAACCAGTGGAGATAAAAAGATAAAAAAATTTTTTTTGGTTAATGATTAGCACATTTTTAGATAGATCAAAGTGTCAAAACTCAACAGAGCAGCAGTAGTTTGGATGATAAGTTTGATAAAAAACTAAAATTAGACCAGGATGCGGACACTATAACAGTCCTTTGGAATAACAATAAACTTCAAAAGGTAATCATAGAATAGAAAGAAAAAAAGAGGGCTCATCTTATTATTTAGGCTTCAAATGCTTCACTCAAGGAATTTCTTAAAGATAATGGAATACAGCCGAAAAGACTTAAAGCAGACTTGGTTGCACAAGTCGATGAATTATTGCATGCAAAATTCAATATTAGGGACTGAGCGTTATTTCTGCTTCTATCGATAAACTTTTCCGGAAAATTATATAAAAAAAAGGGAATACGGAACTTAAAATTTGATAACAATCTATAACATTGATCCGAATGTTCGAGCGACTATATATAAAAGGGAAGCAATAGCATAAATCAATTAAAAAAATTTTTTTTCGTTTTTCTATTTTCTACATTATTGAATGCCGCATTTAAAGACGACACATAAAGAAGATGCAACTATTCTATTTGACCTAGACCCTTCATTCACTGGGATTATGCGTGGCGTAGCCAATGATGAATCAGAAGGTTGTTCTGTCATTGGAAACTGTATTGTTCAAGTTCATAAACCAGTAAAGATTAGAAGATTCATTGTTTGGTTAGAGGGTCGTTGTAAAGTCAATATCAAGGGCACTGGTTACAGTGTCTCCAACACAGAAGGAACGGAAAGCAGAACGCTCTATTCAAAAGATATCCACTTTATGGGTGATGACGGCTTAGTACACACCTTGATGCCTGGTCAATACGCCTACCCTTTCCGATTCGATCTTCCAGCCAATTTACCTGCCAGTTTTCGTGGTAAGCGAGGTTACATTCGATACAGACTACAAGCCGCCATCCATCGCCCCAATATGTTTTCAAGTGACATCCAAGCATCAAGAGATATCCCTATCAAACGCTGTTTACTCAATGATCACACTAATATGGCAGATCTTCGAGAAACGTACGAGGGCAAGCAACATACCAACAAACTACGCTATTCAGCGACTGCGCCTAGCATTGCTTATCGTGAAGGTGGTCTGATCCGACTCAACATTGAAATGCAGCTTCAAAGACCAGAAACACAATCTATACGAACAGTGACGTGCGCATTACGCGAGCGTATCCAGTACCGAACCACAGATAGCAATGCCAGCACCGTTCTCAGCAAGACGGACAACCTCTTTCCTTTGGGCTACAGCACGTTCTATCCAAGCCAAGCTCCTGACTATGATCCCAAGGCAAAGGCAGACTATAATGCCCTCTTCCGTCTCTGTCCTCGTGTCAGTGCCGATTTGAATAGTCGATTGATGAAAGTGACTCATGCACTTGTAGTTAATATCATGCTTGACGACTCACAGCCTGACGATCAAGAGGAAGAATCTGCTTATGAAACAGAAGCAACTGATACCGAATGGAATGCTTTCTCTGAAGACGAACGACATGTCGATACCAAGCATAGTAGCCCATCCTCCACTCCTCCTGGTTCTACTCCTGGTTCGCCCATTCTCAGTCGTTCCTCTTCTGCTTCCTCGCTTGTCTCTATTTTTGCCATGGGTCGCTCTCATTCTAATGGCTACACAAGTGGTGGCGAAGAACTGGCCACGATTCCAGCTATCAAAAGCCATCGAAAAAAATCTTCCAAGAAACACAAGGATTCGCATGGTTCTCACTTGACTCTTTGCACTCTCGAGGTACCTCTCGTCGTTACATCTCGTGAGCATTTGTGGAATGAAAAGCCCAACCCTCCTGCTTACGATGAGGCCCAGGAACCACCAAGCTATGATACTGCTCTTGATGATCTTCCTCGTGCACCCACTTATCCAACAGATGATTCTGGTAGTGCTAACAGCAGTGCTCGATCAAGTCAAGAGGAAATTCGTGATCATGATCATCACGAAGGTAGTAGTAGTGCTCGACCATCACTTGTGTCTCGATCTTCTTTTATGGAAGCAAGACATGCTGCTGCCAAGGTTCTCTCGGCTGTTTCATCCAAAGTACCTCGCTCTCACGTATAAGGCATATCATATACATATAGACTCTGTTTATTTTCATGCATTATTGTAAATATCATTCACATTCATAATTTTATACATTTTATATATACAATTGATAATACAACTCTCTTTATTACTATTATTATTATTATATCCCTTTTCTAATAAACAATTTAATATTGTTCCAAGCTAAACGCTAATACTTCACTCTTGACTCTTCCCTCTCCAAATCCATGTACTGGAATCCAAGTATGTTCTGCTTGCTTACCATTGACCTTGCAGACGGGTGGTACAAACGATCGACTTGTATGCAGATACTTTCCTAATGCGAAATAGACTTTATGACGTCTAGAATTTTCCAATCTAAAGCTAATCTTGATGTCATCCTTTCCTTCTTTTTTAAATGTTTCTAATTCAGCGCCTGGCACAATATGAGCTGTAGTGCCTAACAACAAGAGACTGTCACTCTCTGGAGGGATATGGAGAAACGTCTTGGTCTCGTGGATCTTGAGTTTGACCTCTGATGAAGGATGATAAAAGATAGGTTCGTTATAGTCTGAATAGGCCGTGTGCATCTCACTTGAGGTAGCAAACAAGAGGTGAGTGTCTTTGGAAGATTCTGGTAAATAAATCACTTGTTCTTCCTCGGTTAGGTTACTGTATGTTGTATACTGATTGACCACAGATCCGTTCTGGACCGAGTATTGGACCATAAAGCAGTCTTTTCTAAACTCGAGCACTCTCTTGACCTGTGCTATCACTTTGGGAAACGTTGCTGCATAAAGCAAGTGTTCATCCTGACCGTACAGTGCTACATTGTCGGAGCTAAAGACAAGGGCACCAAGGATGTTGTTAAGCACACAGAGAGTGTATCGTTCGCTGGGTGTCAGCTTGTTGTTTTGGTTACGGATAATCATGACATCTGGATCATTGCCGAACATTCTATCAGACATGGACCATCGGCTGAGCGTTGAAACAAGCGAATTGGCTGTTGATACGCGTTCTCGAACGTGAAGTAACTTTAGCTTGCTATCTATACACATTTATTTTTAGTAACAATTTAAGAGATAATAATAGCAACATTACCTTCCCACCAAGGAGCAACATCAGAGCCGATACGACAATAGTCTACTTTTCTAAATGCACAGGCTAAGGGAACACCACAGCCAAGGACAAGCTTGTCTGGACCAACAAGATCTCGGATCAAGTCCATAGCTTCCCACATGATCTGGCCTCTCGACTTTCCACAGCGAGGAATCATGGCAGCAGCAAAACAGAAATCAAGCTTGAGCATGTCAAATCCCCAATCGTGCAAGACGGTGTCAAAGACTTCTTTTAGATATAGACGTGCTCCAGGATGATACATGTCCAGTGCATAAAATCCGCCCCAGTTAGGTCCAGCCACGACAGGCTTCTTTGTTTCAGGATTGATTATGAGCCAGTCTGGATGCTCTTGAGCCAGACGACTGTTAAACCCAACCGCGTAAGGAGCTAACCAGAGTCCTGCCTTAAATCCAGCGTTCTTGATCTTACTGGCCACAGCCTTCATGCCACTTGGAAACTTTTCGTTAATTGATAGCCAGTCACCAATCGCAGTCTGAAATCCATCATCAATTTGGAAAATGTCGATTGGATACTGAAATTGCTTGAGGGCCTCCACGTTTTCATTAATCACTAGCTCGCTCACGTCTCCATAATAGTTGTACCAGGATGTCCAGCCATTCACGTGACGCTTCATGTTGTTGCCTCGAATACATCTGCGGTCAGGGTAAAACTCTGCATAATCGTCCCAGATGGCTGCCTCTGCGTCTAATCCTTGCGCCATAAAGATGCGTACGAGTTCAATCTCTTCATCCTTGTCAAGTCGCATTCCGGACACGTCCTTGTAGATGCTGAGGGAATTGCTATTAAAGTCACCGATGAAGTAAGTATAGCCGTACTGTTCGGACACGGATCCAAAAAAGGAAAGAACGTTCTTCATGTCTCGAAAGTGAGTGTAACTACTTGAGTGAATGACGCCTCTTTCGCCAGAGTGCTGAAATATATCATAATCACTATGAGCAATAGTCAATATATAAAGTATTACGTGTGTATATTGATTTTACCCTTGAAGGTTCAGTTGTGTATACCAGGCAATAGAGGATCGAATAGGGTTAATCTTGTCATTCTTTGTCATTTCTCTTGCTTGACTCCAACTTTGAAAACCATTTGCCAACATACGCTGGTCTTGCAAGTCGGTCATAAATGTTGCTTTGAATTGAGCAAGTTCGATGGGCTTTTTCGCTTTGACGCTAAATGACAGTATATAACCGCCTTTATTATTGGTATGAGGAGGGATCTTTAACGTGACGTGAGCAGCATCAGTCGAAAACGTGCCACCAGGTTGGATCAGTTCGTTTTTGTGCTTGACAAGTTTCTTGTCTAACTTATAATAAAAGCAAAGTTGTGCTTTAGAGTTTTGAAATGAGGTTGGAGAAAGGTTCATAAGAGAAAAAAGAAGGTAGTAAAGCCATTGAAACCCAGGAGTGAGCTAGAACAAATAAATATGTGCTTTATTTCTCAAATTTCCTTTTTTCTTTTTCCGTCATAACTGAGTCTACCAGGTCCTACAGAGAGGAGAGAGAGTAAGCCTCCGGTGATACTGAGACATTGAAAGAAATCATATTTGAGAAATTCTCTTTGATGGGACCTATGTGCTGAAGACCACCAGTTATTGACAAGGAGATTGATGATACAGAGTAAGGCAACCAACAGTGTGGCTGACCATCTGGCTTGAAATCCGATAATTATCATGGCGCATGCAGCCAATCCGACGAATAGGATAACTCTGCGTAACATACTCCACTCACCATTGAGAATAAAGCCAAGACATAGAAAGACAAGAAGGATACGACCGGCGAGCTGATGATATTTGTGTTTATCTATGGGTGACAGTTGAGGAAGAGAAGCAAACATTAAGTTTCTTGACTTCTTTTGATTCAAGGACTCTGTCATGCATAACAGTAGACCACCTGTTACTGATAGAGTTCGCAACAGAACCATCTGATTTATGGTCAATAAGTCATAGTCATCATACAAATTATACGTTTTTACCACATCATTTAATAACCCAAATGCAAATGCTTGACATAAACTTAAAGCCACTAATACTGCAGTTGATAATCCAATTCGATTCTTTAATACTACACATGTTGCAAATATTGTCATGCACTAACAGATAAAAGTTAGACAAAATAGGTATGTGTATACAGGAAACACATACAGATAAATTGACGGCTAAAAATGTAAGTGTTACAGCCTTGGGGATATGTCGAACCCTTTGAAGATAAAATGCCTGATCTTCCCACTGCCAGAATGTTCGTAAAGCATCTTCATAGAATGTCCCAACAATCAATAGTCGACTTAGAATAGGCAGGTATTTCATAAGAAAAAAAAAAAGATGTAATAAACTCTTTTGTTTATTTTTATCTCTCTTTTATATTCACACAGTAATTTCTTTATCAACCAACTTTTTCTTGTTCCTCTTTACCCCTTTTGATAAAATTCCTTTTCTTAAATTGACAACGCATACCAATACTTTTTGTTGTCGCGTTATTTTTATAAATCAAACTCAGCCACAAGCTGCCTTTATTTCAAGAACAAAAAGAAAATTGCTGGTCGTACCTACATCAATTCTCAGTTGACAAAATTTATTATAAGCTCTTCGAATCACGTTTTTTACTTGAAAATATATAACAAGCTATCTCTTTTTAGCCTTTTTCGAGACGAGCACCGTGTACAACCAAATCAGAGTCTCTCCTTTGAACAAATCGAGGAGTTGTACCAACAATTTGCTACTCGGTTTCGAATGGAAGAAGAATACAAAAACACTATCAATTTATCCTCCCAAAAGTTATTTATACAGAGTTAGAGGAAAAAGACTTAATGTGCAAATTAGATCTGAAAGACATGTACGACGTGGAGCATATACATCCAGACTCAAGGCGTTTCCTTACCTTCAAGCACAAAAATGTAGTACAGAAACTCATCTTTTGGTCTTCTCAGCTTTTCTTTTTTGCAATCATAAGAGTGGAAGAGGTACTGAAGCTATAATTGTTGTTGGAGAGCTAAAGTAATTTCACATTTTGGTACTACAGACCAGACAAAGCTTATCACTGACGAAACCAGTCTTGAAGAAAACAGTATTATGCAAGAGATTGAACGCTCACAATGTGTGCTTCAATCTGATGAAAACATCAGCCCTTTGTTTTCAGCGTACTTTAGACAACATCAATATCGTTTATATTGAGCTGAAGCTCAAGTTTATTAGCGTGACAAAAGTTCAATCACTTGGGAACGACATTCAACCATAAAGTTGTCAAATTGAATATGTAATATGTGGTATAATATATATCTTAGTTTAGAAGAGTCTTTTAAATAAAAGAAATTGATCCTACTAAGGATAAACAAAGCAAGCATTACACACACGAGGTGATTTTTTTAGGTCTATACACTACGCGTCCATAGGCTCTCTAGGTTTTCTTCTTTTCTTCTTCTCCTTCAAATTGTAGTCAGCCAAATACAACAATGCCAACGACAGAAAAGGGACTTATAAAGAATACTTATACTTCCCAATTGAAGTGCTACAATGACGGAAGAAGAGAGTTCTTCAAATTATATGCTTCGATGTACAGTAATTACATGTCTTTAACAGATACAATTCTTTAAATAACACGTTTCACACTCATATTTGGTTCTCAAATTAAGGCATAAGAAGCAGGCAATACTTCAAAACACAAGTAAGCAAATTCATGAAACAGGATTATACTGTCAATGTTTGATCAAACGGTAATTTTACGCGGTAGCAAATACTATTACCACGCTGATACAATATTGATTTTTTTTCTTTTTAGGGAAGATTTATCTCAAAAGAATCGGCCAGTAGCAAGAAACAGCAAAGTCCCAGCTCTCTGCCATAGGTGACAAGGCCAACTTGAGGATGTGTTGTACCTCTGCCAACAAAACTGACGATTTAGACAACATTGAGTTTGCGAAGAACATTAACAAAGGCAAGCATTACGCCAATCATGCCAGTCATCGAAAGAGTTTTAAGAGAGGCCAAAAGCTAGCGGCGATCAACTATATTAGAAGAAGGGAGATCTCCGTAAAGCCCGTGCTTTTGCTGGAGCGACTAATGGGCTTTGGAGAGAGGGATTATATCAAACCGTAACCATTTCACCATGATGGTGAATAATGATACGACCATGGGCCACTGGAAGCATCGACAAAGCTCGCCATATGATGATAGTAATAATAGGTCTAGGTTCGTGGCTCTTGTTTCTCACCGTCAATGGAAAAAGACGCAGGACCATGGAAGATTGAGGCCTTTCCGCTTATCACCAGTGGTTCAACAAAGCAATGGACGAAGCTGTAGAGAAATTTCCACCATTTCAAGATGAAGGGTGCTTCGACGTTAGAGGAATTAATCGAGATATATGGATAATGTATTGCCTGGACGATATATATACTTATTCGTCAAGACATATATATGATTGGGAGAGAGTCTGTGTACATCGTCAGAGGCTACGAAAGAGAAACTAGCCTGGTGAACCCAACAAGCAGAAATGAAGAATAGATATCCCGATTAAGATGCCTCCAAGGATCTTGCAGAAACTAGACCTAAGAGTTTATACCGAAGCCTTGGATACAGGATAGAGAGGATCGCATCCAGAGTAATGAAAGCATCCAGATTTTGGATAAATGAAGAAAAAGAACATTATGTTAATGTTCGAGAGCTAAAGGCGATTCTATTTGTGTCACAGCCTTGTAATGAGTTGTATTCTCAGCTAGGAAGGGACAGGAGGGAGGAGGAGGAGGAAAGAGCCAGGGCAGGGTAGCGCTAAGGACTTGAAGATTGATCTACAGAGAATAGGGCTTATGAGGTAAGAGCGAAACGATTGGCGGTAAGTATAGATGAATAGAGAAAAGGGAATAGACGGATAGCCTAAGGACAATAGGAGTAATGTGATAATTAATTAAAGAGACAAATGAGGGCATTTATATAGAATTAGAAGAAATGTAACATGATAAAAAAGAATCAGCTTGAATTATTGAGGCGCTAATATTATGCGTGAGTTTATAATGAATCATGACACAAAAGTACAACTGGGAGATGAACTACCTGGAGTTTCTTCATAAATATGTCCTATACTCTCAGGGACCACTCTTCAATTCCGTAAGGAGATGCACCAAATATGAAAATATAGAGCAAGAAGAGCTTATCTTTTGGTAGTGAAGATACAGAAGGATGCCTTTTTTCGTACTCCCAATAGATCGTCAACACATTTAAGTGAAGATCTATTATACACGAAATGCGTTCCGTCAATGAAAAGAGTCCGATGACATAATGCTCAAAGACGATACATGGATGTGAATCTGAGCCTAGAAGAACGCTTGTGCGTTTGTATAGCGCAGCCTGATATTAATATATGGCATCTCACTAATGAGAGCTACCTATGTGAGGTTATATAATGATAATTACCCCCAAACTGCTTTATAATGATGCACATGAAGAAATCACTAAACTATTGTTTCCTTGGTTACCAGAGACAAAGAAAAGTGCGTCAGATGAATATATTTTATTAAGCTTAAAGAACAAAAAGTCAAAGTGTGGGAGTAACAAAATGAAGTTTATATTTAAGTAAGCAACAGTTTGGTTTTCAAAGAAAGAGAGAGAGAGAGAGCTTTGAATAAGCAGAGATATTTTTTCTTTTGATAGTCAAAATTAGAGAACAAATAGAGATTTCTTTAGGGGCTTTTCGACGTGATAAACATGGGACAGGCATTCACTAGCATTTTCAAGCATTGATAAGCATGAGTAGGTGTTTGAGTATTTGTTTGAGTATTCGAGTGTTTGATTGTTTGAGTGTATTGATAAGCAGTAGCAAGCATCTTTTGAGTATTAGCGAGTAGCAGAGATTTCTTTAAGGTTTCACCCTGTGAGAGATCATTATGATAGAGTAAGATGCATCGAGAACCATGAAATAGAGTCAGCAAAAGTGAATTTTCTAAACAACGGCATTAATTATATGTCCTTTGGGATCACCCAAACGCTGTTATACCTTTTCAACATAGGGAATAATAAAAGCACAGGAGAATTTTTAAAAGAGATAAAGAATGAAGAAAAAAAGGAAAAAGGCAAGAATAATTGTCTCTTTTATAGTTGTTTGTTTATGTTAAACATGTTATTTAGGCTGAAAATAAATGAACTATTCCTCTTTTCTCCAATAATGTATGAATAAATAAATAGATCATTCTCTATCTTATCCATATTAGAACATATCCGAGAATCCGAACGCCTCCCCCCTTTTTTTGCAAAATTTTTTCACGCGTCCTTTTCTTTTGTATGGCCGCTTGTTTACAGAAAGTCGACCTCACGCACACATACACACACACGCATAATTTTTTTATTATGATCGCTTCACTTTTCTTATTTTCAATATGTGTTTTTCTATTTTTCTAGCCGTTTTCTTTAATAATGAGTAAAAAAAGTAAGGTGAGAATTAAATGTACAAGGAAAAACATTGAGAGAGGACGGTATCTTTAAAAATACAGCTGATAGTAAACAAGAAAAAGAAGGCTTACAGTTGTTATTTATCAACCAAAGAAAGAAAGTCAATCATGATTGGTATATTTGGTTAGCCACTATGACTTTCTGCTAAAAAGCACCAAAATCCAATCGTCCTAATCTTCATGTATCAAAGCCAGTTTATCAAACATGAAATGTAGGTGATTGAATTGCTAGCTTAGGAAAACATAAAAGTGTATAATGTTTTTATTTTTATTTTTAATGCACATGAAAAAAGGTAAAAGGTAAAATGTTCATCCTCTATTTCCTGTTGCTATATCCTGATCCTTTTCCTTTCTGTTTGCGAAATGTAGACTAGCATTAGCAACAATTATGATTGTCAAAGATTTGATGGCTAGGTGTTCATTTTTATAGTAAAGCAATGGATCTTCCAGGTCTGCATAAACTATTTCAAATGGCGCTCGAAACAGGATGGGTTACTAAGGTACACGACATACTTCACTTAATCACTTTATTGGCACGGATACTCGCGTATCATGAATGAAAGGTATTATAAAATGTAATTTATTGGACGATGAGAAAAGAGGCTTTTATAACCATGAAAAAGAATATAAATACATAAATGCATGAAATGGATAAAAATAAGCCTATATGGAGATAAAATAGTAGAAGAATAACTCAATATGCCTTAGAGAGGAAAGACGTGGTGGCAGTGCGGTTTGTCACTGAAGTAACGAATGCTGTCATCTTGTTGATCAAGTGTAGCCTTTACTTTGTCGGCCCCTATGGTTAATATTGCCAAAGATGCTTTTACTTATAAACACAGCAGTGCATGCATTTGGTATTCGCTTTATTCATGATCAAGTTTAATGCTGATTCATTTCATTAAAGATAAAATGTGTTTTAATTAAAAGCTCAATCTCGCTTACTTTATTTTATTTTTATTTTTTAGTTGAAAACCTTTTTCTGATTTGGTCGACGAAATAAGCTCGGACTCAGTTGCCGCCTTGAGTCAAAGCTATCTTTTTCAATTTGGCTGGACCATCCTATGGATACCTATGTTTAACCGTACTAGGATTTGATGCCTTGGCTAGCATCACAGTGGTAAATCCAGCTATCCACATGTGGGCGATCATCGTCTTACACACACGGCTGCTTAGGTCTTTCCTCTTTCTATTGATGATCCGGCCCCTTTTTACCCGAACAAGCTCTCACATAAGTCCTTCGCAAAGTCACCAGCGATAATTTTTAGATGAAAGCAATAGGTAGATAGCCATTATAGGGTCATAAATACCATAACTACACACTACACATCCAACTACTTTTTCAAGATATTGATCAAGACCCTTTCATCTTTTGGTTCTCGTCTCGACAAAGATTCATATGATTCATATAGCTTATATAATCCAGACGCTCACCATGACACTACTCGAGATTCTTTTTTTCCCCTCTCCTCAGTTTGTCGTAGCTCTTTGAATAGGTCCATTAATTGATTTCCTAGGCGTCCGTAGGCAGGCTCAATAAGTTTCAATTTATTATCACAAAAGAGTGGAGGTGATTCTGATAGGTAGGTTCATGTTGTTTAACTGAAGGGGCTAGCTGCATCTCATGCTTGCCGTAACGTCTTGTCGATATGTGAATATAGCAACAAAGAGGAGCTAAAAGAAAGACTGCTAGCTAGTAAAAGTAATGTTGAAGGATTTGAAATGATACAAGTCTATTGATATTATATGGTGCTTTAACAGATTACTTCATGTATACAACTTTGAGCAAGGCATTATACTAGAGCCATAACAACTCTAAGAAAAGGATTATTAGAAGGCCTCTTGTATTCAAATGGAATGATCACCCTTTTTCGGAACAAAAAGGGTGCTCATATAAGTACACTTCACAAGTACCTAAGCTGGCTTTGCTCAAAAAGGTAAGGCGTCAACTATTTCAAGGTAAATAAATAAATAAAAAAGGAGTCATTCATTTCATTCTAGCGTTGTTCATTTTTCTTAGAAACATAAAGAGTTCGCAAGCCCTTATCTTTGTCTTTTTCATTTATATCAATCCTAATAATAAAAAAAGCATATTACTTAGAGAAGAAAAATAAGAACCCTTGCTCTCCCCCCGAAGCGGGAAAGACCAGCTACCCGGCACTTCAACATCCGGCAATATTCTAGAAGCATTCCTTCAATCTTGGAATTGGGCAAACTATAGAGATTGAGTGTAGAGAAAAAAAAGTTTGGAATGGAAGTCTCCTTTTATAGTTTTTGGTTTGTTTACATTGTGACCTTGAAAAGCGTTCCTGAGTTAAAAAAATTCCTTGGCTGCATGAATTATTTTTAAGGAGAATGCTATTCCTCATTCCTCATTGGATGATTTTTTGTAGTAAGTTTATATAGTAGGACATGTTATTCAAGGCGTAATAATAAATAAGCTTCTATTGAAATATAGATCTGATTGTTAATTCGTAGTTGTATTGTATAATTTTTATATAAAAAATACATTTGAATACTAGCAGCTTAGCATCGCGTCAGGTTTTAAAGAAAAGGAGGTGTAAAAGTGGCTGGAGAGATTCTCTACAGTGCTTCTGCGTGATGCATGAGTTTATTATACAAATACTTCTCCTTCGTACGCTTAATCTCCAAGCTGTGTACATCGCGATGGTATATGGAGATACAGTATGGAAGATGGTGAAATGAGCATCATTTTCAAGATGTTATACTCTTTCTTCATCCAAGCAAAGTGTAACTTATTACGTTAGCCTGATCAAGCTATCACAAAATTGATTGCTGCATTTGGACAAGATCAGGGAAGTTGATCTACAAGCCACCTATTATGATACCCTTTCTGCCTGACCAAGACCTAAACATAACATTGTGATGAACTAACAGCCTGTCATATGAAAAGAAATATGATATCCGACCCGACATAATCATCTCAACACTGATATAGCACGATTTTGGTCATCCAATTAGTTTGGTGAGGTCAATCTTGGTAATAGCGCAATAACCAAGCACTATTTTTACATGGGGCGATCTTTTGGCAGAGAGTATCTTCTTCTATCACTGTTATTGCCAGTGGCTCCAGCAATTTACTATTTGATAACATTCTACCTTCACTGCTGCCTTCATCTATCTCGAGTGCCATAATCCTTACGTTTACCAGTGCTGCCCCACTTGCACCGTCTTCGAAGGCGCCGTCGTAGAACTAAGGAGTTTTCCTTTTACTTGTATCCACTAGATGTCAAACGAAAATTTCAAACACAAGATTATCTTAATTCAAGATACTTCGTGACAAATTTGATGATGACTATAGATTTGTACTAAAGCTCATACGACATACAAATGTTATCAAGATTTATCTAAAAGACCCATGAAGACAAGGAGCGTTCCAAGGACGAATCCAATTACTGAAATGGAACAAAACAATGTGATTGTTACTGGCTTGCAAAATCAGAGAGTAAATGGCAATGCTTGCAGCGAAAATCTTGAAGCATACAGTTCAAAATGGGAGGTGACCACAATGCCTTCAAATTCTGTGACAATTTTTTCTTTTTTTGGATTTGCGCCCATAGACTCTGGATTTATTTATTTTTGTCTAGTCTTAAATGTCAAGGCATGAACTAAAGCTTGGAAGACGTTTGAATGATAAAAAATCTGTATCCATCTTTAGAAATGTCGTCTATTCAATAGACAGTTCACTTGAATCAACTACAAGAACACGCGTAAGAAAAGATTGAAATAAAATGAAAGATTTAATAAAAGAGAGACAATAGTTGATCAACCTACTTGAGAGCAATGGTGCAGTTTCCGCAGATAACGATAATACATTCAACTTGTACGTGTCTTTAGAAAAGAGTTTAGATCAGCCTAATGTGCATTCTGTCACTGTATGTTGACTCTTTTTTCTATTTCTACAACTAAATTGTTTTTATTATGTGTAGCCTCTTTGGATAGAAACAGCCATTACTAATGGATTTGTACATGAGTAAAGGACTATTTTTCCCCTTTCTGTTTGAATATATTCATTAACTCTTCTTTGTTAGGACACAATATTACTCACCATCCAAACCTAACCAGTTCTTATCAGGTGTTGTCTTGTTTATTTTAGACGTAAGTGTTTTTTTTATTGTTGTCTACTTTTACAAGATATTAAAACAGCGGGAAAAGATATCTGAAGTAGACGTCCAAAGATTGACTGAAGAGATAAGGGAACATGGAGGACAAGTCCGTAATGATCTGACAGAAGATATCACACACTTGCTTTGTATTAACCCAAGAGGAGTAATGAATTAGAAAACAAGGAAAAAAGAGGAGGAACAGCATTAACCAATGGATTATAGGCAGAATATCAACACTGTATAGACCATCGCATTCCGGTAGTGTTACCACAATGGCTAGATGACTGTTTAAGATTTGGAGAAAAGATAGATATCACTTCATATCGGTTTCCAACTCCCACTGTATATAACCCAACATTACCTGCAACCATTCATCCATATCCAAATCAAGATCATCTAAAAGATGCTACAGATTGTACAGTTTTAGCAGATCAAGTCATATACTTTGGTACTGATATCCACGTCAAGGACAATTTTAAATCTCGATTGATTCAATGTATAAAACGTGCTGGAGGAGCAGTATCAACTGACTATGATACCCCTGTTACCATTGTCATCTTGAAGCATCGATCAACAGAAGAAGGCATTCAGGCATTTCAGGATAACAAGACCATTGCAAGCCTGTGGTGGCTAACCAACACACTAGCACGAGGATATGTGCTGTCGCCTTTGAGTACTCTTCTGGACTATCCTGTTCCACAAGGAGGTATTCCCGGTATGGACCATTTACATGTCTCTATCACAGGATACAGAGACGTGCCCAGAGACTTTCTTCGAAGGCTCATCATTCATACAGGCGCCGTTTTCAATCCTTTGATGGACCAACAGGCGACACATTTGATTTGTGGATCGAAAAAGAGCGATAAATATAAAGAGGCACTCAACAGAAGCATGACGATCGTCAATCATATCTGGCTTGAAGAATGCTATCAGCAGTGGAAGATATTAGATTGTGGTCACAAACGATATGGATATATTCCAGAAAAGAGTAACGTATTAAATCAAACAGTGGGTAGAACCCATCTGTTGCATGATAAAGCAAAGCTCTGGATGAATCCTCAGACAGTGCCAGATTATTCAAGGTCTAAGCATATTTATGAAATCATCAATGTTAACGAAAAGGGATCCATTGATATTGTCAATCCAAGAAAAGCAGCAGTCAAGGCAATACGTGTCCTAAGTAACATTGTGATGCCTGATATGAACGCATATGAAAAAGAGGTAAAGTCTTCCAATTGGCCAAGTCATAAGAAGCAAAAGACATAATGCATATTGTAAAAGAAATAAATATAAATAGTTTGTGATTTATTTCTGCAGCCATTTTTTCTTCTATCATTGGGTACGTTTATATAAATGTGCATGTGTGTATATGTGTACATGAAGGTCTTATTGTGGAGTATAATAGTTACCGGCATAATTCATTGATTGCTGACCATAGCCAGCGAATGCATCATAACGTGGTTGCTTTGCATAAGGATTATTATTATTATCATCTCCATGTGGGCGCTTTAAAGCATTTGGTCCTTCATTTTCTGATTTAAACTCTGAAGAGACATGTAAAGACACTCTATTCAGTAAATGAACATCATCACCTCTTTCCATCAAATAACTCCTATAACGGTTATTAATGATTTGCTGATCTTCAGCTGACAAAGATTTTCTTGCTTTTTCAAAAACATTTATAATACGCTTATTGGCTTCTTTATCAAACAATCCAAGTTCAAAATTGATATAATTTATCCAAAAGTATTTGTTTTTGGCGTATGCACTAGAATGGGTCTCATACATTTCTCTTATCTTGTCTGATTCCATTTTCTATAGAAAAAGGGAGCGTTTAATAATGAGTATGCATGCAGCTTCTAACTTTATATGAACCTGTTGTAGGTATTTAATATACTGAATAGTCAAATAGGCTCTTGCAGATTCATCTAGATAGGCTGAACTGATATATTGACCGATGAGAGATTCAAAGGTATCTGTATTTTGTCTACGCTCGAAATGGACATAACCTGTAATGGCTTCAATATGTGTAGGAGCTAAAAGAAAAATGTTAGATGATTGATTGCTTTGTGTATACGTTCATTACTTGATTGCAGTACTGATGTGTATGTTGATCTTGCTTCATCTATGTTTCCTTCTTCCTCCAAGACTAATGCTAACGCAAGCTTGATGTGTATTTTATCTTTTGATAGGAACGTATAAGCTGCCCTTTCATATGCAGATTTGGCTTCTGAGATCAAGTTATTTCTGGCTAACCATTGCCCATATCGTAACCAAAACTCTTCATATTGCGCCTAAAGCAATATTAGTTAGTATATATACAATCATACAACGCTCTACTTACGCATGGTACAAGGCATCGCTCATAGAGTGCTCGAATACGAGCGACGTCGCCCACAGATTCCTCAAAGTCTAAATACTTGTTCCAATTTTGAAGCTGAGGCCTATCTAGCGGCTTGATATGAAAGTATGAACGTTTAATCTCTGCCTCATACACCCAGCGTTTATTTGTTCCCTCTTGTGTTTCCTTGTATACTTTAGCTATTTGCACGTCTAACTTTTCTCTCAGGGCCTTCTCAAGAGCATCCCCTATCAACTCTCCCTTTTCTGCCTTAATCTCTGATAAAAATTGCTGCAATGTAGCATCATTGATAGCTTCAGACGGCTTTGTATTTGCACAAAGTCCTCTCCATTTCTCATAATAACGAGCATATTGATGCATTGGTATGATCACAATACGGTTCATCAGTTCAATTAGTTTTTTAGGGTCGGATATTCGTTTCTCTACAAAATCAATATATTTGTCCCAAAAAGGATGAGCTAAAAAGTCGTATCCAACATTCGCAGCGGCTCGTTCAAACAATCTGACGTGGATATGAATACTAGGCTATTTTTTTTTTCTTTGCTTCCCTTTTACCTTTCCAGTTCTTGGTTGTCTGTTGTTGTGACTAATTTAAAATCAAGATAGTGATTCCAGAGATCAATCGAATTATGAATAGCAGCTACTCCTCTTTCAAACGTCTATAATAAAATGATTATTATGGAAAGTGACTTTAGTTGGTACTTACTCTTTCTGCTCCTTGACCACCGCGTGCAATTCCTTCCCAGTCAGCATACTTTTTCCAGTAGCCGAAACAGAGTGGAAACTTGGATAAAAATGCATCATACACAAGTTCCAAGTTGGTAATATGTTCAGGTGGACTCGTAGACGTAATCTCTGCTGATTCTGCAACGCGAATAAGTTGTTCCCAGGAACTAAAATCTTCAGGTGTCGCGTGCGCAATTTGCCAAAGTCGATCCCATTCTGCGTTTCCAGACATTGTTGAGAATAAAGAAAGAGAGAGAAAGAAAATAGAGAAAGAGAGAGAGAATGGAAGGACAATAAAGCAAAGAAAAAGTGATGAAAAAGAGAAAAAAGCCTGGGATTCAAATGCCGAAACAAAGAGAGGTTTAGGAAGAACAGCACTATTTGAACACGATGATTGTAAGGCGTTGACTTGTCAGTCAATAGCAAAAAAGTTGCTCTATCCTTCATCTTAATAAAGCACCATGATTATACACAAAGCGGATCTTATTTGATGGATTAACTATATTGTCTATTCCTCTTTTGCTTAAACAAAGCGTGACTATTGGGGCATTCGTTCACTTTTAGAACCCAGAGTAGCTTTAACTTCTTCCATACAGTTTTTTAAGCAAAGTGAAACGATTCAAAAAAATAAGTTAGACACTATATAAAATAAATGAGACGTCCGCTAAAAAGATTTGAGGCAAGCGAGTGAAAAATGAAAAATAAATAGACAATTTTATTTTTTGTAGACACATGCCAAAAACTTGTAGACGAAACGAATTATTGTTCAAAGACTTTTCTGTATCATGGATTAATGTAGCGGTAACTTCAAAGGATTGGTTATTTTCTTGGTTGGTCTACTACTAGCTGATGAAGTCGCCTTTCTTTTGAAGCCAGCAGAAGGAGATGCGTTGAGTCTGCAAAGGCGCTCTGGTCTTTTTCCGTTTTCACGCAGCCCAAAAAGGATGTGCCTGAAATTTAAAGTGGCCACCATATCACGGTTCCAAAGGTGATGACGAGAAGTTGTACCAGCCATGGCCTCCAAACATTGTTGGTTTTTGCACCTAAATAGTAAAAATAAGAGTTGGGTTTATAAAGTTTTTGGCATGTGTCTACAAAAAATAAAATTGTCTATTTATTTATTTTTTCATTCACTTGTCTCAAATCTTATTAGCGGACGTCTTTGTAGCGGACTGTATTAAAGTGAAATAATACACGAATCCTGACAACATTTTCAAGTACAGGTTCGTCCGCAAATGCCCTTTTTTTCAAGTAATAGTGTGTCTAAGAAAAGGTCATGTTTAGATGCAATACAAATTTATAATATCTTGCAATACTTACTGGCTTTGCTCTTTTGTTTTGCACGGCGGTGGCGAGGGTATAGGCGTTAAACAGTGATATAGTCAATACCAGTGGGTTCGGCAGCGATGCGATCAGCTTGCTAATAAAAAAAGTAATTAATGTTAACGGGTCAAAAAAACATCAGCTAGCTCTTATGTAATACCTCTTTTGCAACGGGGCTGTAGGTTCTCTTTTATGTCAGCATGTTTCCAGTTCCAAAGTTGACATAACAAAACCTGCTACTGAAAGTAGCATTAGGTTCCCTTTGCTTTCTTTCACTGCGCTATATATAGGAACAAGCTATTATATTGTTCGATTCTACCACTAAAGTGCTGAAGCGCCTTTTAATACCGTTACCTTTAACAGATGCTTTAATATTGTTAAGTCACTGAGTAAAAATGTTTAACTAAAATATTTGGTCAACTTCTTCAATATGCCGCTTCAGTGCATATCGGCTCAGGCTCCAACTTCACCGTCATCAGTGTCTCCATTTACGACAAAAACCGCGGCACAACCTATTCAAGATTCAGAGAAGGCATGGTTGTTAATGTAGTTGCTATATGCTTATTGATTTCCTCTCAAACAAAGCTGTGCTTGCTTTGGAAGGTTTATTTATAAAAGGAAAATAAAGCGCGGCTACGGAAGCCTGTACCACATTGGAAGTAGGTATGGATCCAGCAAGGTTTGTCTTGGGTACAACAGACAATCGTACAGTTGCTGTGAAACCACTGTAAGCGGAAAATCGAACTATTCTTAAGTTTTGATTGTAAAAAGCACGGATCATATGCCTTATTTTTACTTGTTCTCAATAAAGTCCGACAGTCAACTGAAATGGGTCAGGCACACGTCTGCATATATTTTTCTTTTTCTTCACTAAATATGTCTACAGACAATAAAGGGCCAGACTCAAAGGAAAAAGTAATACTAAAGGCTTAACGCTGATTAGATAACCAACCTTTTCTTTAATAGATATTACTCGAACCCTATAATTACCTAATCTCTCATCCCGGAAAAGACGTCCGAACGAAATTCATTACCGCGTTTGACGCATGGCTAAATGTGCCAAAGGACATGTTAAAGATCATCACCAAGACAATTGAAATGCTACACACAGCAAGTCTAATGTATAACTACGAATCTTACTTTTTCTTTATATGAGCTCACCTTTTTATTTAGGATCGACGACGTGCAAGATGATTCACACTTGAGAAGGGGTGTTCCTGTGGCTCATCATATCTATGGTATTCCTCAAACGATCAATACTGCCAACTACGTGTATTTCCTTGCTTTGAAAAATATTATTCAGCTCAATATTCCCGAAATGGTTAATATCTATACCGAAGAGCTCATACATCTTCATCAAGGTCAAGGCATCGAGTTATACTGGAGAGATAGCTTAACGTGTCCAACAGAGGAAGAGTATATTGAAATGGTCAACAACAGTATGTGTTTGTTCTTATCTAAAGCAACAGTTTTTTCTTATTTTTTTTATAGAAACAAGCGGTCTGTTGAGACTTGGTGTAAGATTGATGCAAGCTGCAAGTAAAAGCCAAGTGTAAAGTTACCAAAGAGAAATAAAGATAGAGTATAGCTAACCAACATTTAGGGATTACACTCCATTGGTAAATATCATTGGTGTTCATTTCCAAGTACGTGATGATTACATGAATCTTCAGTCAAATACAGTAAGTGATGACCATCAATTATCAAAAAGTTTTGCTCACTCTGCCAAAGTACACCCAAAACAAGGGATTTTGCGAGGATCTGACTGAAGGCAAATTCTCTTTTCCAATCATTCATGCCATAAGAGCAGATCCGAGCAATAGACAATTATTAAATATCATCTCTCAAAAGCCAACGTCTGTAGAAGTAAAGCAGTACGCATTGGAAATCATCAAAAGGACAGGTAGCTTTGAGTATGTTCGCGAGTTCCTTTACAAGAAAGAACAGGAAGCATTTGCAGAAATCAAGAGGCTAGGAGGAAACCCCTTGTTGGAAAGAGTAATGCAGACATTATCCGTGTCAAATGAAAGTAGCAGTAACAGCAACAATGATATTTAAATAAAACTTGTATTTCATTTTTTATGTATACTAAATCCGCGCACATAAAGAAAGGTTTATGTTAAACAAGGACGTAAGGCATACAAGAGATCTGAACTAAAGGCATCTTCTGAAAATTTATCACATGCTGATGCTCGAGCGTTGGAAGCCATTTTTTCATATTCTTCTTCTGACAGTGACAATGCTGCATGCAGACAATCTGCAAAACTGTCAGCTGAATCTGCAAGGTATCCTGTGGGTCTTTCATCATAACTAGTGACAATATCCAGTTTAGGTCCTCCCGAATTATGTGCTACAGGGATGAGCCCTGCTGCCATATACTCTACAACACCGATGCCGAAATGTTCGTTCCACATTGTATGTAGCCCAATCTTGGCTGTTGCTAAAGTGGACACCAGTAAGTCATAAGGCGCATTGATTTCAAATCGAACAAAGTCCTGTAATAAATTAATATACGGAAATGGGTCCTTTGCATTAATAGCATACTTGGATATTTAGCTGTTTCGCTAGTTCACGTAGATCATCTATTCTCTTTGCATCGCCTTCATTTCTTGAACTTCCGATCAAGACAAGCTCTACCTTTGTGTCTTTCCACTGTGAATATTTTTCAAATAATCGTGCCAAAGATTTTAATTGTAATGCGTGATCTTTTTCAGGCCTAAACTGAGCAACGCTAACAATCATCGGCTTCCTTCCTTTCAGAGGTAATTTGTTAAGCCTCTCAGTATCACAGGGTGGGTAGATAATCTCTGCTTTAGTGTGCCACAACGAGTCAATATGTCCTTTGGTCCAGGTTGAGTTGACAGTGACTACCTGTGCAAATGATCCACAAAATCCATACAATTTAGCAAAGAGTCGATAGTATCTATTCTTTATTAGAACATATGTGCTTGTGTTATATAGACTTACATCAATTTTCCAGTTGTCCAAATAGTGCTTTGAGCAAATCTGATATCATTGTTGTATTGAGCCTTACGCTCATAGACACGATTGACCATATCTGAGCTAATAGTCGGATAATGAACGTAGGCTGCAATTTTTATATTGGCGACATAATGTACTAAAGGGAAAGTGAAAGCGTAACCCATGGTGTCTGATATAAATTGTCAATGGCTGTTCTCTTTAAGTACTATATTTTTTTTATACCAAAGAACACATCGGGTACTAATTGACTGATCGCTTCAAATCCAAGAAAGATTGAACCTAAACTCTGGAGGATTAAAGTAAAACGAGGGTATCTATGATAAGCATAAGTGATTAAAGAAAAGAAAGCAAATTCTCAATATTTTACCTGTCATCTTCCACGAGGTATCTTTTCCTCAAATATACAAAGGCGAGTCGAGATGGATCAAGCTCAATACTGAAACCATTCTAAAAAAAAAAAGAGAGATACGGTTTATATATACACATATATGTATCACGTATGATTACCTTCACTTTTGCAAGTATTTGCTCTTTGGAGGCATCCAGATCGCCAGTGTAGACAACGCAAATAACATTCCGAAACTCTTTTTGAATGTCGCGAACACATGTCCACAAGACACGTTCTCCTCCGCCTCCTGCATTGCTAAGAGAATAGATGAGCGATTATGAAATGAACTAATATAAATGTTACCAGTAAGGATGAAATAAACCTAAAAACAATGGTTCTTCAAGACGGACTGTTGGTTCACCTAAATCGCGTATAAGTCTTGCTCTGTTGGCGTCTTTTGTTGATCTGACATAAACATTGAGTGCAACCAAGAGTAACCACACTGCACCCAAGATGGCCGTAGCCCAAAATAATAATCCCAGAATGAGATTCATATGCATTCCGAAGCTAAAATGAGACGATTCAAAAAAATAAGTTAGACACTTTATAAAATAAATAAGACGTCCGCTAAAAAGATTTGAGACAAGTGAATGAAAAAATAAATAAATAGACAATTCTATTTTTTGTAGACACATGCCAAAAACTTGCAGATTGTTGTTATAGAATGAAGATCATAATTTCCATAAAAGGTAAAAGTAGAGTCTACGCGTAATTAATAAGGAAAATAAAATGATATATAAGCAGTAAGCAGGTACCAAAAGTATAAGCAGAGCCTTCCTTTTCATTGTCTTTCAAATATCTAAATTCACAAATCCTTGTTTATCCCTGTCTCTTGTCTTTGAAAATCTACAAGTTATCTCAACTCATCATCTTTTTTGTAATTAATCAGCTGGGCATTTTATACTATTTAGCATTCTATGCCGTACGTATTTAAGTATAATTTGACAGCTATGTAGAATTGTCAACTCATCTTTTTCTTTTTCTTTTTCTTTTTCTTTTTCTTCATGAAACTGCCTTTAAAGACTGTAACAGTTAAAAGCTCCATTACTGGTATAGGATGGAAACCACAGTATATCTCACCACTCAAGACGCTTGTAACCCACACGTTCTCTTTTTTGAAGTACATCTTCATTTAAGAATTGGAACATAACTCTGCCTTTGACTTGCAGGGCTTCGCCAACATTGACTTTTACAGAGAAATCTTTTTATCACTTCTTCAAAACTACAAGCCAAATAAATAAAAAATATCATCCAAGCCAAGGACCTACCGAGAGCTTATCAACAGTCATCGAGACATGTATTTTCAGTATTGCTCTTATGAACCAATGGATTTAAAGTGTGCCCAACAAATAGCCTCATATAAAGTAACAAATATAAATACTGCGTACCTGAACGGTGTCTCCTCACTTTGGAAACAAGTTACGCATGTTTTTGAACATGATCTTGAAAAAGGATGAACGAATAAAGGCAGTAAAAAACAAAGTGAAGAAGAAGTGTTGGCTATAGTGAAGACGATCGTGGAACAATGCAACAAAGTCAAAACGTATATTTCGTCTGGAAAGATAAATGATTTACCAAAAGACCTGCTGCCTTCTCAAGATGTCAACATGGTTCATGATATATTTAGCTCTTATCCTCCTAACTATCAGTTTGCGAAAGGCTCGATATATCATGACTGCAAAGTAAATGCCTTGAAGCATTTAAAAGCATTTTACAAACTATCAAGTATGTGTGAAATCATTCAAGGAAAATCGTTTAATTGCTTTCCGCTGAGGAGGACATTCATTTCATCCTATATGACTATAGATACGCTTATCTTAAACACGTAAATTTTGAAAACCCCTGTCACCAGCCATTTGGGCAAAGAATAGTACGGGCTCCTGTTCTCAATGTCGCAGCAAAGGCAATGAAGCCACAGAATGAAAGAAAAACAACGAAGCTTAGGGGCATGCTGTTCACTGAGGGTATTGGTGTGTCTGTGTTGAAACAAAATGATGATACGAAGAAAGGCGGTAGTGGTGCTGGTAGAAGAACGAAAGCAGTGGATGAAGAAGATTTCAAATATGTAGAAAAGTTGGAAAAAGAAGAGCTATTGGCTGGTGTCGATAAGTGTGTGTTGATAGATCCCGATCGGCACGACATGCTATATTGCATGCATGGAGAAAGCACCATAGAAAGCAAGAAGACATACAGATACACAAGCAATCAAAGAGCAATTGAAACAAAGTCAAGAAAATTCAAGAAGTTCGAGGAGAGCTTGAAGCTTGATGATATCAGAGCTGCCGAAATATCACTGTCAAAGTACAAATCTTCAACAGTTAATGGAGACAAGTTTGCCAAGCACCTTCAGGAAAGAGCAACAGTAACACCAGTCTTGAGTGAGTATTACGCAAATGAATATATTTCTGCTGTAGAAACAAACTTGTTGCCGTTTCGAAAAATGAAGCTTTCCAGCTTTATAAATGGACAACAAGCAGATAGACAGCTAGCCAGGAATCTGATAATAAAGTTCGATGATAATGCTACCCTGATAATTGGCAACTGGTCTGCCGGAAATGTCAAGTTTCACGAGCCCATTAGAGGCGTTGGAATGAGAAGGATGCTAGCTAAACAAGGATCCAAGATATGCCTTCTTGATGAGTGTAAAGCATCTAGCTTGTGTCCTTCATGTCTGAACGATGAGCTTGAAAAGTTCAATATCCAAGACCTTTCCAGAGAGAAAAGCAACCAACTGTAACATGTCATGGCCTTTTAAGGTGATTCGTTTCTGTATTTATAAACCCAACTCTTATTTTTACTATTTAGGTGCAAAAACCAACAATGTTTGGAGGCCATGGCTGGTACAACTTCTCGTCATCACCTTTGGAACCGTGATATGGTGGCCACTTTAAATTTCAGGCACATCCTTTTTGGGCTGCGTGAAAACGGAAAAAGACCAGAGCGCCTTTGCAGACTCAACGCATCTCCTTCTGCTGGCTTCAAAAGAAAGGCGACTTCATCAGCTAGTAGTAGACCAACCAAGAAAATAACCAATCCTTTGAAGTTACCGCTACATTAATCCATGATACAGAAAAGTCTTTGAACAATAATTCGTTTCGTCTACAAGTTTTTGGCATGTGTCTACAAAAAATAAAATTGTCTATTTATTTTTCATTTTTCACTCGCTTGCCTCAAATCTTTTTAGCGGACGTCTCATTTATTTTATATAGTGTCTAACTTATTTTTTTGAATTGTCTCATTTTAGCTTAAAAAACTGTACACGGCAAGTTGTAATAACCATTATTTTCATTGCCACTGGCACACAGCTCAAGACAAGATGTCGCTTTGTGTAACAAGATCAATCTGTCAAACAGAGAATGTTGATGATGAAAAGGTTTATTTCCATTAAAATTCAAATGGAAAAAGAAAGGGGGTTATGTAAAAGATCTGTTTGATGCTATGTCAACGTTCTTAATTTTATAAATTGCTCTATCCAGCCACTTTCTGAAATCAGAAGCACTTTGTTGTCCTAATCTATACACTGTTTGAATTTAGTATAAATGTGTATTCATGCTGTCTATTCCCCTTACAGTCTTTCTCTGTTTCATCTAGCCTTTGAATAAATTCTATGCCAATAGTTGATCCTGATGACTGGGAGTAGTTCATAATACTTTTAAGTCTTTGTTTAAATGCCTATACACACACACATAGAAAGAAGAGCATATATATAAATACATACAAAAAGCAAAAGCATTGTTTACGATACCTTGTCTATTATATGCGGTAATTGATCATCAATTAGAAATTCTATCAACTTCACTCCAAATTCATAATAATATCCACTTAGTGATCGAAAATCTACGCTTTCTGGACTTGCTAGCAACATATTTCGAACTCTGGTTCCATATGTTTTTGGCATTTCAACTACAATCAGATTGCTAAAATGTAAAGTCGAATGAGTTTTATTATTTCATACGCTCTCTCTCATGGTTTACCCTTCACTTGGCGAGCTATGTGTATATTGCAAAAAGTGTTAAGAAGTTACATAATATGTTGTTAACTTACGTATATTGAGCTAATGGTTTTGCAACCCAGTACGGTAATTCTATACGTGTATTGCGAGAGACCTATGTTTGATGAATACTTGTATATTAAAAGAAATGTCAACAATGTTTACAGGTGTTTCGTCCCCTAAAAGGTTGACATCCTTTTCGAAATCACAAAGAGCTATGCATGGCACTTTCTACAACTCCAAGTCAAATTTAAATAAAAAGAAAAAGAATAAGCTGTCTTTACTGTATGTTCTGCTAATATGCTGTCAAAATCATAGTACTGATCGAGATCCATTATACATCAACAAAAAGGAGAAAAAAACCCAATATTTGAAAAAATGCGTTAAAAAATAGTCGCGTTTTGAACTATACGCGAACCCTTTTATTTTTAGAAGAAAAAAAAAGGGCCACACTTTATTTAAAAGAGATCATACTATTTCAATAAAGTTTAGTTGTGCTATTAAACAATATAGGTTTGTCTTACAAAGTAATCAAGGCCCTGGCCAACTTCCCAAAGTGCAACGCCCACTAATCAAAATAATGATGAGCAATAGAATAATGTCAGTAGAACATTGACTTACCTCCATAGTCTTCAGCAAGTCTTAATCTATTTCTAATAGACTATTTTGTTTGTTAGTATGTGTGTATATAACCCTTGTTACAACTCTTTACCCTCAGTGTTGGCATCCAAATAACCCCTTGCTCAATGCCTTCCTCATCAATATCCATAAACCATGCTTCTTGACTTGTTTTATCCCAGTTCAACTCTTCGCTCTCATCCGTCTCATCATCTAGTAGTAATTCATCCTGTCGAGGTAAAGACAACTTCTCGATGACGGTTTTTAAGACAAGTGGTTCTGGTGGCCTGGTAGATAAATAAGACATGGCATACATGTTAAGCCCAACCATTAACTTATGCCGGTTGCTGCTATTCGTCAAATATTCAATGTTGTCCATAATCCATTCAATGGGCGCATTCGGTCCACCATTGCTATGATACTTTAGTCAATCTCACTTGTTTCTATAGCAACAGTAGCTTACGGATCGTAGCTTGAATAATCATAAGTCATCAAGCTGAATTTATCAATATATTGAGCCATGGCATTAAACATCTCTGGCGTCATCAGCTGCTTGTATTGATCGGTTATGGAAGGCAAAACGACGATAAGTTCTCTTTGATCCTGATGGAGCAGCGTAGATAATTCAATAAGGAATTTTTGAAAGAAGGCTGGATATCCACACTCAATCACAACACCATCAAAGTTGTATTTACTAATTATCATGTTAGTTTATCAATGCCAAAAAAAAGAGAGAGACAGAAATCTAAACAGATAAAATACTAACATGACTTGATTGTTTATCTCCTTTGCCAAATGCTGTATTTCCTGTTCACTTGTGACAAATGCTCTCAAATCTTCGCCGGTCCATCCCCGGAACTGAAACCTAGGTACTATTTTACCCTTTCCTGTAGATATATCCCTGACTTCACTCATCCACTACATGGAATCGAGTCAATATATAAAATAATTGTATGTGTTGTAATATTACGCTCTGATCAACATCATGTTCCCCGTCAAAATCAAATTCCATCGGCGACCTTTTTTATGGTATAACAAGATCAATTTATGAGAAATTTCATTTAAACCTGTGACAACTTGCCTGCGTTGAATATAATACCAAACCGGAGATACGCTACGATCATTAGTTAATCCAATGAAAAAGTCTACTTTTTTACGTGTATGTATTTACTAGTCAAATTTTCCTTTAAACTCTTTTACAATGTCATAGCCTTTCAATTCATCAGTAATGTATATTTTTTTTCTTTGAATACAAAAACTCACCTCGATTATTCCAGGGAGTGACATAAGCTAGAACATGACTTGAGAAATGCTTTACATGAACTTGTTCTAAATTTGGTTTATCGTGATTTCTGACAATTGTTTGAACATTTAATGATTTTTGTATTGTGTTTGTATTTACACTCCATTGTTGTTGTCCACAAGTAGAGTGAATAAAAGTAGATACGATGAATAATAAAAGGATTTTCATGGGATTATAGAATACAAGAGAAAAAAAAAAATGAATATTATGCAAAAAATAATTGTTTCTGTTTACTCTCAAAGGGATATCATTTTTCCCCTACCAAACTCCGGTTGCCATGCCAAGATTTTTTTTTTCAACACCGCAAAACCCATTTTCAGGTACACAAATGGTTCCACAACAAGTTATTGCAAATACTCCACGTTTCTCTTTGAGCTGATCTCCCTCTTTCTTTATATTTAAAAGAACACTTTTATTACTAAAATTATATATATACATATACAACACTATCGATGATTCATAAGACTGGCTTAATTAATATATAAATAAACAAAATATGTATATGAAATAAAAAAGAGAAAAAGGAGGTTCACACACATATATATAAAAGGAGAGTAAAGGTCTACGCATGGCTAACAGCAGCAGTAAGAGAAACAGAATGGTGATGATAAAGGGGTGTTGGGATTATGGTGCTTATAGGTTGAGCATTTGAGATGGCATATAGGAATGCATCTAGCTGTGCAGCTGCAGTCTGGATTGGGATAGCATCTTGCTGTGGGGCTCTGAAAGTTGGATATCTTTCCAAAATCTGAGTATTTCTATCCAGGGCTAGATACACTGTCGATCCCAGCCCGTCCACATTGACAATGTCAAGATTGCCTCCCCAGTGGCTTGCTAAAGATCTAGCGATTTTCCAACCACTCAGAGATGCCCACTCTAATACATGATTAGGTTCAACACGATCAACCCTTGTCCGACTCGTGCTGGATAGCACAGAGCTGCATGTAGGTATACCGATTGGGTCTCTGGGTATGCTCGGTAACAGATCCTTATCTGGGATAAAAGCTGCTGTGTCTAATTTAAAACCCACGCTGGTAGGACCACCAAAGATAGAAAGGGTCATCGGTTGTGACTTCATAAAGGGTCGTCGGTACCATCGAACGGTTCGTTCTTGTTCTTGGTCATGCATCGCTTGTGCTTTTAAGCAAAGAAGGATAGACTCATAAATAATGCGGTGAAGCATGCTGGGAATATAAACAAGCTCTTGCTTCGTGCGCGTCTTGATTTCCACTTGAGGTAAATATGCGGTTCCATAGGCACCCGAAAATGCTGCCTGTGCGTCATGAACTGCCTGACGAGTGATGTCCTCTGGGCGCAATGTTTGTGCATGATTTAATTTATTTGTCACCCAAGAGATATGTTGATCTGGAAAAGAAAGAAAAAAAGAAAAAGAGAGGTCAGGTTAAACCGAAACTACCAAAAAGAGATGATATTACCAAGTAAGTGATGAATACCGATTCCAATCGTGTTTATATTATCCATCAAATTAAGGCAGGCAGGAGTAGGGTTTGATAGAAAGGCATACCGAAGTCGAATAGAATTCACTGCTTGACTTGTGCGTAGCTTTGATAATACGTTCGAAAGGGCTTTGGGCGAAGTTTGTTTCAGTGAGGGATGTAACAGTGTACAGATATCACATAGGTAGCTATGAGCTACGTTTTTGATGATGGGCGACTGAAGCGATTCAGGCGAAAGTGCTGATAAAAGGCGTAAGATGTGGGTATATCTGATGGGCAATTCGTTGCATAAGAAATTAGATGATATAGCCATGGGCGCAGTAGGTTGTCTATTAATAAAAGTGATCGTCAATTTGTGTTTATCTACAACGTTAAGTGTAACTCACTCTTTGTTCACAGCAAAATGCGAAAGCTAAGGATAATGAAGCAAAGTTAATTAAAAAATGACTAAACGCAGGATGATTATAGCTTACAGCAATACGTGTCTCTGATGTTGCCCATAAGCTAGCGAGTATGCGCCGAGGCAACACGTTGATTACTTGTGATTGTAACATGCTACGAAATAAGGCCGAGGGCGAGCAAAAGAGAAAGGAAAAAAGGAAAAAAAAAGAGAGAAGAAAAGAGTTTAATTTAGTTTCTTAAATACTTGATCTATTTCTTTAAGTTCTAAACAGAATAAAGCCCCTACATATCGCTTGTTTTCCCTTTTTGTCTCCATATTAATAAATTGCATACATAAACATAAACATAGACACCTCCTTGCCCAAGATTTAAACATTGGCTTTTACCAAAAATTAGCCCACGCCGCGCTTGGCTGCACCCTTTTTTTTTTTTTTTCCACGGTGGACAATTCTTGTTGACAAACTTGCATGTTCTCACATTGTACATTTCACCACTGTTAATAAATGTAAATAACTCTGATGACATGGCAACATACTTTGAAATGATAATGGGTATGCCCAACTATAAAGCAATTTCATTGTTTGTTATCTTGTTTTTGCTTATTCAGCGTCATAAGGGGACTAGTATCATTGGATCATGTAGTACAATATATGTTTATCATTATTGAAAAGATCGCATTCATTATTATGTGCTTGCATGTAAATAGTCTTTTATAAAATAAGAATATGCGCAAAGCATGTCTTGGCATTTTCCTGGAAATCTCATTATCTCTTCCCTTTATTCCTCTCCTTATTGTTTCCCCACATTTTATAGCGCTTTATGTCGCGCGCGCACTAGCAACGGACTAAGGTTATTTAAATAGAGTTTTTAAATTTATTATCGTATAAACATTAAAGTACATAAATGACATGAGTAGTTCTCTCTCTCTTTTTTTACATACAATACATAATATATAATTATATGAATAAGAATAAAGGATATGTGTGAGTGTACGTCTAGATTTAGACTATAATTTTTACAACATAGAGTAATCGATGAATGAGTGGATTCTTAAATAAATACGGGATTTTCCAGTTGCTGTTGCTCAGACGTTAAATAGGTATGTAAACTTTGTTTTTCTTGATTATCGATCATATTGTAATGAGGACAGTCTTTATGGGTTAGCAGTAATTGCTTTAGTGTCATAATTTCCTTTTTTAGTTCATTTGTCTCTAGTTCAAGATGTTCATTATCCTGTATTAAGAAATCAATACGTGCTTGAAGATTAGCCAGCCATTGCTTCTTTCTTTGTCTACATTTTAATGCGGCTAATATAAAGTCAGATTGCTGGTGGTAACAAAAAAAGAAAAAATAGTATACCTATCCGATTTCGTTCCAAGAACTCCCTTCTCTTTTCTTCACAATCAAACTTTCTTGGAGCACGCTTCCTTGGCTTTTTTGGCTTGGAATTATGATTGCTTGTACTGGGCTTACTTTTTATTATCACATCATCACTATCTGCACTACTCACTTTTTTATATTAAAAATGATGTTAGATTTACGTGTCACTGAGTCAACTTTATTGCCAATGGTGTGTGTGTTTTTACCTGTTCCTGCATTTGATTTGTAACTACAATTGTCGGATGCCCACTTTTGGTTCACTTGAATAAACTCAAACTTTGGAGGAGAGACAGCAGCAAAACTCTGTTCAAATGGATTCGGTTCTTGTTCAATAATCGATTTTGATTTGTTAACAATTATAAAGTTATCATACACTATTCAAAAGCATATAAATCAATAAAGCTTTTATTATTATTCTCTCTTTCTCTTTACTTTTTGGATGCTTGTCTTGTTCAAGAAAAAGAAAAAGATGTAAAGAAAAGAGACAAAGTGTAAAAAAAGGATCATTAATAAAAATGATTATGACATCATAATATCCACAAAAGGAAATTATTTTTCGGCTTTGTGTCGCCCTGAAGAGGAAAAAGGTGAAGCAATAACGGCGATTTGTACAACAATAGGCTTTAGTGATGCTCTTTTGGTTTTAAACAAGAGTATTCAAAGTGTTTGAGCATTTATATGCGCGTAATAGAATTTAATGTTGCTAAGTTTATGAAAATATTGGCCATTTATAATCCGTGCGCGTTGTCAGTTGATGGACAGAGAAAAGCTGTTGTCAGCAATGGTTATCGATTTCGATCGAGATCACTTTTACAAGAGAAAAAAAGTTATCAGTGATACTCAAATATCGCTTACAAAAAAAAATACGTCTAGACAACCACCGACAAGCAGGTGATTTTCAAGAGAAGCTTCGAGAAGTAAGGTGAGTTGACAGTCATTATTTAGCAAAGCCTAGCATGTCATCTTAAATAGGAGTTTTGGTATTCGTGTGAAATACTTTTTCCCTCACAAAAGGTGGAAGGCTTACTAAATACAAAGAAGCATGGAGAAAGTAATGAACAGTAGCTGTAATATAAAAGGAAATTAAATGTTTAAAATAAAGTTATCCTAATTATGTAATGATGACTCCATCGCTTTTTGACAGACGATGGAGCACGGTGCACATGATTTTTATATACAAATGACATAGTAATTTTACTATGAAATGTTTAAGTAATCTCTATATCAGCATAACAGCCATTTGTCTCTTTATTTTCCATAGAAACACTGATAGCAATAAGCTGAAGAAAGAAAAAAAATGACACATCCAAGGATACTTGTGTAACCTTGTATTCTTAATTGTTATGGTAACCATGACCGCTCTATTACAATTCAGGAAAGAGAGAGACGGATATAAAGCTTAGCTTAACTTTAACAATATAAACAAAGTTAATTTGGTCATTGATTTCAGAATAGTCTAGACAACATTGTTTAGCGTACTGGTGCCTTCGTCTTTTACACTCAAAATGAATGTATGGGTCAACTTCAAGGCTTTGTGTAAATTTAAAATTATTTCACACGCTCGAAGATGAAGCCATTGTTTTCTTGCGCGGCTGCATGAAATAATTTAACAACATAGTCAAAAGTAAAGCAGAACATTAAAAAATGCCCCCTTGAACGAGATTGACAACTTCTGCTCTTCTTAACTAAGGTCAACCGCTTCGTTAATTGCGTGTATGTGTACTATTAGGCTCTAGTGTTCACTATTTTCAAATCTTGTTTCAAACAAACCGTGTTAACTATTCTATTCACGAGTTTACAGAAATGACACAATGATACAGTGATGCATATGTATAGATTATATAATCAAGTTGTATACTCAGCTGCTTGCATTCACCTTTAAAGACAAATGAAAAATAGGCAGAATGAATAATAAGAACTAATGTATACACACTATATATTTTATTTATATAAGAAAAAGGGGGGCAATTTAACTAAAGAAAAAGAGATGGAAATGAAAAAAAGAGTAAATATTACGAACGAAATAGATTCATACAAAAAGTTCATTTTATACAAAACATACAATTTTAAATTTCTCCTTCTTGCTCATCAGCAACAAAATGAAGATCTTGTTGCTTTTGTTTCAAATGCTGTTCTTCTTCTTCTTCTTTTGTCTTGACTGCTCTAACTAAATGTTCGTCATTTTTAGTCTTGTTCATATCTAATGTCTCCATATGGTTTGTTATTGTTTCAAAGGATTGTTCATTATTGGCACTTTCAAAGTCGCCAAAATCATCTTCCTCTTCCTCATTTCTCTTATCTCTTCTAAATGCTGCTCTTCTTTCTAGTTCCTCCGCATCTGCCAAATGGTCAAAATCTTCATCATATTCTTCTCTATCGTTCACTGTGTGGCTAGGAATACGGCGAAGTACGTTTGGCTGTGAAAGTTTTGAATAATTCCTTGTCCAATCATGTGTAATATGATCCTATAGGTCATGCTCAGTCATTTTGCATATATGGAGCATACTGTTTTTTACCTCCTCATCATTGCTATCGTACTCTTCATTATCTTCTTCGTCTCCTCCTTCCTCATCATCATCGTCTTCTTCTTCAGTATTTAACCGGATTGAATTCCGACTGTATTGATACTCTCCGTTAAAGTCATCTCTGCCACTACTTTAATGAGTAAACTGTATTGTTCTTTTTTTTTTTCTTTTTTTCTTACGTTATCCATTGATCGTGTTCATCCTCTTCATCTTCATCAAAATTACCTTCAGAACCACGTTGTGCCAGGAATCTTGAATACTATAAAAAGAGGGGTTAATTTATTTCCATCTTGTCATCCTTTCTACATTTACTTGAGAAGCAGCTACTCCATCTAACGTATCTTCATTGTCCTCTTCGTCAGATTGAGGTATATCCATTTCTTCTGTTGGACGCAATCCACCCAGCGGTAACTGATCACGGTCTTTTGTTTCTTTTAGTTCATTGCTGCAGTAGGCTGTCCAACTTTCCATGTCTACATCGTCCTTTATGGCAAACACAATTGTCTCGGGATAGCCTTCAAATAACTTCATGATTTCGTCTGATATAAATGTCAAATGGCCCATGTATCCTGCTCTCATTCCCTTTGGCTTTGCACTAGAAATGAAATTAATGTCAGCCCCATATGAAGCACTGTCGATGGCTTTTACCATTCTTCGTCGTTGGCCTTTTGAGCAATCACAATCTTGTCAGTCAATTGGCCGTCCTTAAGAAGAGAAATGGCAAGTTGACGATTCAATCCAACATCCATACGCCCATTAAATATTTGATGAAGCATATCGTAAATGACATAGTGTAAGAAGTTGTTCCAAGGGAAAGCAAAGAAAAGATCCTAACATACGCTTAGCTCCCATATGTCTGCGGTTTGAGCTTTAAACTTACGACACAAATAGGCATCGCTTTACTGCTAACAAATTTTGATTTGAGATAATCTCCAACGGACATTTCTTCGCCTCCTTCCAGCTTGACCATCTTGTTGGAGTCTTGTTCTTTTGGTTGACCTTCCTGGTTATCAGCAGGGACATTGAAGTTGTTCAAGTTGGACATGTTAGAACAGTGTAACAACTCAGCAAATAACTCGCATATCTTCAATCGCTCAAATCCTAATGGTTCAATTTCTCCCAAGGTTGTGCGGATAGGTCCATCCTAAGATAAGCAAGTTAGGAGGTTGAAATAAAGAAAAATAAAGTCGTACCACAGATCGAGGCTTCAGTAATAGATGTGTAAATTCAGGTACATGGTCACTCATCACCTTCAACATATCTGCTAATGACACTGGAGCGGGGCGTAAGGCTGGGTTAGATGAGTATCCATACAGACCGGTGACTGCAGGGTCATTTTCAAGATCTGCGTTGTTATGGCGAATGATATCAATGATGATAGATACCCCATTCACAAGCGTTGATGTCGCATTAGGCGCTTCAGGATCCAGCATATATTTTGCTAATTTTCTCATTGTTGCTTCACTTTAAAAAAGATTAGTCTTTTGTGTAAGAGTGGCTTATTGTTCACTTACCTCTTCAAGTTGATAATCAAGTCATTCAATCCAATACTTGGTGATTCAGGTAAACTTGTTTGTGACATTCGAATGATTTCGCATATGCATTGCTGTGCAATTGAATGTTCCTATAAAAGGAGAAATGATGAACACATGATCGACGTTTAGGGAGAAAGAGAACAAAGGGTCATACTTCGCTATCTAAGTAAGGGTCTAGTCTATCTATTAAGTTTTCTAGCAATCCATGCTCGCTCAACCACTAGTGAATCATTCAATTTCTTGTTTATATATATATATATAAAGCATACCTTCACGATTCCTTTTCCTTCACGTAATTCTTCCATACGAACAAGAGTCAACAATAGGTCCATAATGGCTGAGGTTTGTAAATGAGCCAATATTTTATTCAAATTTTCTGGATTGGACTGTATAAAGCTCATCATCTATTCCCAAAAGAGCAATTAATGAAACGTTAAGGTGCATCTATATTATTTACTTCAACGGGGTATTTTGATAATAATACACCAATCGTTTTACAGAAATAAGAGGCTTGTAAGGAGTCCAATCCACCCTCTGGCTGAACTGCTGTATCTGAGGCACGTCTTCTTGGTTGAGCAGGCCGATCGAGATATGACCAAAATGGTGCGAGTAGTTCATCCTTTTGCTCAATGACAATGAGATCGATTATTTGTTGTATTTCACAAGCAATCAATTCACTTGCAAGAAAAGGATATCTAAAATCAAAATCCTATTTAATCATATATGCTTATTTGTGCTAGAGTCTATTTAATAAAAAAAATTACTTGAATCGCTGTGGTTCTTCCAAGTCTGTAGCAGTAATGTAATTGAGTAGTGCTTTGACTTTGTCCGGTTTACTTAAACTATAATGGAGGTGATTAGAATCTGTCCATGCGTGTAATAATACATGTTCTTTTATTGTTTTCTTCTTTTGATAAGTGTTTTTATGTGTGTGTATATGTGTTTATGTTTACGTACAATTCAATAAGTTTAGGATTCAAAGATTTCGCTTCCTGAATTATATCTTCTTCCTCCAAAACTTCTTCTAATGTCACATCTGCTTTATCTAAAAGCCCCTCTAAAGCTGAATTATTAAAGCCAAATCGCCAAAACATGAATAGATTATAGAATTATAACAAGATGAAGAAGGAGAAAAAAAAAATATGAGATACTTTTTTTTGTTAAAAAATCAACCGGGCTGCTTAAATCACCAATGTTACGTGATGCAAGATTATTTTAAAAGACCGGTTAGTTCACTTTAAAAAGGGGTGGGGGAAGAGTGTAGAAATAATCCATCTTTTTTAAGATTGCTAGACATTCAAAAGAGAGAGAGAGAAAAAATGGGTTTCTGACTTAAAATAAGAAGCTCTATTATTGCTTTAACTATAAAAAAGAAGCCCTTGTAAACAAAAGACAGATAGTAGTGTTGATAGTAGCAATAAGAGTCACATTAACGATTTACCATAATGCTCACTCTGTGATTAAGGTAGATCCTACTTGTGATATCTCTAATAGATCTACATTGAATATCCGATCCATAGATTTTATATTTTCAGAAAATGAAGCTTGCCCTAGCGTTGCTTTCAAATGCGAACAAATTTTGAAACACAAAATAAACAAGGTTATTCTTGTTCTTCAATTATGACAATCACTACCCTCGTATCTTCATTAAAGAAGCAACGACATAAATTGTTGATGCCTGCTTGGAACCAAATCATTGAATGTCCTTGGTACATCTTTAATTGACTGGACATAGCGAGCCTAACCAGTGTTTGGTCCTATGGCCAACCTTCTCCTGCAACGTCCATTTGAACGCTGGCCGACTTTGACTTTCAAGAATAGTAACACCTTCTTTCTCTTTACAAACATTAATAATCTTTCAAAATATGGTTACAATCGTGTTTGCCAATGATGTCAATGCCACATTTTACAACTATGAGGCATGTACACAGCAAGCCGTAGCCTTGACTGGAAAAAAAGCCAAGGGTAATCATTGGCCAATTATCAGTAATGATCCATTGAACGCACAGTTAACCACATTAGCTGGCACAATGAGCCAAGTTCGTCAGCAAAAGTCCAGTAAAAACTCTGTCCCTTAATCTGACTTGCTTATGCTTACTTATAATAAATTTGGTAAAAAGCGTATCTTAAACTACACAGATTGTGAAACCATAAAGATCATTAAGATCAGCTCACACTGTTCTATTCTGTGGCGGGCTCCGGAAGTGTTGCATAGTGTTCAAAGTATGGCTGGACGGATTTATAAAATTATCAGGTGTTGTTTTTATATAAAAAGAGACACATCAAATCCAAAGGGTTTTTTTTTGTATTCTTTCATTTTCTTACAAACATGTCTCAGCCTGTGAACGAGTACGATCTGATAATTGTAGGTGCTGGTGTTGTAGGTTGTGCAGCCGCAAAAGCATTTGGTGAAGACGGTCGCAAGGTGCTCTTGCTTGAACGGGATCTAAGCGAACCTGACAGGATCGTTGGTGAATTGATGCAACCAGGAGGAATTCAGGCTTTAAAAGCATTGGGCATGGAAGGTATCGTGTTTTCATCCGATCTCCAAGAATGAAACTAAACAGTTTCTATCAGATTGTACTGAAGGTATCGATGGCATCGCATGTTACGGGTATGGTGTGTACCGCGATGGCGAATCAGTGGAACTTCCATACAGTATGGACTCCTCCTCTGGCAAGCAGTTTCGTGGAATAGCCTTTCATCACGGCCGCTTCATTCAAAAGCTACGACAATCTGCCAAAGTCGCGCCAAATGTGACAGTAAAGGAAGGGACAGTGACACGCCTTTTGGACCAGGATGAAAGAGTTATTGGTGTTGCATCATATGACAAGACAAAAGACAAAGAAGAAGTGTACTATGCTCCTCTGACCCTAGTAGCAGATGGTATCTTTTCTAAATTTCGAAAAGCCTTTACAGACTCTCAGACCAAAGTTCTCTCTCATTTTGTTGGCTTTCTCTTGCACGATTTTGAACTTCCATATGCTCAAAAGGCCTTCGTGGTGATCGCTAAGCCTTCACCTATCCTGATGTACCAAATCGATCCTCATGACACACGTATTCTGGTAGATGTTCCTGGTGAGCATCTTCCCAAGGGTGATGACCTCAAGAAATACATATTGGATGTTGTTGTTCCTCAACTACCTGAATACATGCAAGACAAATTCAAGGAGGCGCTTGAAACAGAGCGCTTAAGGCCTATGCCAAGCGGCTTCCTACCACCTTCCATAAACCAATGTCCGGGCACCATCCTTCTTGGTGATGCTCTCAACGTACGCTCACCTCTGACAGGCGGTGGTATGACCGTTGCCTTATATGACGTGCTGACCTGTCGTGATTTGCTATCAAGAGAAAATGTCACGTCCTTTACCGAAACTGATCTTGTCCTGCAAGCGATGGATGCGTTCCATTGGAAACGTAAAAAGTATTCTGCCTGTATTAACGTCTTGGCCATGGCGCTCTATAGCGTATTTGCTGCTGATGATAACGAAAATCTGATGACTGTACAAAAGGGATGCTTCGAATACTTCAAATTGGGCAATGAATGCACTCAGGGTCCTGTTGACTTGGTTGCAGGCGTCAATCCATCCCCTCTCTCATTGATCTATCATTTTATTTCGGTTGTGTTGTACGCCATTTATATTATGTTTGCCAAGGGAAATGCGAAAGACATACCCAAGAACGTTGCCAGGGCCATTAGTGTGCTCTATACGGGATATGTTACCTTGTTTCCTTTCCTCTGGGGAGAATTCAAAGGCTAACATTCATTCCCCTCTTTCTCTCTTATAGCATTCATGTAGTATTTATCAAACTATTTTTTCATTTTAAAAATAAACTAATCTTCCATTGTGTACATTCAAATATTGTGGCACACTTAATTGTGTATAAATAGCACAGTTGTTATCATATGCGCTCAGACAGAAAAAAAAGGGGGCAACACAAGACGCATTGTGAGTAACAAGAGGATAAACTTTACATGGCGTAAAAACCTTATCTTTGTCGTGAAACCCAATCCACATGTGTGCTTTAGCCCACGTATATATGTTAAAGAATACGCAATATCTTGAAATAATGCAGTTTATATAAATGCGAAAAGAGGGGGGGATATACTGAAAGGTATAATATGATAAAGAATGAAAGAGGGAATATAACGTTCTATAATATCTCTTCTAATTATTTCATCATCAATGCTTCAATCTCGTCTATTTCCTTGGGCACAATTGTCAAGTTTTCATGACCATCTTCAGTAATAACGACTGTGTCTTCAATTCGAACACCTCCAAGATGACGGTATTGATCCAAGATTTCCATGTTGAAGAAACATTGATAACCAGGACACTGTGTCCAAATGTCCAGCATGTAATCATTAAAATAAAGTCCAGGCTCGATGGTGATTACCATATTCTTCTCCAAGGGCCGATCAAGTAAGAATTGAGATACGGTTGGATCATCCTTCGATGTCTCTTTACTATATAAAGCATATGTATACATGAGTAACATAAACAGATGACAGGGACTTTGGACGCTTACCCTCCTACATCATGAACATCTAGCCCAAGGGCATGACCGAGACCTGGAACCACCATCGTTAGTACTACAGTCATCCGTATTTAGATTTATTTACCATGAAAATAAAAGGCACATGGTACACTCTGTTCCATCAAGACGTTGATATCGCCCACAAGGATTCCGAGACGCACAAGTTCCTTACAGAGTATCTCCGTGGCCAGTTGTTGCATATTCTGCCAATAGATCCCGGGTCTTAATTTTGACAAGACGACCTAAGAGGCAGTGTGAGTATATAGTTTATGTAATCAAATAAAATAGAAAGAGAGCGACAGATTATATTTACACTTTACTTGCTGCATTTTTAATACGATGCTATAAATAGCTTTTGCCTCATCCGAAAAAACGCCTTGTACGGGAAATGTCCTTGTGATGTCGCTACCATAACACAACTTTTCGCCACCGGCATCTACCAGGACGAGGGAATGAGGGTCATTGATTATATGCTGATCATTATTAGGAAAGTGATGTAAAGTAGCTGCCCTGGAGCCAGATGCAACAATTGGCAAGTAAGCTTGTCTATAAACCTGATTAAGGGCGCAATTCCAGCGAAAGACAGCTGCGAGATGAGCTTCTGTCATACCAGGCTGAAACTGTTGCATCAATGCAATGTGAGCTTGTGAAGAGGCGTGCATAACTTGACGTATGATGTCAATCTCCCATGAAAACTTGATAAGTCTTGCCTCGTCCATGGCTGGTAAAAGTAGTTGTGTGTCAATGCGGCTCCTGATGCTGGATGATGTAATTAGTTCTAATGCATGCATATAATGCATTTTGTTATCAAGAACAAAGATTGTCTCGGGAGCAAGTGTCTGTACAAGTTGAGGTAAGTCTGATTCACTAATGACTTCATCAATATCATATCGTTCCATCAATTCTCTCTTATTCGCAGCAGGTCCTTTCCAAAAGACATCGTTGACAGATACATCTGGCGTTATCAAGTATATTTCATCTTTTTCTAAATCAACAACCACCTGAAAGTTGGGCTCCTCCACACCTTTATGTCTAATAATTAAAAACTAGAGTCTCTAATGCTTAAGATTTATGCGGTACCTGTTAGATAAAAGAAATAGCTTTCTTGTCTAAACTCTAATTCTATATCTGTGTTATCTCGAGTCAACTCTGGCTTTCCTTTCATATAAATAATGGACGACGTATATTCAGACTTTAATAATGACTTGACTTTTAGATAATGTTGCTTTGTAGGCAAGATAAGCTTTCTTGACGGTAAGGCTGAGTTACCATTGAGTAAATGAGGAGCCATAAGATATTTCGTAAAGAGAGAAAAAAAAGAAAAGAAAAGGAAGGCTCTTTATTTTTTTTTTTTTTGTCATCAGACAAAAATAAATTGAACACAATTAGAAATCATTTGCCATTTTTTCTTAAAAAAGCATAGACGCGGATATCTTAGCAATTATGAAAAAAAGGGGGTAAAATGTGCAACATTTCTATATTTGAATGTATTTTCCAATGTTTTGATTTGCTCCATGCTGGCATACGCGTGATCTATCCTTTAATGATCCCCCATTTACTTTGAGAACATCACCCGTATGATCCTGCATATTTTTGATATCATTTAGTAACATACTTCTTTTTATTAGCATATTAAATATTAGAACATAAGTGGCATCTTGTTGATGATGCATTAACAATGTGTCCAATTGACGGGAATACGACCATCAAAGAAATCACCCACTTTTGCAAATACAGCAGGTGAAAGATCCAAGGAACCTCTTCCACAGCTAGCACTAGGACACTTTTTTTTTAAAAAAAAAGTTAGTTGTAATAACAAAAAAAAAAAGGTATGTTTCCTATTACCATGTCTTGTATCGTTGCCTTCGTACTGCCAAGCGGACCAGTGATGATAATGCATGCTCCGCAAACCGGACTTTGATTTGGGTCAGCATAAGATCCATAATCATAGCCATCCTATTTTTGTTTGTTAGTTTTTTCCCTTGTTCTGTTTTTTTTTAAAAAAAAAAAGTTACCAGGGCAACGATCATATCACTAGCAGTAAATAGGTTTCCACATGATGTGTAGCCTACACCAGGATCTACAGCAAATAAACACTTTACTTTACCGCTTTTTTTATATAGAGACTTACCATAATAAGTTGCATCACCTTGTCCACCCATAGTAAATTCTCCCGGTTTTGCAGTTCCCCAACTGTCTCCTTTATATTTTGTTTTACCAATAGATGATACACCCACTTGATTTCTATAACGAGTATTTTTATAGACACCAAGGCCACCCAAGACAGACAACATGACAACAATGATACCCAAGCAGCCAGCTGCTACGAGCATAAGTTTACCAAAGCGATGTTTTTCATTAAACCTTGTCCATACTGTAGGAGGTGGAATGATGAGGGGATCTCTCTCAGTGACTATTGCATCATCTGGCATTATGCCAAAGGGATGATGTACATGTTGAAATTGCTGATCAGAAGATAACACTGCACTATTATGTCTACTATTCCTTGACTGAGATTGTTCTGGTAACATATTAGAGATGATCTTTTTTTTTCCTAGACAATAAATAGAAAAAGAAAAGGAAATGAATATTGATTGTAGGACAACAATATTAAACAACACACAATGGTAGATCCGATCTTTGTGAGCTTAGATATCTGATTCTCTCCCTGTCTCTCTCTCTCTCTCTTTCTCTTTCTCTCTCTTTTTTTTTTGAATCTCTATTATGCAAACAATCCCCCTTCCTTTTAAACATTAAAGTGTGACTTTTACGTATTTATTCTGACCTTTTTCTTTTTTCTGTCACATTCCACATGGAAAAGAAAAGTAGTAAATCAGGCTTTTTACATGTTGCCATAATACTTATTCTTTTTTTTTTTTAAGGTTCTCAAGTAGAAAGACCTGTCGTGTTCTTTGATATTTCTATTGGCGATGTGCCAGTAGGTCGTATGAAAATGGAACTCTTTTCTGACATTGTACCCAAAACTGCCGAAAACTTTAGACAATTATGTACAGGAGAATACAAGTAAATAAAGTAATGTGTGCGTATAATCTATGTACTTATATTCATTAGAGTGAATGGTGTACCTCAAGGTTATAAAAACTGTTTATTCCATAGGTAATCCATACATTATTTCCGTGTGTACCTTTATTAATGAGCTCATTAGAGTGATTAAAGACTTTATGGTACAAGGAGGTGATTTCCTTAAAGGAGACGGAACAGGTTCGTTAAGTATCTACGGAGACAAGTTCCCAGACGAAAACTTTATCGAAAAACACAATGGTGCCGGTTTATTATCTATGGCCAATTCAGGACCGAATACAAACGGATGCCAATTCTTTATTACCTGTGACGCATGTAACTTTTTGGATGGTAAACACGTCGTATTTGGTAGACTCATCGATGGTCTTTTGACGTTGCGTAAAATTGGTATGTGTCTGTTTATTTTTTTTAGGACATTTCATTCATGATAATTCTTTTATGTAGAAAACGTTGCAACTGGACCTAATAATAAACCCAAATTACCTGTCAAGATTACTGGTAAATACACACACATATACTTTATAATATTGTATGAAAAAGACTTTCTAATAATTTCTTTTTTTTTTTTTAAATAGAATGCGGTCAAATGTAATTATTTCTGTGTAATATATAATAATAAAAAGAAAAAGTATACACAAAGTTAAGCTAAGGTTGAGTCTGTTGTGGTGGCTGCGGCTGTTGGTTTTGTTGTTGTTGATTTTGTTGGTTTTGTTGTTGCTGTTGTCTGGCAAGGAGTAGCCTCTGTTGTAGGTCTCGTACAGCATTAGGCGGTAAGCTACCTAGATTGGCCATATTGATACCATTGAGCCCTAATATATTATTACTATCAGCTGCATTGGCCAAGTTTAAGTTTGAGAGTAGCAAACTACTTGGATTAAGCCCTGAGAGATATATATGAGTGTTCATTCTCTTTGTTCTATGTTTTCTCTTACCGTTCATAGGGCCTTGTGCAGCCGTCTGCTGGTGAGGTTGTTGTGCTCCAGACATGGCGTTGACCATACCTGCTGCACCACCCATCATTTGCTGTTGTCTTAGCGCATTTTGGAGATGTTGTACATTTGGATTGGTCGTATTTAATAAACCGAGGTTAGCAGTGTTTTGAAGATTCGCCAGCATGGCAGGTGTAATGTTCGTCCCTGGCAAAGGTGAGGTATGTGCCATGTTATTTGGCATAAAGACTCCATTAGGTATATTATTTGTAGGTAGACCGGCATTTAAGTCCGGAAGGGGAACCTTGGTAAAGACGACTCCAATCAGTTTGCCTGTCGTATACGTCAAGACAACGCCATGATGCTGCTCAGACGCCATGTTTAGTGGTTGTCCAGATCCTAGGTTGAATATGATAGTAGCAATCTTTTGATGACGTGAGTATAAATATCATGAACCATATACTGTATACAGCTTACGTATTTCTTTTGTTCTAGATTTTTCACCAATAAAGTAAAGTTGTTTTGATCTTGTTGGCTACTCGTAGTCAATGGTCTAAACTGACATATTGGTAATTTGTTTTCTATAGCTTGTCTTTGGAGAATGTGCGCCCTAGCTAAAGGAGATCTCCCAGCTATTTGGATACGGTTCGGCCACATCTCAGGATGACTAAGACACATCAACGTGTTAGAAATCTCTCTTTATATATATATATATATATATATATAATCCACTTACTATTCTTCTATAGCCACATTATTTCCCTTAGTTGGTATAGCAAATGCGCCACAATGACAGTTATACTCCTGTAGTTGGTTTTCTTGTGTCTTGATATGCCATACAATTTGCCCTGTCCAAATTGGCTGAGTAGGTGCTGTTCCATTCTCTTGCTGGCTTGGCAAAGATTGAGTCTGTAACGGGGCTTGTTGCTGCGGCTGTTGCTGTTGTGGTTGTAGTTGTTGACCTTGAGGGTTTTGCTGATTTTGTTGTTGCTGTAGTAGCTGTGCTTGAAGTTCGCTCAAGTTGGCTGCACTGATTCCTTGAGGATTCTGTGTCCTCTGCGCCAATTGTGCAGCTAGTAACATCCTTGTTTGTGCTGTTAGATTATTGGGTATATGCGGACCATTGATGCCTCCTAACTTTAGTTGTGGCTGTTGTGATGGTGATGGTGATGGTTGTTGTTGTTGTTGTTGTGATGCTGGCTGTGGCTGTTGTGGCTGTTGTGGCTGTTGCTGTTGCTGTGCCTGAAGCATACTGACAGCATTTACATCCATCATAGGTCTAACATTAGAACTCACATTGCCACCAACAAATGACGGTGAGGAAGAGTTAGGGGTTGGGGATACAGTAGCTACTGTTGTCGCAGCATTTGCATTCATGTTTCCTGGAGGCATTCCTGGACCATTACGAGCAGCGGCTTGCGTTCGTCGAAGTTGCTCGGTTAGTTTGACAAGTGCTGTTTGAATGGTCTGTAGCTGATTTTGTTGTACAGGTGTCAGATTGGGTCCAAGCTCTAGCAAGTTATTTCGCTGCTGTAAGAGATATTGCTGCAGGAGGATTGGATTCTGCACACGACTGGCCAATGGCTGAGGTAATGATGTTTGAGATGCAGCCATAGGTCGCTGTTGTGCCTGCGGTTGCGCACCTGGTTGCGGTTGTGGTGTTGGCTGTTGCATCTGTGGCTGCTGTGGCTGCTGTGGTTGTTGCTGTGGTTGTTGCTGTGGTTGTTGCTGTGGTTGTTGCTGTGGTTGTTGCTGCGGTTGTTGTGGTTGTTGCTGTTGAAACGCTTGCTGTTGAGGCTGTGGAGATTGTTGTACAGGCTGTGGTTGTTGTTGGAATTGTGCTGTTTGCTGTGGAAGTGTCTGTGCCTGATTTTGTTGCTGTGCCTGTGGCTGCTGAGGTGACTGTTGCTGCTGTAACTGTGGAGAAGGAGTCTGCTGTTGGACCATCGGGATGGTTTGGATAGGCTTGGCGCTAGCAACCACAGGTTGCTCTACATGCATTGATGGAGAATTGCCCTTGTCTTCTTCTATCTTTACTGGCACCTCCTTTTTTGCTACTGTGCTTTGCTTCTTTGCTATATGTGAATTTGTACGAGCAGTAGCTTCTGTGAATTTACTGGCGTCAAACGATGTCTTTGGTAGTGTGATCTGTCCAGGTATATTCTCTCTCTTTCTCTTTTTACCCACTTCACTTGCCACGGATTGAGGTGATCCAGCCATTTGTCTGGGAGAATCCTTTGTGTCTACAGTAGCGCCATTTGCTGGTGTAGATGGTTGCTTCTGTTGCTGTTGCGTGGTTAATGCCACGGGAAGCGTAAAGCCCGCAAGTTGAACAAGATGAGATGATTCTGCTGTCTCGGTGATTGTATTGATTTCTATTGCATCTCCATTGATCTTATGCACCATTTGCTCTAAATCAGTATATCCTCTTTTTGGACAAATAAGCGAAAATCTGATATTATTCTGCCAACAGTATTTAATATGAGAATGTAGTAATAATCACCGCTACCTTTTTCATTTCTTCGACAATTCCATCCATCTTGAGTCCATCGTACTTTACGTCCAGGTTGCATCGTGCTCCTAATTTGGATGGTAAACTATTTGATAGTAGGATGCAGTGCTGAACAGGTTCTCTGCCTTCTGTTTCTTGTTTATAGTCATTGAATAGCTATTATTCGATCAGCATCACACACATACATACAAATATATATTTTCCGTATACCTCCAGTGCAGCTACCATGCCTTCTTCTACTGCGTTCTTCACTGGACCGCCATACTTACATTCAATGCTTTTGAATATATCTTGAAATAAGATAAGATCCGGTGTAAAATATTTTCGATCTACAGTTATTTCTGATAACGGTTCATAGTCTCCAAACACAACAAGTCCACATCTTAGCACTGGCTAAAAAAGAGAAGAATAAATAATAGAACATGGAAAAATAAAGAAGCTTTTTTACAACGATCTTTGTCTTTGCTTGTCGTTCGTCAGCTTCTGTAATAATAGGTGAGCGTAATTGTCTGTTATTTACTGTTAGTTTATAATTTATAGCAAAAAAAAAATGAGAGAAAGGTATTACTTTAAAATAGGTTCAACATAAGCCTCATATAATAGATTCAAATGAGGTCTCATTCTGGCTGATCCGTCTACTATAAATACAACAGCAACGTCTTTCCTTTGGTGATGTGCAACTGAAAGTTGAGGTAATTGTTGCTGTACTGAAGCTGGTGATGCTTGTGATCCTGGCGTAGCGACATGATTAGTGGTCGACATGATGACAGCTCTTTTAATGGCTGAAATGCAGAACAAAAAGAAAATAGAAAAATAGAGCCATGTAGCGCGTTAAATCCAGATTCATCCCACTCTTTTCGCAAACAGTCTTAATTCAAGTTCAGCACAAATCACAATGCGATTTTGTTGTGGTCTTTCAAAAAGAATATAGGTTGCTGGTTGTTGTTGGGGGAATGGGTTTACATTTGGATGAAGCTTCTGGTTTATTTCATTTATAGTCGTCGTGTTTTCTGAGCTAAATCATTTATATACTTTATACTATTATACGCTCTCTATTTGGTTATGTACATAAAATGACAACATTGCATATAGATAACAGTCATGGATTATTTCCCTTCTTCAATAAATGTATGAATACTACAAAAGTCCCTCAAAGCTGATCTTTTCTCTCTTTTTATCCGTGCAGCAATAATTTATTGTAATTTACTTGATAATAATGCAGGATTTTCTATAAGGCTCTTCCACATATTACTAAATGAAGCAATGGTTGCTCCATCAATAACTCGATGATCCGCAGACCAGCTAATAGGCATGAGGAATTTAGGCACCAGTTTATGAGTCACAGGATCAAATCGAGGTAGCTTTCTTGCTGATCCTAAAGCAACAATGGCTATTTCAGAAGAAACAATTACAGGATTAGCATAAGTTCCGCCAATGGTTCCAATGTTTGAGATCGTGATGGTTCCTCCTTGCAGGTCAGAAGGCGACAGAGCGCCCTTTTGAGCAAGCCGAGTCAGTCGATGGATTTCGGAAGCAATGTCAAGGATCGTCTTTTTTTCCACGTTTTTAACGTTTGGTACTATGAGTCCTTGAGGTGTGTCCATGGCTACACCGATATTGTGGTGGTCTCGATAACGGATAGACATGTCTTGTTGACGAAGTTGAGCATTCATAATGGGATAATGATGAAGGCTCACAGACAAGGATTTAATAAAGATAGGCAAGTAGGAGATCTTTTTGAACGGAAAGGCGTCTCGTTGACTAGCGATATACTTGTTTAATGAATCGCGATATTCTGACATTGCATTGAGTTCAATTTCATCTTTATATCCCAACTGTGGAATAGAAAGTGATTCGGTCATTGTTCTAAACATGGCTTTTTGGATAGGCGTCAAAGGTACAGATTTCTCTTGTTCTTTTTTGATTTCTGTTAATGGCAGCTCAACTGATTGCTTCATTTCTATATAAATGTATTTAAGCATTTCTGATTTTTTGTGCTGAAAATCAAATATACACTACCTCTTTTTATCAAAGATGCTCTCTTGATATGACTCAAGACATCGCCTTTCAGAACACGCCCATGCTTGCCAGAACCATTGAGTTGAGTTATGTTTAATCCATATTCATGTAGTAAGCGACGAACAGAAGGTGTTTCCCAAGTGGATGCATAAGGACTCCTTTTGGACAGATCATGATTACTCTTATCTGAAGATGATTCTGTCAAAGTAGCTTCTTCGGATGAATCATCATCTACTTCAATATCAACCAAAGGAGCACCTACTTTGGCAATTTCGTTTTGGTTATAGTGGACTTTAACGATTTTCCCTGCATACCGAGAGGATATCTCTACAGAGGCTTTATCTGACTGAACTTCACAGATTTTATCAAACTCGGCAACAGTTGCGCCTGGTTTAACAAACCTAGAACATATATTGGTTATCCTGCAGCGTATTCTCATATAACTATCAGTTTTACCATTGTATAACTTCACATTCAGTAATACCTTCACCAATATCTGCCAACAAGAAAGGCTTGATGGGTCCAAGATAGATTGGAGTCAGATGCAGCGATCTTATAGCGAGTCTCTATTTTATGTAAATAAATACAAGCAAAAAGTGAACTATGTTATATTATCTCACATTAAATACAGGCCTATGTCTATAGCTACGAAGCAGTACTGTATTCATAAGTAAGAAGAAGAAGAAGAAGAATAGATATCAAAGAGATGTTTCGTGGTAAAATAAACACGCGTGGGAAAATGGTTATTTGTACTTCCGGTCAGTACGTATACTGTATCTGTAGTGAAATTATTGCCAATAGCGAAATTATTTCAGATGATGATACGGATACTTTGTCTGATCATTATTTGGAATATGACGAGCAAGAGGAAATGGAAATGGACCATTTCAATTTAAGCGAAGTGTGGATACAGAAAATAAGACAAATTGAGGATAATCCTCTATCAAGTGTACGTGAATATGTGGATGTAGATCTACCAGAGGAAGATGAAGATTCCTTTGGAGATACTTTTCTTTTCGCGGAGTCGATGTCGTTAAAAAAAGACATACGACTTTGAATGTTAAAACGAGAAATTTTTACAGAAAGTATACTCCTAAACAAACTGAGAAACTCTTCGATATAATCATCAAAGAAGACTTCGCGGCAAAAGCTGCTCAAAATTATGTTAAAACTTACAACAATGACCCTGGAAGACGACTTCCTGGATCTTATTCCAAACCTCATGGAAGACCATGCTCTAAGTTAACTGGAGAGCATTCCAGGCTCCTTATTGATGAAGCTGATTTCAGTTTACAAATTCAAAGAAGCCATGATCGTTCATACAACGGCAAGCCCGCAAAAAGCATTGTGCCAACCGGAAAGGGTACTTACAATTTTAGGTGCCATTTCTCAAGCTGGTATCATAAACGTTGAAGTTAAGAAGCTAGAATCAGCTTCTTCTAAAAAAAAAAAAAGAGAGAAAGGCGAACGGTAAGGAAACTAAAGTCAATGGTAAAGTTGGAACAAGAACTGAGCATTACTTGGCGTGCCTATCAAATGTAATGGATACACTGGGTAAAAATGATATGAAAGGTCTCTAAAGAAAACGAATATCTTGAATATAGACTCGAAACTCCTTCAATAGGCACAAGGGCTTTCTTTTCAACTCATTTAAAAGATTGGTGCTTTGAATTATATTTTTTTCAAGCAGTTACAAAAATAGGTTGAAAGATTTTAACTGTATAGTTCATGATTATTCGGAAGACCTTGAATGGATCATCAGCTTAAAAGATGTTCCAACAGAAGTAAAAAAGCTATTGCCCTCTTTTGATATACTTTTCAACTGACCTCAAATTCATATTCAAAACACGGTAGTTTATTTATGACTTGTTGTCTTGTAATGTCTTTTGAATCAATTCTGTCACTTCGGTTACTTTGATAAGCGCAATTTGTGAGCATCTTAATACTTGATCCATTTCTAATGGTATTCCGCCTGCTTTAGATAGAGCACAAATCTCCTTGTTGATATTCATGGTTATTGTCATGTTGCCTTCTTTACACTGTTCCTCTAAATGATTTGGATCGACAACTAATAATTCACTAGAAAAAGTGTTAATATGTGAATTTGGATGAACATTTTGCTTTTTTTGTACCCTTTATCAAAGAATGCAAACGTAATACAGATCGGTATATGATGAATACTTAGAGGCACGGGATTTCTTTGATCTATGGGGTGCTATACATTGTTTGGTCAGAACACCAAATAGGCTACAACTTGCTACTTACAATTGTTACTTCTTCACCAGATACAGTGACATCAGGTCTTCTAAAGTGTAATAAGGCGGTGATTGCTGCTATACAAGCACAGTCTACCAGGTTACCATCATGATCAAGGAACAAAAGGTCAACGCGAATCTGCCATACTTTTTCTCCAGAGACAATACAGAGCCCTTCTGTATCAATAGCTCTACTTCTACGTAATGCCTTTTCTACAATACGACTGATTAATATTTCCTCCTCTGAACGACTATAGATGAAAAAAACGATCAATATAAACGGATAAATAAATGTAAAATAGAGGGTTACTTTGATGTGTCAAATGTAGGTGCTGCCATGGGTGATATCTCTGTATTGAATAAAAGCACACCCTCTGATGGTCTATCGGTATAAGGTCGAACTACCTCAGCTGTCACATGAGCTGCAACTTTTGTCTTTCCTAATCGTACTTCTGCATAGCCATAATCATTTCCTAATGTAATCTCTATGGATCGCATATCATAAACTTCACGACCATCCACTCTTTTTCCTTGTTTTAAAGCTTCTAATAAAAATGTGCTTTCGTTAATGCTTGGATCAGTGTCTTTGACCATGTTTTTTTTATTTTTTTATTTTAAAAAAAAGCAAACGCCAGCAAAAGATTTTATTTGACGCTCTTCCTTCTTGGTAGTGACTACTAAATAGACATGATTGGCTGTTCTAGATAACCCGGCACAATCAGAGAGTTGTATGCATGCATACAATGCCAAAGCTTATTATTATTATTGTTACAGATACTACATATGATATGAGTCGATAAGTAATAAAAAAAGAAAGATATATAAAGTATATTCACTAAATCTAGTCATGATATCTTTAAGTCTGCACAAGTCCTGTTCTTTCTCTTCAATAAACTTATACATATAAATATGCTACACATCATAGCAATCACTGGTTTTAAAACACACACATACATACACACACAAAAAGAAAGAAAGAAAGCGGATTCTAAAGATGAAACAATAGGGGGAGTGGTATATAAAGAATAGATGCCTATATAAACCACAGTGCTTTATAGGGGTATCCTATGTGTATAAAAATAGCTCTTTAAACACTGCTTCAAAACCTTGACTTGGTTGACAATAAACGACGCGCGTACGTGCTGCACACATTTATTCATGGTGAGGTCGAAGTCCAGTCTTGACAGGGTTAATTAAAGGATGCAATTGTGCCAAATAGGTAATAGCCCACCTAAATTTTGAAAATAATGAGTTGAAGGGTTATTTGAAAGATTGTCCTTTAGTTTTACATCAAGTAACAGCAAGCAAGTGACATGATAATTACAGTTCGAATGACGCTATAAAAAAGGAATGAGTTTCATGTTTATATATATACAGCTATCAATTTACGTTTGGTTGTTTCCTTTGGGAGTAGCAACATAACCAACCGCAGATAAAGCAGCTACAATAAGAAAGACCCAAATGATATTATAGCCTGACATGTTTAACCAAAGAGAAAAGAGTAAAGACCTGTGTGTCTGGAGAAAACATCTTTTCAATCTCAGTGCATTGCTCACCACATTCGTTACTTTAAAGAGTGAATTTTGATCATTCAACCCACGCTGTGTTTTACTCTGAAACTAGCAAAAATCTCCAGCCAGCATTAAGAAAGCGACATTAGTTTCTAAAATAACGATGATTTGACAGTAACTAAGTAAACATTACTTTTTATAAATGAATAAAATAGTAGCAATAGTAATAAAGAAAAAAAAAAAAATACAATATAGAAACGTATATACACAAATAATAGTAATTCCTGATGTTTTTCTTTTTACCATTCATAATTCTTATGTTCAGACACAATCACAATGGGTTCTCCAAGTTCAGGACACATACCAGGCTTAATCAATCGACTAGTAAACACTGTCTTTTCTTCTCTATCCCGTTGAATAAACTGAGAGGGTAAGTCTGGTAGACTAAAATAACTTGGTGGTGATGTAACAGGAGTGGATAAGGTAGATGACAATGGTCCCCAATTTTGGTGGTGTTGTGAAGGAGGTTCGTCTAGGCTTGGGTCAAAGAAAACGGGCGATTCTTTTGAGTCCTGATAGGAGAGTACAGAAGTCAAGTTGTGGATATGTAAAAGATGATTATGGGGCAGGTTGGTGATTCCGATGGGTAAGGTAAAGTCGGCCGAGGCATTCGACTTAAGGATAGAACTACGGTTAGAGAACTGAATGGTGAATACAATATCATAATATACATTGATATGACGAGATTGGAAGGAGGGTGATACGAGTCTAGTCGGTACATGCATATGAACTGGTACATGGACATTTCCCGCGTTTCCTGGCACTGGCACGTTCGCCTGAAGTATCTGCCTTACTTTAGACTTTCGCGCAAGCCCTCGTTGTAATTGAATCTGCCCGTCAGTGTGTTTGTTAAATGTAAAGTTTACAGCTGATACAATCATGTCAGCAGATAAACTTTCAATATTCAAAGACATATCCACTTCCTCATCTATTATAAGTCAGTATTTATCTATTTCTATCCATATTTTTATCTTACCAGGGCAAAATGCTTTTCTAGGTACAAAGGCGGTTAAATTAGCAACAGGAACCTTTTTGTCGTTATGAAGCAAGGTTTGAGTAAAAGACCATTGCTTGGTTGGAGGAGCAGAGATGATGGGACGATAGGGAATGACATAATCCTTCGAACGTATTCCTGGATTGGACGCTGCTCCATCTAGGTGAGCTGACCATATGTAATGAATCGAAAACCCTGGTGGATCATCAGAAGAAGGCGGAAAATTGACATTTGGAAACTAAAACGCCCAAGTGAGTTTGAAAGCTTATTTTTTCCTTTTTTTTTACCTTTAATGCAAATGGATACTTGTATTCTCCTGGCTCAATAACTTCCCAGGAACTCATGATGTAAGCTATAGGATATATTTGTGAGATTTTCTATAGAAAAGTGTATATGTCTCTCTCCCTTACGGCTTGGTTCCTTTCCCCATACTTTTGTTTCAACATCAAAATAAGTTGTTGTCACTTGATCTATCCGTTCAATCTTGGATTCAAAGCCATATTCCTTTACTTTGACTGTAGCAACTTCCTCTGCTCGAAACTAATAATCCATAAGTTTATCTTGATTACACTGAATGTCCTGTGTATATACCTTAACCCTTATCTGTGTTGCCAAAATAGGCTTTGTTACGCGTAAACAAACAGCACCTATTTTTTTGATCATTGAGACACATAGGTCAATTATGAAATAAACTAGTCTTTACCTCTTATGATTCTATTAGGTCTAATAATGAGTTGTGAACTAGCTTCGAATTCAATCGATAGTTTATCGGCTTGTTCTTGTTTAAGGGTAGAAGGAGGCATAGGTGACGACCCTGACCTGTTACGGTTACCATGGTTTTGAGATAGTCGGTTGATGCCTACACCTGGGTTATCGGTATTATCCAAGATTGAAAGATTTGAATTTGCAATTATATTCATGCTTTTTATTTACAAAAAGAAAAATAAATAAAAGAGAAAAGAAAGAAACAGGATAAGAAGAAGAGGAGAAAAAAAAAAAAAAAGTTCAATGACGACTATCAGCCAAAAAAGGAAAATGACTTGAAGACGGAGTCAAAAGTGCTTCGATGATATCAGCTATCAAAAATCAAGTGAAGATACAACACGAAAAATACGATAGGACATACAACAATGGATGCGTACCTGAACATAAATTTTGTGAGAAATTTAATCAAAGCATTGACTACAAGTAATAGAAGGCTTCTTTCTTTTTTTAATAGCTGTTCCTTAAACTATTGACCTTGTCTGCAATCATACGTCAATCATCTTGGTAAAAAAAAGCCTGTAGTTTGCTAAAAAAAAAAAAAAAGTGATGCTTCAAATGTGTAGGTTATGTGAAATAAGATGGTAGGAGACAGTCAAAAAAAACTTGATGAGACTCAATAAAGGTGATTTATTCGAAAGAGAGAGAGAGAAAAAGATATATGCAAGTTGTGCATTCATTGAAATTGTTGAGTTGATAGGCGAGCCTAAAAAGAGGTGTGAAATGGCATTTTAACGACTTAGCGAACCGTGTGTCTGCATTTTAGTGAGTTGGTGAACACGAAGATGGAGCATACCTTTTTCTTCATCTTCTTATTCTTCTTTAAGCTTGCTTCGTCAATGTCTGAATGCACAGATTTAAGCCTATCTCAGGCGGCCTGCCTAGCTCTTGGTTTGCAACTGTCGTATCCTACGTTGAATAAGGGTCAATAATCAGTGTCTACATATCAATAACAAAAGCTCAGTAACATAAACTGACCAATCATGATAATAATTACAATTCTATATAATATGTGTATCTATCAGTTTTAACACTTTCATCTTTATTCTTCCAAATAAAAGAAACATAAAGAGTCCCATTGTATTTCTGTCTATTACAACTATAACAACTACAACAACATCACAGCAACAAACAAAGCAACATCGGCTTCAAGCAGTCGCTAGATTACGAGAGTTGGGTTTGGTTCCTATACATGTTACTGGCGCCAATTCACTGTTGCCGTCCCTGGTGTCAAGAATGGTACAAGAGATAAATCCTTTTATGTATATCAAATATGCAGACGATAGTAAGTGTGTTTGTAGTCTCATTAATAGGCTTGTGACTGACATTAATGTATTCAAATGACCAAAGTGGCGGCTCTTCGTCCCCTTCCCCATGCATTACATCATCGACCGTTGTTTCAAATGAAAGCCTGACCCCTTCATCTTCGTCCAGTGAAGTATTTGCAGTTACTGCTGGATTTTGATAGATATTTCTTTGTAAATCATTGCTGTCGTATTTGACTAACCTTTACGTGTGAGATTACATTTGACTTAATTGCATGCACCTTAGTTAGTACTCCGACCTAATTTCTTTTTGCTATGAGCTCCTCCTCTCACTTCTAATAAAAGGATAAAACAGAGGCCCATCAGTTCTTTGCTTTTATTCTACACATTACTGAGTACTAACAACAACAACAACCATACTTCAATTGCTAAGATTTTTTTTTGCCTTGCAACCTTAATTGTTTTGTTGTATGGTCAAAGTTGAATTTTTGGACTTTTGGGATTTATTATTCGAATTGTTGATAGCTTTATTAAATAGAATTGATGACAACTACTAATTATAATCAAGAATAAAATATAAATAACTTACTTTTTCTAATTGCTTTGGTACATTTAAGCAAAGATAAATCCCCAAAGAAAAAGAAAAGCAAAAACAAATAATAATAAAACTATTTAAATAGAATATAACTATCATGTAATATAGACCATACGTTTTTTTTTTTTTAGAATATTTCAGTTTTACTGTTAAATAAATTTTTGAAAGCCGAAGTGGCAAGTCGCTGATAGTGCTTTAAATCATCGATATCTCTGTTTTCTTTTGGTAAACGATTGAATATAGCAACTGTAAAGGAAAGAACTAAGACTGAGGAATCATGCCGAACGTTTGACACATCCAGTACGACAATTGAAACAGTTGATTATTTCTTCATTCGTCAGCAGGTCATGCCACGAAAATATGTCGAAAGTCAATCCGCGACCAACCACAATTTCCTCAATTTGTGTAAATTTCTTATTTTTTTTAGTATCAAATAAGTTAATTTATTCACGGATAGCCTCACCATACGTCTACTTTACCTGGTGAATGCACGAATATCATTTGGCTCTGTGCTTAACCTGGCAAAATCGATGACTGCCAAACGGATAGGCTTAAACTTTGTTTTAAGCAATTGCACTAAAGCTAAAAAAAAAGTGAGTATCTACGCAGAATATTTGGTGGTTCTTGCAGATCCTCTATAAAAGTAATGCTACAACTGACGAAGTTGCCGACTATGACAGAGTGTACCCATATACTACAAGCACAATTCCTCTTACGATCTCTGTCATTGCCAGATGATGCGCTTCTGACTTACTTACTCCCACATATACGCCTCTTCACAAGTCATTCACAATGGTATACTATATCAAAAACGCCACTGTGGAAACGTTGTACGCAATATACTGATATACTAGGCAAACGATTGTTAAAGAAGATACGTCTGCAATATCTGCAAGACAACTTAGAACAGCGGCGTACTGCACGCAGCTTAAATCTGCTCTCACTGTGTCGCCTAACAATCTCTTTGGATCCAATCCTTTGGTTACCCATGACAAGGCTAGAAAGAAGCCGGTGCATACGGTGGCATCTTGGTTGGTTACCCAGTTATAACACTACTCGCTGCCTTCGGCACACCTCACAGCTTCTTACAAAACAACATGCCATCTATTGCCTCGACATGCATCACCGTCTACACATACCGAAGTCTATAACTGACCCTCTGTCCCTCCTTTTAAATAAGCTTCCCACTCGAAAACCACGCTCTTTTCAAACAAGATCGTTTTGGACTATCAGATGGCCCGTAATTTGCACTATCTTACATAAGCTTGATTACCTATACCATGAAAAAGAGCCACCATCACCATTTGACCCAGGCAGAAACTGATTAAATGGTTATTTAATTCTTCATAGCAGTGTTTTTAACACTTGTTCCGTGAATCTGTCAGCCAAAGCATTTTTGCCCTCGAGCCCAGAGGGATTTTTAGATACTGCCTCACAACTTGAACTGGCCAGGGTAAAAACGATATAATAAAAATACCACATACCTCTTGTGGCCTTGATATTTTATATATAAAGAATAAGGAAATACAGTCTTTCTGGAAAGTAGAGTCGTACAAATCTTTGGCCAACTTTTTCAGAGAGCAATGTAACACATCTGACGTCGAACTTCTTATTTAGATCAAGTTTTTATATAAGGGAAATACAACTTTATTTATAAAAGCATAGCCCAGAGAGCAAGCTTGTATTATTGCTGTTGTGGTGAAGTAGTCAAGTACTCTTTGATCTTTTGACTATTGGATCCTATTAATATATGTGAGTTTTGTGGTTTTTTTTATTTATTTACCAAGACTTACTTGATCTGGATGCAGGTTCACTTGTGTCAAGTTGCAAAGGAGGTATACTGTTCTTATCAGAAGCTAATGACTTTTGGGATGAACTAGAAGTCGATCGACGGATCTAATAAGGATGAGCTACAAATGTATCATTTTCGCTTTAATTTTTGCCACTTACAATACCGCCTCTTCCAGGAGAAGGAGGTACAGTTCTGAACACAGCAGGAATTCTATTGAACTTGGTTCATACCTTTTTTCATTTTTTCACTATTTGCTTACCCTTCATCTAATGGGATATCATCTGTTGGTAAACCTGTTTGTTTACGAAGGTGAACTAATTCACTCTTATACTTATTACATTGTTGTAATTTTATAAGAACTAAATATAAATATAAGCAATCTAGTGTTTACAAAACATATTCACTTGCATTCTTTTTCCATTTCGGTTGTCTTATTCTTCAGGATAGCTATTTCAGATAGCAACATCTCTGCTGTATTGGATTGCATATCAACCGTTTCCTTGGAAGGCTTCTTTGTACTAAGAGGACATATTAATCACATATGCATTACACAAGAGTGAATATTTACAGGATAGGTGATATAATACTAGAAGAGGCGCTACTCTCATGCAAGTGGGAAGCTGCCTGTTGAGCTCTTAATGAATCCAACTGCTTCTGTAGCTTATTAACAATATATTCTTGTTCTTGTTCCAAAGAGTTCTCCATATCGATCTTTTCACGCTGAAGTTGATTTAACTTTTTTTGAAGCATGTTTGTCATGTATTCTTCTTCTTGTTCGACTTGTAAAAGCAATTCACTTTTTTCCTTCTTAAGTCCACTTATACGCTTTAATAGTTTATTCGAAATAAACTCTTCTTCTTGTTCTGCCACTGCATTCTAAGTTTAAGGTTAGTTATGAAAAGATGGAAATAAATAAATTATATACCATTTCAACTGCCATTTGTTTTAATGCCTTATTATCATGCTTTAATATTTTGACATGCCCCTTTTCCATTTCCAACTCAAACTCCAATTTCTTGATACGAGCTTCTTGCTCTAAGCATCTTGAATGTAATTCCTTTACTTTAGATTTTAATTCATCCAAATCCTGTATTCTCAATAACTCTTCTAGCTGATCAGAACTAGATTATCTCATGTGAGGCCTTTTGCATCATAACAAAGATTCATATGCATGTACCTTTCTATGCTCTGAAGCTTGGATTCATAGGCTTTTGTGCGTGTATGCAAATCTGCTTCAAGTGCTGCCTTATCTTTACGAACCTTTTTTTTAAGGATTAGATCATGAATAGAGTATATTAATTTAATTTACCTGTTCAAGTTGCTCGCGAAGTGTTCTTGTCAGCTGTTTCTCGTTTTCCTTTATTTCGGTCAACAATGTATTTTTCTATACTTGATAAGAACACATATAGTAACTATTTAATAAATCTCCTTACTTCGCTATTTTCAATATCGCTGTACACAGACTGAGCGTCACTCATAATAGTTCAATAATACACCACAAAATATATAAAAGAGAAAGAAAGAAAGAAAGAAAGAGAAAAAAGGGAACGATAACAAATTAAATTCAAAACGCGGGAATTGAATACGATGTCAAAATACAGCATTTTAATTTTTTTTACCTTTAGAGAGAGAAAAAAGAGACTCATGCATCATTTAATATATACCTTATTTATATAGTAGGCAAAAGAAAGACAAAAAAGACAGAAAGAGGAGCAACATTGATACCTGAAAGTCGGCATAAGAACTAAAGTTCACTGTGACCGCGCGCTCTTTTCTTTTTCTTTTTCTTTTTTTAATTTAATTCTAAATGGAACAAAGAGTCATGTCAGCAGCTTCTTTACCCCTACTCATCTTGGGTTTGGGTTGGACTGGTCAGTTCTTGACTGCACTGATGTTGTCTATGCAAATGGACTATGCTGCAACCACACGTGATGGCAGAAATGGCACCATTATTTGGACATTACCTGATAACTGTGCCTCTCTCGACGTTACTTCTTTACCCTTTGCACAAACTGTACTTGTCACTTTTCCCATTAAGCAACCACAGTGCCTTGATGCTCTCATAAATGCATATGAGGCTCAACATGGACAATCTTCTCAATGGATTCTTCTTTCGTCCACGCGTCCATTTAGTGGTGACCCAGCTGATAGACATACACCACTCGATAGATCCAAAGATACAGGACGTATGTCTGCAGAGGATACTCTTATTCAAAGAGGTGGTTCTGTTTTACATTTAGCAGGCCTCTGGGGAAATCAAAGGTATCATATGTCTAAAACAAAACAAAAGAACCTGGGCTAATATGTATCAATAGGCAACCAAAGAATTGGGTTCCCCGTTTTCCAACAGCTGAAGCCATACGTAATAAACTCCTTCAACGTCAACTTCACTTGATTCATGGCAAAGACGTTGCCCGTGCTATTTTGGCAGTCCATCAGCAGTTTAAACCAGGGGAAAGATGGATAATTACCGATCAAACTTGCTATGACTGGATAAAGCTATTTTTAGCTTGGGGCAGTGACGAGCAAATCAAGATAGCCAGAGACTTGGCTATTCACGATGACCAATGCCGACAAGCACTTGGTGATGGATCATTGGAAGAAGTTGTCGCGCGAGGAGGAGTCAAGCCCAGGTTAGATTCAACTGAATTCTGGGAAACTTTTCATTTGAAGCCAACAGAATTTTTAAGTGTATGATTATGTCGTGTACGTTTAAATTACCTTTACTCATAATAAACTAAAACCTCAATTGGTCGTACGATAATATAGTGAGGGCATATATACATATCGATGCTACTGCTCTTTTACTGGTTTCTACTGCTTTACTATTCTAAATTTGAGCGCGCAATTTTTATATGAAAATGGACAAGGAAATGTTGTTGATAGGAACGGTACAGAAAAATAGCCCAGAAAAGATTAAGGAACGGCATTGGGTTCGCAAACGGGAACAGACTGTTATGGATCTCTTGACCAATTGCATGAAACTTACAAGGGCTTGGTCTAAGAAAGGCATTCTTGCTGTTGCTACAGTGCCAATTACAAGGGCAAAGACTACAACTATATTGGATGCTATTTCTGCCTCAGGTTTGATTAAAGTAAGCTTGAGGATATAATGGCCTGCTAAGAAGAGAAAGGCTGGACAGGAATCCGGGTATGTCAATAATAGTACTGTTACAGGGAATTACATTAGCTTTTTAAAAGATACTTTGGATAAAATGGACAAATATCCACATATGAAAGGTAACCATCTCCTTATGGATAATACCTATATTCATAAGTCTGAAGATAATGCAAAGTATATTATGCCGTGAAAATAGCGTTGTACTTATCTCCCTTCATATTCCTCTGGAATTAACCTAATTGAACAGTTCTAATCTGTTGCTAAAAGCAAAGTTTAGCGTCATAGATTTTTGGAAAAAGAGACTTTATTAACCAGAGTCAGTGACGCTTGTAACAGCTTGATGTTGAACAATTTCTACGGCTTCGTTTCTCGATCACTTCGTTGTCGGGATATATGTCGCAATAGAGAAAATACGTAACGTTTCAGGGCCAAATTATTAGCAAGGGCATTCAATCAGCTTAAGTCATTTCATTACTTCTACAAAGGTAAAAGTGATTAGTAAATCGGTAGGGATGGACAAGTTTTTTTCTCAGCAAGCGACATTTGAAATTGTATGAAAGTGTTACGCCTGTTACGCCTATTACACTACTTTACAGACATATTGGAAGATTTATTTATTCACATTAGCTTTGCTTTTTATATTTATTGTAAGTGACTCGCAGACTACTATCAGAACACTAGCGAGTTATTTTTTCTTGCTTTACCTCTTCAAAACAGCTATTCCTATTAACTTTCTCAACATTATGAGATACGCATCCCTCAACAAACTTTATGGCGCTGATCTCAAAGTTGCTCGTCTTGTGTGCCTTGCTAATAACTGGAGGTTCCTCCATCGACGTGACACTTTCCTTTGAAACTTCATTGACACTTGTAATCTCCTCGTATTTTCTTTTCAATCGTGCATTATATCCTCTGCCATCCTTGGTGTACCACAAGGCCTTGGATATATTTGGAGGCTCATCTTTCAAGCAATCTTGGATCTTCTTATACTATGTTTCGTTAACTCCACAGATCGTTTGCAAAACAACAATCCTTTCATCCTGTTCTTTTTCTATTCCCTCAATCGCCCGTCTTGCAATCAAGTACAACTGCTGAGCCGTTGGATCATCCCATCTTGTTAGTATCAAAATGCATCTTTGTTTATGCGTTTGGAACATCGTGAAAACTACTAGTGGATGCAAGTTATTTTCATTCGTGTAGCCTTGTATGGTGGATTTCGAGAGAGAAAAAGGCATTAATTTGCCTAAAATGCATAAGACATCTCATACATGGCTTGAATGTGTCCATTAGACTGCCTGGAAACCCTCTTTCAATACAAATAGCTACTAGAATAGCAAGCTTTTTGTACACACAATATGCATGGAGGCAATATAGTATTGCACGTTCATATAGGCCCGATTGACTGTAGCGGGCTAGATTCGCTTTGTGGTTTATGGTACTATATATCAGTTTCTTTACAAGAGTAAAGAATATAACATACCTTAGGGCTAGCTGGGGAATAGCTGAGCTTACATTTTGGCTTAAAGAAGAAAAGAAAAAGAAGTCAAGACCAGACTACTTATAATATGTCTAATAACTTTTTCAGTTACGTATTACTCATAAGTGTTGACCACATTTATTTTCTGTATCTCTCAAAATATCAAAATATCAAAAAAAGATATCCAATTAAAGTACAATTGTTATTGTTTAAAGTGTGTGCAAATAATTTATGAATAAAGTATATATGACATAACCTCCTTCGCAAAAGCACATGCCATTCGCTGTCTCCAAACGTACGGTCGATCCATGATGCCCGAAAGCATTCCTGATCTGCTGTCCTTCCTTTAGAACCTATTCCCTATGAAAAGACTTCATTCCTCTCAGGTCGCTCTCCCACCGACTCTCCGTTGACCAGTCATATGCACTATCCTTTTGTGTTTGATTACCTCCATCATGATAAGTACCCCCCCCTCTCTTCCGCCGCCTCACATCGGACAAAGACTTCTCGAATGACTTTCCTCTTCTTCTTTTCGCTAGCGTGTCTTACACTTGACCTTAATCACTCTTTCCATAGCATTTTTATGCTTGATCCAATAAGGGCTTTTTCAGATACCAATCTCCCTTTTTGATATGAGGTTTTAATCTATTTTGAATACAAATAATTTAAACGTAAACAAATTGATAATCATTCAGAAAAGACTGACATTAAAGCCTGCAGTAAAGAAAAAAAATTCTAATAGAAAGAAATCAAATCGAATACACAATGTTTCTTTATCAAAAAAAAAAAAAAATGAAAAGAGCAGTTAGCATTTTGTGGCAAATACTTTAATGATAGCTATACCAAATAAAGCAATTCACTAATTAGAAGACAGAAAAAAAAAAAAAGAGTTTAATGCAACCTGTTCTTTTCTTTCTTCCTCTTTCTATCTTTCTCTCTCTTTCCTTTCTTTTTTTTTTTATTAATTATGGATTTTATATGGAATACCCAAAAAGATATCAATGATGATAATAATGATTTGAAGAGGTATTTTATAGATACTTTCGCGCACAAAAGAACTTGTAAATAATAATATGACAGTAGTGCCATATCCATAAAAGAAAACGACGAAGCGTCAAAATATGCTTTCTCTCTTTCTAGGAGTCGTAGTACGAGTACGTCAGCCAATTCACGATTACGTTATGCGCCTTTAGTTGAAAATACAGTTCGTCGTCCTCGTGCTGACACGATGCCAACTTCAAGTCCATTCGAATTATACAATCCATCAACAAACATTGACTGTCCTCCACTTCTCTCTGACGAAAACGTACCTAATTCACTTACTAGTACACTTGCATCTCTTGGATTAACTGACGACGACAGCAGCATATCTTCAGGATTGACTAGACACTACTTTGAACCAACAACAGCTGTTGCTGCCGCCGCTGCCGCTGCTGCTGCTGCTGCCACTCGCAACAGATCCTACACGGTGTCGGACATGGCTCAACGTCGTTCATTCAAGCCTTTCTTGACTGACAATACAAAAGAACAAGTCTCGACAGCTTCTTTGCAAACACACCATCGACCGAGAGCGGCTAGTCTGGGCATGGCCGAAATATCTCATCACCACTTTTCACCTTTTGACTTTGATTATTTTGACCCGAGTATCCATGAAGGAAGCAAGACGGATAACTCATCACTATACTCTACAATAGAAAAGACCAGAGAAGATGAATTGATGGTAATTATCATTATCTTTCCATTTTACTTTAACCTAATGTTTAATATAGACAAAAAACGATTCCAGACTGTCTTCACCCAGTCTATCAGCTCAGCAAACCCCTTCTCGTGCTCTTTGGTTAGGCAATATCAGCCCATCGGTCAAGGTATCTGATCTATACCAGCAATTTTCTTCTTATGGTCATATAGAAAGTGCTAGAATTCTATCAGATAAGGACTGTGCCTTTGTTAATTTTGAATCAATTGAATCTGCATTAGCCGCAAAAGAGGATCTGGAAGGTCGATGGGGCAATAAGGTCAAAGGATCGGTCGTCAAGGTGGGATTTGGTAAGGCAGATGTGAATCTAGCTGTTGCATTAGCCAATGAATCTTCACCCAACGTCCAAGGTCCAACTCGTGCTTTATGTAAGTCAATTTATATATATTTATGCATCACAACTAAACTTTTATCTTAAGGGGTCGGTAATATTCCAACGAATACTAGTTCTACTCTTTTACAAACTGTCTTTGAATCATTTGGTCCTATCGAATCTATACGTATTCTCTCTCACAAGAATTGTGCCTTTATCAACTTTCATCGACAAGAGGATGCTGTCCGTGCTCGGAAGGCGCTTCAAAACAAGGAAATTTTGGGTCCCGGTACAGGTACAGTGCGCGTGGGATTTGCAAGAGAACCTGAGGGTGAAGATATTGCAGCAGCCACTGCGACCAAATCGCGGCATCAAGAGAACGCCAACATCCTTGCCAGCATTCTGTCAGATGTAAATAAAACCATGAGCGAGAAACAGGCGATCAATCAAGATCAACACCAGGTTCTTTATCTCGAACGTAAACTTATAATGCAACACTTGGGATATACACCACCTGATGAAGGTAACAAAATAATACTGCAAGTAACAAAAACTAATCACTTTTTTTTAAGATCGTATTCCTATACAGTATTCCTCATTCATGCCACCTGTACCAGAATTTAATTCTGACCGCAAAGTACGCCCATTACGACTAAGAGAAATTAGAAAGGGATTGGATACTGGTCTTCTCCTGTCTGAAATCGAGTCAATTGCTGAAGAATGTATGGAGGAAATTGTCGAACTTTGTAGTGGTAAGAGAATACATTACATAAGAGACAAAGACGGGGATGGTATTGATCAAAAGTGAAAATAGATTACATTGGAAATACGGTTGTTCAAAAAATATTTGAATATGGCAGTGAAGATACAAAACTGGTCTTACTAAAAACCATTGCTCCCTATCTGGCATCGATTGGTGTTCACAAAAATGGTACTTGGGCTGCTCAAAAGATCATAGACACTTGCCATACAGAAGAACAGGTAAAAAGTTGTATATAAAGAATATAAGAGAAAGGGAAACTAATGTTTATAGGTTGAACTGATTTGTACTCATCTTGCGCCTTATGTTCCATTATTATTACTCGATCAATTCGGAAATTATGTTGTCCAATGCTGCCTTCGTATGGGATATCCGAGGAATCAATTCATTTTTTATGCAATTGCTGATAATTGTCTAGTTGTTGGCCAAGGCAGGTTTGGTTCTAGATCAATACGAGCTATCCTTGGAAATCCCATTGTTACCAAAGAGCAACAGGTATAGTGATAATACATACAACACACAAAAGTACTAACTTCAATAGATCTACATTGCTGCTGCCATCATTCAAAACTCAATGCTATTATCCATCAATCCAAATGGTTGTATCTTACTCAATTGGCTTCTTGATACCTCAAAATTATTAGATCCTGTATCACATGTACATTTGCCATAAGTTAAAAAATAGTCTTTAATATTTCCATCAATTTCTTCTCTACAAAAACAAAAAGCATATCATCCGATTGATTTAAATTAAAACTGACATAAAACTGTTGTTTATATCTTTTCGCTACAAACAAGTTGGTTAGTAAAAAGTCGCATCTTTATTATTCACGTTTTTACCTAGTTTACGCGCCAAATTTTTACTCTCTTCTGAGACACTTTTACCTAGTAATGAAGTAGAGGAAGCTACAGTCTATAAGGCTGTTTAATAGTCAATTATTAAATATGTTTTTTTATTTACATGTGATGCAAAGGGAGGAACGGCCATGGACAAGTCTCCTAATTTGCCATCCTCTTTTCCAACCCAAATAAACACCGATTGTCTCATCCCAGTGACCTGAAAATGAACAGGTTCTGTCATGAACAAGTGAGTCTCTTGATAAATTTTGAATTCTGGCTCAACTGTAATCATTGTATATAATTTATAGAAAAAGAAAAGAGAAAAAAAAATTGAAGCGCGCGTGTATAAATAAAATGTGTGAATGATTGATTTTGTTGCCATGACAATTACATTTCTATTTTTTTTTTCAAACAGTGTACGCAATGTGTGTGTTGCTATATCCACAATAATATTTTTTTTTATTTCCTGATTCTAAACAAGTTTAACGAGACTTGAAGTAGTCCAAGAGAACGTTCATAGCTTCGGATTCTTCTCCGAAATCGGTAACGGCAACACAAGAGCAGCCAACGACCTTACGAGCGTTACCTTCACGATCAATCTTGCAGAGACCAGCCCATTCACCGAGCTTCTTGGCATCAGCGACCTTGATCAAGTTGATGTTGTGTTCAGCACAGAGAGCTTCAACCAACTTGATGTATTCAGATTCGGTACAAGATTCGACAAGGACGGCCAAGTGAGCTTGACGTCTATGAGTGTAAAGATGAGTCAATGTGTCCAATGTCTTCAATTATCTCCTATTCTAACCTGTCTAAAGCCTTGACGGCTTCCTTTAAACCACGAGCAAGACCATCGTGGACAAGAGCACGACGAAGGACTTCTTGAAGGGCATCTTCAACTGACATTTGGCCGGAAGTGGTTTCAACGGCGACTTCGACTTCTTGGCTATCGATAACTTCTTCGTGGTCAGACATCTACACAAGGTATTAATGATCTATGGTTGGATGGACTGATGGATGGGTTGATATCCTACTTAACGATTGATTAAAAGAGAAGGGATTCTTCAATTATCAATTTCCTACTTTTGGATATACTCATTGAAGCCCTGGAACACACACACACACACAGCGCCAACACAGCGCGCGCGCACACCACAACAAAAAGTGTGTGGAGGTAAGCAGAGAACTCTTGTCGCACAAATGCGGCTTGAACAATGAGGTTCGGAAAGTGAAAGGATGTGTCAAATGAAATTGACGCATTTAAGATGGCTGTCAGCAATTTTGACCTTTTTTTTTCTTATCTTTTTCTCTCTCTTTCATCTATGAATCGCAACAGCAACCGCAATGAACCTTCTTCCAACAGAGTGAGAGGGCCTACTTCTGCTTTATCGAGCTTTTTAAGAGTGAGTTGCCTTTAGTTATTATAGATGTAAGCCTGATCTTGAACTTTTTTGTAGGAGCAAGGTATTCAAGTGCCTAACCGTAGCAGAAGAGCACGCCGTGAGGAACAAGCAACTCCAAGAGAAATGAGTATTGATCCTCCTACGCCCTCTGATGAAGCTAGCTCCATGGAAGGAGTAGAACAGACTGTGACGGTTGCTGCGCAGTCGTCGTCATCATCATTAACAGCAACAACAACAGCAGCAGCAACAGAGGAAATGACTTTTACTGCATCATCATCTAAAAAGAAGAGAAAGGATGATAGTGATGACGATGATGATGTTGACTTTGCGCCATCCAGTTCAAGGAAGGCTGCCAAAGGCCGTGCACGTATTCTGTTTTGTGTGATCTGCAAAAGCAGATTTGCTCGTGACATAAACGATGACAATGAAGAGACTCTCTGCAGTGACTGCAAGGCTGGAAAGTCTCCTAATAAGCCTGTTAATTCCAAGAAGAAAAGGTTGAATGTCAGTAAGAAAGAGCAATTACTTGCACATGACAGAGTGCCTTCTCTTCAAGATATTTGTATTTCTGTAGGTGACTCTATGCATATGTGTATACAAAAATTGACAGTGGCTTGAACGTAGATTGTTGTTGAATATATTGATGAAGTTGAAACCTTTGGATTCATTAGTGACGAAAGTTTCGAAAAGCTGGCCAAGATCATTTCTCGTAACAGAAAATTGAACAATCAAACCTCAAGACTATTTATGGAACCATACAGAAAGTCCCTAAGCTTATATGACTGCACTAGTAAGTAGTAATAATAAATAATGAATGATATATACTCATGTTCAATAGATATGGATGAGACCGCATTGATGAATGTTGCTCACTTTTGTCCTAGAATGGAAAGACTAGAACTGATCTATTGTGGTCAAATCAATGACAAGGTGTTGCGCCTTTATCAAGAACGATTACACAACTTGAAGTCGTTGTTTCTTTCCGGTGCTTTTCTTGTTACTAAAGAAGCGTGGATCTCATTCTTTGAAACGACAAACAACAGACTTGAAGCCTTTGGTCTTCGTCATTCAAATCGCTTTGATCTCACCTGTATTGAATCTCTCTCCAAGCTTTGTCCTAATCTTCAATCGCTCAATTTAGGGCAATTAGGCTCTCTGACATCAGAATACTTGCCACATGTTGCGAAATTGACCAAGTTGACCAAGTTGGAACTAGCATGGCCATCTAATGAAGAAGAAGATACAGAGCAGACAGCTAATTTGATTCATATGTTAGAAGAGATTGGACCTCAGTTGACCGAACTATCTCTTAGAGGATTTTATGGTTTAACTGACGACGTATTGCTAAAAGGTATCATGAAATATTGCAAGAACCTTAAAAAGTTAAATGTGGAACAAAGTGAACAACTCACAGCTGAAGCTGCGGTGCAATTCTTTGAGAACTGGGAAGCCGAAGGCCTGACATATCTAGACATTTCCCGATGTATTCTGTTAAATGACGAGGTTCTGAAAGTGGCCATTCGTCGCTTTGGCAACACTTTGACTCATTTGAACATTCACAGCTTAGAGTTACTTTCTCCTAATGGCTTGGAAGTCTTGGCCGGCGTGAATGAGAATGAAAAGGATTATTGTCACCAGCTCACGTATCTTAATTGTAGCTTTGTTCGAGCTATGGATGATTTTGTTCTTCAAAAGTTGATTACAAAATGTAAAACATTACAAGATATTCATGTTTGGGGCTGCCACTTGGTAAAAATGAAGTCTACTTTTATGCATATTATATTCACCATATTTCTTTAAATAGATCACAAATGCAGTAAATGCTCAAATCAATCCCATATTACGCATTATTGGAAGGGAAACCAGTACTATATCTTTGTTAAATACTCATTAATATATGGTTGGGCATTTGTGTTACCTTTTTTAATTTTCTCTTCTTTATCTCTTCTTTCTTTCTCTCTTTCAAGCAAATGTCTTGCTTCAATGGCAAAATCTAATAAATTAAAAAAACCACCTCGGTTTTACTTTTGGAGAAAGACTTTATCATTATCTGATCTCAATCTACCTCGCCGCTCAAAGATAACAGTTGATGCCCTTCGTACATTAAGCTTGTTTCCTTCTGTCCTTGGCTGGGCCTATAATTGGCAACAAGCCTTACAGGTACCATTACGTGATGCAGGTGGTGCTGCTATTCTTCAGAGTTCTCAGTTAGATTATGTCGTTGCTAGCTTTTGGGTAATTGAATACAACATTTGCTTTAATCTTTACATTAACCGAATGATAGTGTGCCTTGGCTGGCTATTGGAATTGGATATTAACCACAAGTATGATGAGACGTTGGATATATCATTATGAAATAGAAAATGCCATTGTTCGATTGATCACCTTTATTGTCATCACATGGTCCATTTCAGCTTTTGTTGGTTCTCGTAATGGACCTGATCAACCTATACGTACCTGGATGATCAATTGCTTTATACTGCTAATCACAGACGTCATTCGACTTTCTATCGTTTCAGATCCTAAATATCACGGGAAAAATGCCAATGTAGGAGATCCGAACCTATTTCTAAAACTGACAATCACAAAAGTGCTCATCATCCCCATGTCAGTAGCAACATGTCTTTCTGTTATCGCAGTACTTATACAAATCGATCAATTACACTACAGTACAAGCCAGATCATGACTGGACCCGTTTTACTAGATGCAAACTTGACACAGGCAAGCAATGACTCGATACTAGTCTTGATCATGTCATGCTGGACATACACATGCTTCGAGAGAAGACAGGTGCTTAGGAAGACCACTTTGAAGCTACTAGAACCATATCAACAAGTAGATTATCGATTTGTCCTAGGGCAACCGCCATCGGCTCAAGCACAGATGTTCGTAGGACCCGATATTATTCAGGAATCAGGCATTTACAAGGACATGATCCTGGTACAATCTTCTGATATTGAAACAGATAAGAGTAGAAAAGTGTTTGAAGCATTCAAATGGGCAAAGGAGTTGAATCATGAATACATTGTAAAAGTAGATGACGACGTCTTTGTTCGTTGGGATACTATCATTGAAGAACTAAAAGCTATGGACCCAAAACCATATTATTGGAAAGGGCTCACTTATAGGTATGCGTAGATTATATTTATACATATATATGATTCATTGACCCTGTACATAATAGAAATATACCCATTCGTACCCTGAGCAATTATAAAACATTGAAAACAGACTACGCATTACCTGTTATTCCAGCTTATACCCACGGTATGCTATACATTTTTTCAAAGGACATCCTGGAATTGATTCTGAACCCAAGCTCGCCAAGACGATTTGTTCATGGAGATGGAGAAAACTTTGCTATTTGGCTATTTGGTTTCAACATAAGCCCTAATCATGATAGGCGTATTCATGATGCATATGATGTGTGCGAGAATGACTTTATAGGAAAACGTATGGAACGAACAACAGACATGCTAGTCATGTACTCTAACCTTGTGAGTGGACGTCTACCCTGTACTGGATTTGATCTTAATGGCTGTGCTCTCTGCTATTCCTGCCTTAATAAAAGATCAAGCTGGAGAACAATAAATTTTGCTTGTGATCCCGATAAAGGTATCATATTGAGAGAGATGGTTGGCTTTTCTCAAATTGCTGGCCTGCTGGATCGAACCTTTTTTGAATAATAAACATTACATCTATTTCTCTCTCTTTTTTTTTCTGTTTAGTTCTCATGAATTCTTCTCCTTTAAGTACTCCCGTTATCCCCTAAGTAATGCTAAACAAAGGGGGAGCGTACCTTAAAAGCCAGCTGAATAATCTGATAACATAATCCAATCAGAATCATGGAAAAAAGAAGTAGCGAAATCAGCGCAAATTGCTCCAATCCTGTTACATGTAACTATATAAACCCAACTTTTTCTCCCTCTTTTTTTTTTTTTTTCTTTTTATTGCTTATAAATTATATCTAAAAAAATGGCTGTAATGAAAAGATGATCACGCGTCTAGTTTTATATGAAAGCTAATACCACTTCTTTTTATTAGACATATGTTTTCAATGTTGAAATGTCTTGTTCTGGCTGTTCTGGCGCTGTCGAAAGAGCCTTAAATAGATTAGGTAATAATAACAATAAAGAGAGGAGGGAATGAAAAAGAGAATAACAATTATACATATATAGGCGTTGAAAGTGTCAAGACTGATTTAGAAAAGCAAGAAGTAGTTGTTGTTAGTGAGCGTCCGATTGAAGAAGTATTAGCTACTATCCAAAAGACTGGTAAAACTGTCTCTGTCAAAAACTAATATTGTGATTTAAATAAAATTTATGAACCGCTCCAAAATATTGTTATCTCGCCGTCTGCAGGACCAGAGACGACGCTGTCTGTTGGTTTTGAAGAAGGTGAAGAAGCCTTGTTTTTGTCATCAAAGGGGTCCTCTTTTTCTGGTTTAAGCGTCTTTTTAAAGGATGCACTTCGAGTCACTCCATCTTGTATCTTGACTGTATCCACGCGCATAATTTGAGGTTTAGCTCGTACCACCTGGGTTGCTTGAACGACCGTGGCCGTACGAGGTTGCTCTAGGTTAGAATCGGTCGATGTTCGTCTGCTGACACCACCTAAATAACTTTGAGTCATTATACTGTTTCCTGTTGATAAATGGTGATCATCGAATGGATTTTCAGCGTTACCGTTTTGCCATTGACTTGATGCAACGCTTGTAAATGTTGAGACGCTTGCATGTCGTCCGTCATCCAAGTCAAGTATTGAACTTTGTGCACGAGAAGCTGTTGGCGGTACAAATGCGACTGGTATAACTCCTGACATAACTTTGGACTAGATATATAAAGTTAGATTTTAAATAATGTAAAAAGGATATATATGATTTACATTTCTATTATATTGCATCTCTTCTTCTTGTCGAGGAGTAATTGATCTCTTACTGTGGTTATTTACAATAGCTTTCTTCAGTCCAAGTGGTATCTTGTTTTTCTTTCGTCTGTATCTGATCAATAAAAATCCTGCAATGCCTAATAAAGCACCACCACCGACTAGACCGCCAACGAGACCACCAATGAGACCGGCATTGGAAGAGTTGTTTGAGCCATTCGAATTGTCTGATGAGGGCAAACCTAATACTTGAGGTGGCATACACTTTGGGTCAGGACAAACACCCTGGCTTGTCATTGTTCCTACGACACACACGTAGCCATTGGAACAACTTGGTGAACAACTCTTCACACAGCCTTTAATTTATATAAAAATGAATACAAGAGAGAACAAAATAAGATTTTTTTTTGTTTACTTTGTGCATGGATTGAATTAAACAATAATAAAAGTAAGAATGAAAATAATATGAGCCATTTCATTCTATTCAACTATATTTTTTTTAAAAAAAAGAGAGAGTATATTTTTTTTTTGTTCCCTTCTTTTTGGTTGTTCTCTTTTTGCTGTTGTTGCCACAACAGGAAAAAAAAAGGGGGAGGAGTAAAAAGAAAAAAAAAGCAATTAAAAAGACTATTAAACAAGTGTGACAAAAAATTTAAAATTGCAACAATTAAAGTAACCAGGCAACCAATTCCCCTCTTTATTTTTATGACATGTTGTGTTTTATAAACATCTCCCACTCGTTCCAAGTAGTCGCACTAGGCACATCCCATAGTGGAATATCTGATTTTAAGCTAGATATATCCAATTGCTGCTGTACCAAATTATCTGTCATGGTAAACAGATGATTCAGTTCATCTGTATTCATATTTTCACTTATAAGTTGCTGTGATTCTATATTTGGATATCTATCACCAGGACCCTCTGGTTGATGAATATTCTCCATAGTTCTTATTGACGACTTCATTTCATCGTCGTTTTGTTGATATGATTCGGGTGTTTTTGGCTTATCCATCATATTTGATTTTCTCAGGTCTACCGTGCTTAAAGAGAAATTCCACATATCTTCAGGTCGAGTGCTGTTGAACGCAGGGTTACACACAATAGAAGCAAGAGACTGTGGTACGTTGCTTTGATGTTCAGTTTCTGGTGAGCTGTTACTAGAAGGCGTGATCATAATCAACTCTTGCTGTGTAGAGCTTTCTGATTCTGATGATCGACTTTCATAACCAAAAGATTCAGTGCATGCTTCGAAAATGGATACATGATAAGAAGTCGCCACGGAAACCAATATCCTCATTGTTCGTGTACGACATAGTTGAGGATCTTTTCTATACATTTCCATACATCGGTCTAGATTCTCTCTTCCTTGAGCCTTCAAACATTCATTCTCCCCTCGTATATTGTGCAGAAAGATAATAGCAGCTTGAAAGAGACAACTATGATCATATAAATAAAATGGTTTAACGATGCTACACCAAACTTACTAAACAGCCAAGTTCCAAGGTGCATTCGCTAATGAACAATTGTCGACAGATAAAGCAGCGTTTATTAAACTGTTGGCAGCTGATGTGCAGATACCAAGTGCTTTAAATGCCAGCTCTTTGTTTTCTGCTGCTGTCGATATAAATGGTCTGTATATGAAAATGATGACAGTATAGTATGCTAACTGCATCAAGCTGTATTGAGGTGCGTGGTGCTTATCATGAACGGAAAACATCTCTTTCGGTAGCGATTGTCTCCACATGTGCAAATTTTGTTCCATGCAGTTGACAAACTCCACGCTTCGGTTACGTTTGTTGAGAGTAGAGTATTGACCAATGAGAACTTGGCCTAGGATATGTGTAAGAGTGACGAGATAACTAAAATGATTATAGACAGGTAAACGCTGTTGTAGAGCAGCATCTGCTTCGACAAGGAGAATAGGTGTAATTTCTGATCTGGTACGTGCAACTTTTGTTTCTAATTCGTATGGTGTAGGAAGTACGACATCAAAATCATCGTCAATGATAGATAATGGTCTCCCAAGCTGTGCACCAATCCATCTGTCAACAAAATAGCATGTATACCAAATTCGTCTTCGAAGTTCGATCTCATAGGGAGGTATCTTCCATTGAGAACAGTCAATGTGGAGTCCCAAATCCTGAGCTAATCGTATCGCTAATCCAGCAATGATCCTATAGATGAAGAAAATTAATTGCGATCGACAGGAGAAACAATGTAGATTTTGGCTATTTACCAGTGACCTGTGTCTTCATCATCAACTTCTTGATCGTCTATGACATGGCTGGTAAGAACCAGTAGAGACTGCACTGTGCTGACATAGGGTCTTTTATAAACAATGCCCAATATTTGGAAAGCCTTCTCTTTCAAACATTCTTTTATCTGAACCATGTCACTCTCGGCCATTTCGCTTTCCTTTGGAGTGAATAATTGGGAACCTACATACGCAATAGCATATAGTAAATACTCGTCAGGAGCAGAGGGATTTTGAAAGTAGTATTGTTCCAAAAATTCAACCTTGTTGATCAGTGGACCATAAATATGAACTTGAGTAAAGTATCTACGCCGAGTGGTTTAGTATCAGAGAGGTATACCTCTGTGTGGTTATTAAGTCGTCCTACAGATATACAAATAGATCGAGTAACTCTGGTGTCATCAAAGGTACATCCTCGAATAGCTTTATTCTGGATGGAAGAGGCCCTTTCACGACATTGATTTGTTGAGGCTGATATATCTCTTCTGATTTTACGATAACATGCTCCTCTTCATCATCATTGACTTTTTGTATAAACCAGGAAGGTTCGCTTTTGAAATGAAGTTTTTTGTTTCGAAATAGCACGTTCTTTTCTAAAAGATGTATACCGGCACTAGCTCCGAAATATCGTGTACGCTGATAATCTTTAATGGTTAACCCACTCATTTGCTGTTCAACTGCATCCATATCGGGAGACTTTTGAAACAATTGCTCACAAGCAGTTTGACCAGGATATTTTCTATCTTGAAGGTGTTTATGTTGAATACATTTTGAATCATCCCCATTATTACCAGAGCGCTCCTCTTCTTCTTCTTCGTATTCTTCGTACTCCTCGTCTTCTTCTTCTTCTTGATTATTAGTAATATCATAGTCATCTATTCCAATCGTCTTTCCGTCTCCCTTTTTTTTGTTTAGATTAACCAATAAACTCTCCATACGCTTCAATCTATTCTCCAATAGTTCCACATAACTTCCACCTGCTGGCCCTCTCTTTTTTCGTTCTGTCAGAAAAAGGCAATTGACATTGGCAGCTCGACACTTTGAACAAGGACGATTCGTATCGCCATCACAACGAGTCTTTTTGCGTCGACAGTAATCGCAGCTTCGTTTCGCTCGTCTACGTTTAATCTTTTTGAAATCAAGTGTTGCCGGTGCTGTATAGTTTTTGATGGCGGGAGCGATCGGAATCATGGTTTTGGAAAAGAAAAAAGAGATACAAGCGCCGAGACGAAAGCAACATTGTGAAGGTTTTATAATTCGGATAAATTACGGTTCCGGCTTTTTTTATTTTAATTCTAAGGAAGATAAGACCAGCTTACTGTGTTTGCTCAACAACTGATCATGAATGACGTTCATAGCGGTGACTGCACTTCGTTCATCAATAACACAAGATATATTAATTTCCGATGAGCCTTGAGAGATCATTTCTATATTCACACCAGCAGAGGCCAAGGTACTGAACATCATACCAGCAATACCTACTAAATTCTTCATTTGTTTTCCAACAAGAGAAAGAATAGCCAAATCCTTGATGACGTCCACTCTACCAAATTCTCTTAGATCCTTGATAACACGATCCAAGTCTTTATCCAAGTTTTCTTCTCCAAGCGCCATGGACACATGGACCTCGGACGTAGAGATAAGATCTACAATGACACCGTATCGGTCAAGAGTGGAGAAGATTTTCGCAAAAAAGCCATGACTGACGCTCTTGCGATTTGAATGAATATTGAGTACGATAACATGGTCCTTGATAGTAACAGCTGTGGGGTATTTGCGAGACAAGTCAATAGAGTATCCGTTCTCCGCCAACACTTGTGGTGATTGTGGCGTATGTGTACCGTCTCTGCTATTGGCATTGTCTGTGGGGAAAATGATGGTACCTTCACCTCTGGGGTTTTCGACATTCTTGATACGAATGGGAATGCGTGCCCGGATGACTTGTTCCATAGTAAAGGGATGAATAACTTCTGATCCGTAATAGGTTAATTCGGAAGCTTCTTCCGGAGTAATGATTGGCAGTAATCTGGCAGACTTGACCTTGCGAGGATCGGCTGTAAAGATGCCGTCGACTTCTTTCCAAATTTGAAGTTCTTCAGCCCCAAGACCAACTGCTGTCAAGGCAGCACATAGATCAGTGTAACCACGTCCTACGGTAGTTAACAGACTTCCAGGGACAATACCAAAGAAACCTTTGAACAGATTAATATTTTTTTAAAAAAAAAAAACATTTCTGTCGCTTACCTGTTACTACAGGAACCCTATTTTCGCACTGCTTTACTGCATCTGCCATTCTCTGCGCTAGATAATCGTAAAATGATTGGTCTAATCTTTCAAAGTCTCTATCAATAATATTTTCCAGGGAAACAAACTGAGCATCAACGTCCTACACAAAAAAATGAATAAAAAAATATAAACGACTGAACAAATCATTACCCTATCCTGTAATACAGCAGCAACAATTCTACAAGATAACTTTTCACCCACACCAATGATGACATCTTTAGATCGAGGAGATATTTCATCAATGATTTCAGCAGCTTCCAAAAACGATTTTAACTTTTCACAATCATTTCTGATGTCTTGTTCCAAGTGAGTACGAATGGCGTCATCACGGATCATTTCAGCTGCTACTGCGAGATGATCGTCTAATATATCTTGGACAATATTTAGATACTCTTTAGATCCTGGTTTTATAGCATCATTGGCTGCTCGAATCAATCGATTGGTTGTACCCGTTGCTTTGCTTTCTCCACTTCTTGCAGAACATACAACGACTACTCTATGTTGCTTTACATATTCTCTATATCCTGGGGTCAATCATTGATGTTAGACTTTACATTGGCACTTACTTTATAACATCATTTGCAATATTATCTAAAAATTTGCCGACACTTGTTCCTCCAAACTTTTGAACAACCCAAGGAGAATCTGAATTATTTCTATATGTAAATGAACGAACCATGTTGTATAAAGAAAGAAAGAAGAAAAGAAAAAAAAGGGGGATCAAATAACTTTTTTTTTTTTGAATGAGTCAAATTGACTACTACTACTGCTACACCCTTGAAAATACAGGTCCGCTTATCTTATCCAGTAATCGATGGTTTATTTCGAAATTCTTTATAAAGTAATAAAGCTTTGTCTTCTTTCCAGTCAGACCAAATATCATAAACTGAAAAGATTTCTTGAGTTATTTCTATTATGGCATTGATATCCACATTAAGATCTGCAAACCATTGCTTCATGTCTCTCTCTGTCATATCTGTATGATGATGCTGATTCAGGACGATAGTTATATAAATAGCTGATAATGCGATAAGATGAGGCGGATAGAGTAAGCAGACATCTGTCTTGTAAGAGTCATTGACAATAAACCATGCATACTGCATCCCTGATTCCTTCATCCCCAATTCATGACAAATCTGTGTTAAACTTCTGTAGGGGTGCCACACTATCAGATAAAACTCTAGTTCTTCTAATAGATAAAATTCAAACTCTGCTACTTTGGAGCTGTCATAGGGGAATCCATTGAATTCGGCTAATGGAAAACATGTGTAAACTATGATCAATCCATCATATGTCCTTACCTTGAAATGCATGCCTCGCTTCTTGTGTTACCATTTTAATATGTACAGGACACTCTTCTATCTTGGTTGCTAAATATACACATGTCACCAAGACAAGTAAAGGATCTGTTGATCTTAGGCTATTGCTATTTATACCATTTCATTGATTTAGTTTATGCTACCTTTGTCAACTATATCTTACTTTATATAAAATCGTTTGAAATAAACATTGGCTGTAGCAATCACTTGCTGCCTTAGTTGAAGTCTCTTGGCTAGCTTTTGAATTACTACATAGAAAAAAGTGTTAATGTATTATGTAAAAAATAGAGAGAGAGTAACAGTACAATGACAAAACCAGATTCGTAGTTTCACATAATCAGCTTCAGATAGATATTTCAAGTCCTCTTCTCTACTTGTTGCTAAAGCCCAACGATCCTGAATCCAGTGATTTCTAAAAACATATTAATCATTAAAATAAAGGTCCAATATTGCGGCTTTACTGTTGAGTTGAAGCCCAGTAATTAGCTGCCATTAAGCAGAAAAGAAAGAAGAAAAAAATAGTGGAAAATTGAACAGGGCGGCTATTCAATTGAAATGTTATGCTTCTCAAATGGGTGCCTATAAATAACATACAAGTGGCTCTTGTTTTTTCTGACAGGGACACGCATGTGTAAAAAAAAAAAAAAGAGAAAACTAGCGAGCCTGTGAGATTAGGTAATTTGTATCCAGTTGTCTTTTTGTTCTTTCTAGATATGCGCATTTTGGCTGTAGGACCTGTCTAGCTTAATAAAGCTTACACTTTATTCACAAATTATTCGCACATTGATAAAAAAAAAAAATGATAATTTCAGACAATTATAACAATTTTTTCAGTTACGTATTATTCATAAGTGCTGATCACATCTTTTTTTTTCTCAAAATGACAGAATTCATTGCCTTTTTAATAGTAAAGAAAGGATTGATAATCAACTAGTGTAATTGTTATTGATCTTGTAATGTGTGCGAATAATTTATGAAAAAAAGTGTATTATATTCATGGAGTAAATCTACCTGATCTTTCTTTCTGATGACATTGCAATGTAGACAATGGCGACAACTATTGCTTACTCATTTCATTTTGTTTTTTGAAATGGAAGGTTAATCTTTCAAACAAACATAAATAGGGGATAAAATATTATGCCAAGAAATCCATTTTATTTTGCATAATATGTACTGATTGGGACTGCGAGCATTTATAATGAAAAACACACTTTATGGTCAAGAGTTGCTGGTATGTTACAAGAGGATAAAAGGACTCATATTTAAATATGAAGAAAAGGAAAAAAAAAAAAAGGCACCGCATAAGCACATGATCTATTTATGGAATATGAAAACTCCATTATTTCTCCTTTCTTTTTTTCTTCTTTTCTTTCTTCTATTGATTCATCGTAACTCCCCCCTTCCTGTCCTTTTAACCTGTGTATAATCTGCTCTTATGGACAACTCAGTGACCGATATGAATCGATCTTTACCCAACTTACAACCGTGTTCTACCAACTCGACCGAGACGTCAACCGAGTCGATTGAAGAAAATAAAACGCTGGTCGCCCAAAGATCATTTCCGAACTTGAGATTAAAGAATAAAAGATCAATTGGAGATGATATATCAAAATATGCAAATGAAAAAAGAAACCATGACTTTCACGTATTATTTAGAAGTATACCAGGAGAGGAAAGATTGATTGAAGGTATGCGTTTTTAAAATATATAAATATCAAAATAAGGAGTTTATTCACATAAATAAATAGATTATGGTTGTGCGCTTCAAAAGGAGATCCTACTTCAAGGTCGGATGTATATATCACAAAATCATATTTGTTTTAATGCAAATATATTTGGTTGGATAACCAATGTAAAAAAAAAAAAAAAAAACATAAACAAAAATATAAACAGTTTATATTCATTCTTCTATACTTTAGTTGGTCATTGCCTTTACTGAAATTGAATATATCGAAAAGAGGTCAACAGCTATCTTTATACCCAATGCTATACTGATATCAACTGCAGATGCAAAGGTAAATAATGACAGATATAAAAACAAAAAAAATAACCGTGACACATTTTCATTGACGTTATATTAGTATTTTTTTGGTTCCTTTTTATCTCGTGATCATGCCTATGACCAAATGATGGAACTGTGGAAACAATCGCGTCAATCAACCACAGAAGATGAAGATGACACAGCTTATACTAGCTCATCTTCTTTTGATCAAGATAGATCCCTTTTAAATCAATCCACTATGGATGAGAGACAGATATCATTAGCCTCCTTACCTGCTCAATCTAACGTTAAAGTCACTGAATCGATCAGACGTAGAGCCATGTCGGAGGCACAAGTAGCCGCAAGGCCTAACCTACAAAACTTTGGTATGCAACAGATAAAAGAAAAGACGACGTGTGATTGCAGTAAAAACGAGCAACACTTTCCAACCGTTGTCATGGATAACGTATACGACAACACAACCATTGAGACATTATATCACTTATTGTACAGTAGTACCTTTATGCATCAATTCTTAACGCAAGTAGAAAAAAGCACGGGTAAGGCATGACAGCTCAAGTGAGCTCACGTGTACTCATTTTTTTAAAGAGGTCTGTATTGGTCAGTGGACCAAAGTAGAAGAGTGTGAAGGCATTGAATATACAAGAAAATCATCCTATATCAAGTATCTGGGCGGAACCATTGGACCCAAGTCAACGAAATGCTATTTGAAAGAAGACATGATACATCTTGACACGACCAACTATATTTCGCAGTTAACAGTCACCCAAACTCCTGATGTGCCTTCTGGAAGCTCATTTCACGTCAAGACTCGTACGTGTATTTCATATGCCGGTCATTGTCAAGTACGAGTGCTGGTTACTGTGCTTGTTGAATTCACAAAATCATCGTGGCTAAAATGTAAGTTACATATACTGTATAAACTCTCTATATTAATCGCTTTTTTTTTTATCAACGACAGCTACTATCGAAAAGGCTTCTATAGATGGTCAACAAAACTTTTACAAAAGCTTAGATGTGGCTATACGCAAATACTTGGATCAACATCAAGATAATCATCATAAAAGAAAAAGAAATCATCGACACAAATCATCTCACAAGCCATCGAATACAATTATGCCAAGTCATCAAAAGCAGACATCAATACAGATACCAAATTGGATCTTTAATATAAAACCAGCTCAAATTGTGATATTTTGCATGACCATGATGATATTCACAAACATTTATATCGCAACAAAGATATCCAAGGTTGATAAAAGACTTGGACATCTCTACAGCCAAGACAGTGACAGTTGGACTCATCCAATCCCAGGAGGTGAAGAGAATGATTGGTTATTATTATCCAAGCATAAGCTAGATCAGCAAATGGTTGAACTTGATAAAATGATCAAGAGAGCAAGCAAAGATATCCATCAAATAACCAAAACTGCTCGATATCAACGAGACAGATTATTCCCCCAATAAAATCTCGTTATTTCAAATCGCGTCATATCTCCCTCTCTTACTAATACATGCACAAAGGGTCATTTTTCCCTTTCCTCTCTCTTTTTCTTTACTATCCTTCTTTATGAGATATCTATATCAGCTTAATAGATCATTCAAACTCAATAGAGCCATTCTTCCAAATTTATTATCTGTAAAATGTATGGCAATGATATAATCTTTTTGGTTGCAACCTTGTATAATAACACTTCTTGTTAGATATTCATACCAAAAACAATGCTGTCAAAAGTCAGCATTATCCCGTAGCTTCATGTCCATCCAATCCTCCTATGGACTTTCCTTGTATAGATAAACTAAACACTCGTACAGCTGAATTAGATAATGGCCCAGAACCAAGTTATGATAAAATAGTGACAGGCTACGAAAAGTTTGAGTATCCTCATCCATTCTTACTCGATCACGGTGGCATCCTTCCCAATTTCGAGATTGCCTATGAAACATGGGGTCAACTGAATGAAAAGAGAGATAATGCAATTTTGATTCACACCGGTCTGTCTGCCTCCTCACACGCAAAGTCGCATCCAAAGAACACAAGCCCTGGCTGGTGGGAAAACTTTATAGGCCCTGGCTCATATGTTGATACCAACAAATTCTTTGTTATCTGTACCAACGTTATCGGTGGCTGTTATGGCTCAACAGGCCCAAGCGCGATCGATCCTGCAGATGGTGAGCGTTATGCTACTCGCTTTCCTATTATTACCATATTTGACATGGTCAGAGCTCAATTTAAGTTGCTGGATCATTTAGGTATAGACAAACTACATGCAAGTGTAGGAAGTAGTATGGGTGGCATGCAGGTAAGAAAAAGATACACTATTGTATCTACGCCTTGCTTAATTCATTACCAAACAGTCTATTGCAGCTGCAAAATTATTTCCAGACAGAGTGAATCGTCTCGTTTCCATTTCAGCCTGCGCTCGTTCTCATCCTTACTCCATTGCCCTTCGTCATACGCAAAGACAGGTATTGATGGCAGATCCAAACTGGAATAAGGGTTTCTACTATAAAGGTATTCCGCCTCATGTTGGCATGAAGGTAAATAATACTCCAAGTTGTATACATACGTGAACTCAATATAGAACATAGCTTGCACGCGAAATTGCCACTATTAGTTACCGATCTGGCCCTGAATGGGAACTTCGCTTTGGTCGTAAAAGAGCGAATGAGCATCAGACACCAGCGCTATGTCCTGACTTCTTGATTGAAACCTATCTTGATCATCAAGGAGAAAAGTTTTGTTTGCAATATGACCCCAATTCGCTCCTTTATATCTCAAAAGCCATGGATATTTTTGACATGTCTCAGTCACAGTTTAAAAAGCTACAAGATCAACGAAGAGGGAATACCCCCAAGTTTGAACAGGTGCTGCAGAGATCCAGTGGAGGTGACAGCCGCCAGCTGGCCGAGGCATGTCGTTCAGTGGTAGGAAGTGAGTACACTGCGCTGGAAGGTCAAAAGAGGGAGGCGGTAGACCCCCATCCCGATCCGATCAGGACAGACCTGGTAGAAGGAATGAAGGATATCCATATGCCAGCTTTAGTCTTGGGTGTGCAATCGGACATCCTATTCCCCGTATGGCAGCAGAAAGAGATTGCAGAGTGCCTTCGTGAAGGCGGAAACAAGCATGTGACTTATTATGAATTGGATGCAATGTATGGCCATGACACATTCTTAATTGACCGTGTTAGTGTAGGCGGCGCTATCAAGGGTCATTTAGAGTTACTTGACAGGGATCTTGTATAAATGTGTATTTATTATCGCTTAATTAAACTAAGGAACTCTTCTCTTGTTCTTGGATTGCTTCTAAATACTCCCAACATACAGCTCGTAATGGTTGAGCTACCAGGTTTCTATAGCAACGTTATTAGCCTCTATATAAAATGATTTCTGTTCATTGTGTTACCTGGACCCCTCTATTGTTATTTAATGAGAAAAAGGGTGGGAAATGAGTAAAATATTCCCACATTATGTCTGCTTATATCCTACTTACCGTGAACACATACACAGATGTGAGCATTCCATGACAACTGCCACTCCTTGAGGCTGTAAAATATCCATCAATGCAGTAGCGACTTGCTTTGTCATTCTTTCTTGTACTTGTAATCTAAAGAAAAAACTGTTAATATCCCTTTTTCTCCACATATTTTATCCTAACCTTCTAGCAAACATTTCGGCGATACGTGCTAGCTTACTTAAGCCAACTACACGACGGTTTGGAATATATGCAATATGAATCTTGCCCATGAATGGTACCATATGGTGTTCACATAATGAAAACACATCTACATCCTTTACCAATACCATTTCATCATGATCTATATTTTTTGACATGAGTCATACTGTCATTGTATTCTATAATCCCTCACCTTCTTCAAATACAGCTTCATTCACAACATCTATATTTAAAAAGGAAAAGAGAGAAAGAGAGATGAGTACTCTATCATAATGACATATACATATATAGCGCATATATCAACCTCGGATATTTTGTTCATAGCCTTTTGTAAAGAACATCAATGCCTTTGCATATCTATCTGGAGTCTTCAACAATCCTTCTCGTTCAGGATCTTCACCGATGCATTCCAGTATAATCTTTACAGCATCTGCAATCTTGTTTTCCCTTTCTACTCTCTCTTCGGCTGTTTCGTCCCTTCTTTTCTTTGCTCCTAAACCTGACCGCAAAATCCTGTCAGATCATCCCCCATGGATACTTTTTAATCCCATATACTTTACTTGGCCAGCTCATGCCATCTACTTCTACAGCAGTAGTAGCTTTATCTGTGATTCTATTAATCTCTTGTTTGGATAAGCCTGTCATATGCTTGTATGGTCTATTTTGTTTAAAGAAAAAAAAGAGATGCCAAAAAAGATGGGTTTTATGGCTTCCATGGAAGAGTGACTGTAAATCTCAAAATATAGTCATTTTATTGGGTAATCTTGCATCGAAAACTTGAGTGTAACAAAGGTAATTGGTCCAATGAAATGATCTTCAATAGATTCCTTTGACAACGAAAACAATGCCTTTTAGACAATTGGAAGAAAATATATACATTATTTGCTCCTTATCTTCTATTTAAAAAGGGGGGGGGATATGTATTGCTTTCTGACTGCATCATGTTACAACTGATAGAATTTCTCTTTTAGGATTTCTAAAGTCAGTTAGACCCAATTGTAGTAATATGCAGCTTAAGGAGTTTGCCTTTCATTATCAGAAAGATTTTACAAGAAATCATGATCACGATGTATATATCCTAACTGTACTATGGCGCAAGCCCATTACCCTGCGTGATAATAGACTCTATATCGTACTGTTATCTTTACCAGGACTGCGTTGCAATAAATGTTCTTTTTCTTATTACACATTATACTATCGATAGCCATACTTTGCCAAATCAAAAAAAAGGGGGACCATAGCTATTCATATCCTTACAATGGTTGTCAATCTGACAAGTTTGGAAAATAAAAGAGGAAAAGAAAAAAGCTTGAAATGCTTTTCTGAAGGAATTGCCACTTGCTCTGTTGCCTACAAAGCTTTATCTTCAAAGCGTTACCAGGTTGTATGAAACCTGGTATGGTTATTGAGAATAAAAATAAATTTCGAAGTGAGATGTTACTTCACTTTACTTCACTTTGCTTCAACTTTATTAATGCCATTGGATGAGACCAGATACCGCTAGTGTTAAGGGGGAAACGTTTGTTGCACAATGTCAAAGGTGTACCCTGAGCAGGATGACTTCAACGACCCCATTTGCTTATGTTCTGATCATTTCCTAATTCGTATATGAGATAAACTGACGAATAGACATTACTATTTATAGTTCCCGATGATCTCATTGACAACAATAGCGTTAATAATGAAGAAAGAATAAGGGTAGAAGAAGAACAAAACATAAATGGGAGGAATATTGGGAGAGTGATAGAAATCAGAAAAAGGGGGGAAGAACATTGCAGTCGAGTGATGGAATCAGTCACAAAGCAGAAAAAAGGAAAGACAGATAGGAAAATGCCTGAAGAAGTGTCTAGTTTTATATAAAAAGGGGATATATTAACACATGCTCACCCATTACCCATTTTCTCCTTCTTTTTCTTTCGCTTATTTTTATTTAAACTGAATGCTGATACTTGGTTTGCCTAGTGAAATCCAATTCATTATTATATCTTATATTAAACAAGATAACCACCTTGATCTAGCACCACTCGCACAGTAAGTTAATATTCCCCCCTCCATCTCAGCAATTCTTTGATATTAATCGAAATATAAAGAACATGCACATATTATAACAAGCTATTATCTGATAAGTTCAATTGGAAACATACAATAAAACTAGTTCAGACCGATGATAATGCACAACAATATCAGCTTGACTATCTGATGCTTGCAGTGAATCGACAGTCCAGTATGAACTATAATCAACTATCATCCATAGCGATCAATGATAAACAATTGGCAAGACTGACATTAAACATTCTCAAGAAATCAAGTCGAAACTTAAAAGTCATTCAAGTATGCTTACCCTTTGAACTTCATGCAGAATTATACCAGACTCTCTCTTGCTTAGATACACAACTGATCCATTTATCGATACGTGACTCAACATGTGAATATAAGCGTGCCCTCAACAACGTCAAATCATGCCTATTACCTTTAATTCAATCTCAATCTACTCTACAGACCCTTGATATCCCATCATTTCCTTCACATGAACTTTGCTATCAGCACTATCGCTTCCCAAAATTGAAATCACTTACGATAGCTTTGAACCATGACGTTATCTGGTCCCAATTTAAGAACATGTTTCCAAATCTGATTGAGTTAACATTTATTATTACCCATCTAAGCCAACTTACACTTGTTAAATCATTATTATCTGATGTCTCTTTATTTCCCTGGTTCAAGCGATTATCAATAGTCAGTCACGAACCTCTTAAACAGCACGTATCAAAAGAAGAACTAAAGTCGAGTTTACTACAACTAGAAGGCTTACGCAGAATAACCGCTGGCTGGGATATTATTGCACTATCGTAAACCTCTTTTCTCCTTCTTTTATTTATTTATATATATATACTTCTACTCTCCTAATAAATTAAGATCTTCCTTCATAAAACTTTTCTAAAAAGGTTGTAGGCTTAGCTGGTGCTTCTTCCTTTGCAAAATAGTTCATGATGTGGTTGGTTTGTTTCCAAACATTCATAATTTCCTGATATTCCATTTCTCCTTTGGCATATAAAATGTCACAAACTTGAAGATTTTCAACAAAGCGATGTCTTTCAAACTCTTCACGAATTTTGGCTCTAACAGCTGAAGTGGGCAGGTTGAGTTCGTGAATCTTCATCATATCAGGTACCTATCATTATTATTATTATTATGTTAATTAAAAGATTTAAATGACATCAAGATAATTTACTGATTTTTGAAATCTTCTATAAAGCGCAATAGCACGGCTTCTAGCTTCATTAGAAGACTTTGCAGAAGCAGTAGTTACTGCAAGATTAGCAACACCAAAGACGGCAGAACTCATTATGTACAAAAGTGTAAAATAATAAAAAAAATTAGAACCCCAGGCTGTCCTCTGTCTTCTCATGTGCACGTCCTTATTGCACCCCATGAACGTTTGATTGGCTAAGAAATAGATGACGTTGATTCCCAACAGCACTCACTTAAATCACCCTAGAATTTTTTGATTGGATAAGATAATGATGATATTAGTTGAAGGAAGCCGCTTCTTCTTTGTTCTAGAATAAAATCATATAAGACGGTAAATACTCAAAAAAAAAAAGCAAAAACAAAAGGTTATATATTATTAACGTAAAATCAACACATACTTATGGCTGCAATTACTGTATTTTTATTAATTATTGACGTTAATTTATAAAGTTATTTACGTAAAAAGACGACAAAGAAAAATACGTTTGAATAAAACGACATCATGTCAAAAGAGAGAGAGAGATAATGAGTATATGTAGAAAAAGAGAGAAAAAGTAAGCTAGTATTAGAGCATATATCCCAATATTAGTTTTACTTACCACCAAGGTGCATTCTGGGGAGGGTAGCGGTAACTACCCAGGAGAAGTTTAAACAAAAAAAAAAGGGAACGGAGGACACAGAGAACCCAGGGCGTCAGGAGAGACTACTGGGGAACGTTCCAGATACACGCCAGAGAGCAAAGAGGGCGGGACAAGCGAGTCAGAGCAAGGACCATGAGGACAGGCTAGTTTTGATTGGCGAATCTTTGAACACTCAGAGGGACACTTGATAACTGCTGTAAAGAAGCAAAAAAAGGTCTCAATTAAAATGGGTTTTTATATGTTTTTCTTTCAAACAAGTTTCAGGATCGAGTACCTAAGACAAAGAAATCATGTCAAATAGAAGCAATCTGCTTCGTGACCATTCAAGAATATACATTGCCAAATATGACTACATGTTCTTCTGATTTCATGGAAGAACCGAATAAAGAATTTAAACTTTTACAAAGAGACTAAAGAGGGGCTATTTCTAATATTAAGTTAATTTCAACTCCAAGACAGCCCACCTGTTAATATTACTGTCAAATGAGATAGTGAGCCATATTCTTTTTGTATTTGTTATTACTCTGATAACATTACAACGGTTTCAATACGACATCTCAATTTGGAAATACAGTATCTCCATGGATGTCAAGGCTGGTACTACGAAAATATTCTTGGCGACGATGAATTTACATTTCGTTCAGCATGAATTTTGTTCTCACCATTGGGTGCATTTATTTTCGATCACAGGCGAATTTACTTTCCGGAATTTGTTCACACCGCACAATCTCAGGCCAGACAGCCAATTCCAGTATACGCTCTATCGAATGCCTCAGCCTAACTTCGAAGATTTACTGACGGTAGAGCTACCAGGAGCCATGGACTTCCATCACATATCACTCAAGCTATTCCGGATCTCACAGTTACTCTCCATCGATGCCTTACCGGCCCATTATCCGCATGGCCCTGCTACAGCATGGCGCACCTTCTGGTTATCTTCCTTCCCTCACCAGGCGCACACCGTGCTCTGGAGATATTACCATCGCAAATTGCCAACACGCCAACGTCTCCACCAGCTTTATCCGGATCGACGCTTGTATCCTTACTGTCTTCTATGTGGAGGCGTCGAAGACGATGAGCACTTCTTGTGGTCTTGCATGCTCAAAAAAGAAACCTGGTCACGCATTGCAAATCGCTTTTTACAGCCTATTGCGAGACTTGCCTATGAATCCCTGGCCTTAGGCTCGTCTAAACATATAGAAGCGCTTTCAGGGCTATGTGTTGATGGTCAAACAATCATTGCTTGTACGGTCTGGGCTATCTGGCGGCGTCAATGGCGTTTTGTATTTAATGGTCGTACCTTCTGGCCCGATGAAGCTGCTGCACGAGCAACTCAAGCAATCAAGCGAATACACGATGAGAATATCTATAGAGAGCGTCTAAAATCATCTTGCTCAGGTTAACGCAACCTTTATTTTGTCCCGTGCTTCTATGTTCTTTATTATTTTCTTTAATAAGTACAAGCTAACTGGCGGTACTTGAATAAAATAAAAAAAATTTACTTTCCGGAAAGAGTGTACACCATTTCCAGAAAGAGATGTCGCGCTGACTTGTCGCTTTTTCGTATGAATTATATTATAAAAACTGCAAAAATACGACTTTACTTTCTGAAAAGACTGTATAGCGTCTCGTCACCGTTCCTTTGCTGATATGTCCAATGCTATATCCCCGCTTTCTCTTTTTACTGGATGGATGCTGAGGAAGTCTAAGGCTGCATTTGATAAGCCCTTCAGCAGAAATAGCGCCTAAAATGGCTGTTGTTGTTTGTGTTTTGGAAACGGTGACCACTGCTGATGTACCTTTCTTTGACCATGCCATACTACTTTTCGAGCTGATATGGAAAGTAGGTTCGTCAAGAAAAACATAGTTTCTCGTAAAATCTATGTCTGATTTTTCGCATTTACGAACCCAATCTAAACGCTCCTGGATCTTATCTTCGCTGTTTCGATCTATGGGTCGAAGCCGAGCTTTTTTGAGAGACAAATTGCAGCAATTTTTAACAGAATCAAACAAAGTACTTTTAGATACTTTTAATTCTGTGAATATTTGCTTTAACCTTTTCATTACATCGTCCAAAATTACTGAAGGGCTCTCATCAATGCACTCGAGAATAATACTTTTGTATTCCTCATTGAGAATACGTGGACGACCAGTCTTTCTCCGTTTCTCAAAGATACCGTCAGGAACCTTCTCGTACTGTTTAGCCCATTTCTGTCCTGTACCAACATGAATCCCAAGCTATTTTGCAGCAGCAGCCGCACTCAGACACTTCCCAAACGACAGCTTGAAGAGCCTCACTTTATCCTGATCAGAGTAGCGTGAATAATTTCGCTTCTCTGATGTTTCCCTCATAATTACATCACTACTAGGTTTTGCTTCCTTTTCCATCTGCATTGCCTCAAATTCCTTCCTGCTCCCCACAGGTAGCTGAGCTAAATATTGTGTATGAGAGCTCAACGTTTCAAGATGAAACTGCTCTTCATCAACAATATAATTCATTGGCTCAGATCTGCCATACTCGTCGACGACAGAACCTTTCCCATTTCTAAACAAGAATTAAATGTTCATTATCTGTGATTTTTTTGTGCAATTGTGAAAAAGAAATAAAACAAAGACGAGCGTTAGATGTGCTCTTATATAGCCGAGAGACGTCAAGACTTGTGCTACAAAGTATGCTTGGCACCAGGACATCTGATTTGTCAGCCAAGACGAATATACATTTTGTACAACACGAATTTTCTTCTCGCCGTTGGGCGAATTTACTTTTCGGAAAGAGTGTATTTGCTATTTAACCTTTCGAAAAGAAAGATACAAAAAGAGAGACACTGAAACTACAGAAAGCATTTAAAGGATTTTATTGGTCAACTTGTTTATGAGCATTTCAACTCACTTGATTGTGAACTGAAAATGCCCCTTGATTTAATGACCGATACACTAAAGTCATACATAAACTTTGCCCCCCTCGTTTTTGGTCAAAAGGTAATGTATGTGTGTTTCTTTTTTCTTTTTTTCTTTATCTTTATTACATATCCCTTGAAATAGACATGCCTTGTATCAAAGTATATATGCTGCTAGTAATGTAATTTTTCAGTCCCTCATAATGGTAACACACTATCAATGCAAACTCCTTTTTGTGTAAGTGCAAAGAGTGACAATGATAAAAAATGCATTGACGATGCCATTAAAGCAAATAATAATAAAAAAACTTGTAAAGTTATGATATTAGCTTGTAATGAAAATTTTTGAAATATTTCAATTGTCTCTTTTTTCCACATAACTTTTCAAATTGACCCGGTTTTATACAAATCATGTCAGACGCACTTGTAGACACTGTCCCTGACTGTTTGATCAATAGTGAAAATGAGGGAACAAGCGAACCATACAGCCCATCTCTAGATGGTGAAAATTACGATAACTATGAAGGCAGCGCAGAAAATGAGAAAGGAACCGAACAAAAAAAAGATGATGAAGTCAGTAAAGACGAGGAGGAAGATTGTACAAGCCAAGGTACAGGAAGCTTTGTAGACGCTGAAGATTGTGTTGTCCATACTCCTTCTGCAGAGGCCCAGGCGGAAGCTAGCCAAGGAGCATTGCAACATCAGCAAGAGCCAGACAGTATTCTTTCACAGGATATGGAATCTAATGAGACAAGCGATCTCGTTTTAGACGAGAATGCAGAACAGACAGCAGTTGTACAGATAACAGCAGGCACGGTATCCACAACCCAAGAGGTATCCAATATGCCTGAAGCAGTGCCTAGCACGATCCCAGCACAAATCCCATCACTTGCGTTGCCTCCTTTGCCACCATCGCCCGACCCGCAACAAGAAGAAGAGGAAACTATGGAGAATCATAAAAGAACAGTAGAACTGCGTATAGCCATTGGTCCTTCAGAAGAAATATCTACAGATACAGAAGTTGAAGCCGTTGCGGAATCCTCATCTCTACTAACTAACAGAAGCAATAGCAGTTCTCTAGCGTCATCGGGTAAAGGAGATGGTCCAGAGCCGTCATCAGATCCGATGGATCACGTAGGAGAGCATGTCCTTGTCGGTCCAAGCCAGGGTAAAAACTCACCTGCATCCCCTAAAGAGAAACCAAGAAATGATGGTCATTCTACTTCTCATAAAGGATTGTCCAAACCAGAAGGTTCAGAGATACCTTCGTCTCTCCCAAAAAAATCACAAGAACCATCGCCAGAGGCGGCAATATCAGGACTATCCGGCTCTGTAAGCCCAGAAGCATCAAAGCCAGATGTAGCGGAGCCAGAAACTACACCATCCGATGCAGTTGGACCAGAGTCCTCATCGTCCAACGCAGTAGAATCAGATGTAGCACAATCAGAACCAACGGCGCCAGAAGGAGCAACTTCAACTATGGAAGGATCAGATATGTCATCTCCTGATATGGAAGAACCAGGAATATCGCCTCTTAGCACAGGGGAATCTGAAACATCGCCGTCAGATGCAGAAGAGCCAAGAACGCCCTTTTCACGAGTTGGAATCCAAGAGGTAGTGCCATCGAATGCGACAGAAACAGAGGTAGTACGGTCAGATGTTGAAGAACCAGAAGAATCACTGTCAAATGAATTATCATTGGCAGACTTGATAGATGTGGTGGATACAACTGATCCAGAAGCATTACAGTCAGAGTCACTAGAATCACTTGTAGCGGATCCAGAAAAATCAGAGACATCTCTATCAGACGTATCAACCATAAGGACATCACGCTCAGAATTATCACTTCAGGAAGTATCACAAATGCAGCCAGCAATTGAGGAAGAACCGCAACTGGAAATGACAGTTCAAGAAAACCCACGGTCGCAAGCATTAGCCCCAGAGGCACCTTGGGTAGAACTAGTGCTTCAAGAAATATCATGGTCACAAACAACAACTTTACAAGCATCACAATCAGGGATATTAACTGAAGAAGGATCATCGGAGGAGCTTGCACAGAATGAGCTCAGAGAGCCAGATGAGGAAGAACCTGAACAAGAAGCACAGCCCTTGGATTTGACCGAACCCTTTTTTGAAGAAGATGCTGAACCACAGCAAGCACGATCTCTATTGTACAAAAGCAATATATCTCCCTCAATGCTTTCTCCACCTATAGACTATGTCGAAAGCTGTGATCGTCTAGTAAAGGAATTAGTAGAAGATATGCAGAGGTGTATACAAGAAAATTCAGATATGCTTTTCAATGCGCCCTCAGTTCAATCCAATAGCAATCGTCGTAGAGTTCCCTCAATGGAAGCTAGGTTTATTAGCATGGATGAGATTTTACACCAAGATGATTATAGATACTTCAACTTTGATGACCTGGAATCTCATAAACCAATGACGGATGAGGAACGAGCCATATTCGAAGCAATGACTGAAGAAGAGAAAAGAGAAGCAAAAAGGTTAAACATTATAGATGAACTTGTTGAAACGGAAGAATCTTATTCAAGGGACCTGTTTATTCTTTGCAACGTAAGCTTTTATAAATATCAAAGTTTTTTTTTTGCTGGATAAAACTAAATTATATACCAATAGCATTTTTTCAAAATTATAAAAAGAGTTCGATATATCAATCAAGAAGACTTTGATGCATTATCTCGCAATCTAACATCTTTGGCAAGAGAACAAGAAATGTTTTGTGAAGCCATAAAAATAGCTGTGAATAAGGACAGAAAAGAAATGAGCATAACCAATCTCTCCAATTGCTTTATCTTATGGGTAAAATTAAACAACGCGTTTATTTACAAGCTCTAATCTTTTCCCTTTTTTTTTTAGAAAGAATACTTTAATGCTTATTTTGAATATAGCATTGGTCAGGACAAAGCTGTTCAAGTGTACAAGAGGCTATTAAAAACAAGCACTGAATTTCGAGATTTGGATGAACGTCTTCATACCTTTCATCGAGTCGTTTGGGGAACCAACAAGCTCAAGTTTGAAGATTACATGATTATGGTAAAGTATACCTTTAACTCCATTTTTCATTAGTTTAACATTTTTATTCATAAAATTATAGCCATTTCAACGGTTATTCCGATACAAGCTTTTACTTCAAACATTACAAAAAGCAACACCAAAAGATTTCCATGGGTTCGACCGTATAACAGTGGCTGAGGACGTCATTCATAGAGTAGCCAAAAAAATCAACGACACAAAGGCAAGAATCGAGCTGGAGCAAAAGACAGAACTCTTCTTATCTCGATTACAAGGTCACTGGTGCTTGCCCAAACGATGGTTCACGCATCTGGGATGTTGTTCACTCATAGGTACGCTAGAAGTACGCTGTTTGCCCAAACAGAGGTCATCCAAGAGAGTATGCTGTGCGTTATTTAGTCACTATTTGATCATGGTGAAAGCCAAAAAAACAGATATCTATGAGGCAAAACATTGGTTCCCTATTCGCAAATTCAGTATCGAGCATATGCCTGATGACCCAGGTAAAAACTCTTCCAAGGATATCAAAGGGCACCAAAACTGACTAGGCTTTCAATAGCTTCTTTGCATTTTCCCTGGCTGCTGCGCAGCGGAAGACACACGTTTGAATTTAGCGCTGCAAGTGAAGCAGAAAAGGATATGTGGACAGAAACGATGAAAGACTGTATCAAACATGCAAAAAAAGATTATGAACAAACACAAAAGAATCCAAGAAGCCCTGTTGAGCAGTCGCAACAAAATCCAGATACACACCCTAATCACAACTTCAAAGAGTATGTAGAAGAGCAACTCTTTGTCTCTAGTCTTGACCAAAGGATTAAAGGAGTCATAATTGAAGTAAATAGTCATATTGCGTGAAAATAGAAAAAAGCACTTGCTCAACTCTTTAACTTTTGATATAGGAACCACAAGATATAGGCTCGAGTCAACCTTTCCATATTCCAATGCCATCTGGTTCAGCCAGCTTTTCTCAATCAGCCATTTTTAGTAAACCAGAACGCAACAATAACCGATTGTCCATACCTAATTTTTCGTCCATGTTTCATTCGGATGGCATTCGATCACCTAATTCTGGAAAATTTGCATTCACAAGCTCACTAAGGGAGAGGCTTGCAGACTATAAGCTCAAGCAGTTCAAGGCGAGATGTGAAGCGTTTGATGCAAACTTTAGAGATGTCTATGTAACTTCCTTGGTTACAGCAAAGGGGAGTCATAAAAAGAAGAACGCTAATAATAGTAGTAGCAACAATACACAACACTAAATAGTTTTCATTACTTGTTGAAAATAAAGACCAAAGCTTTCCAATAACACTTTTATTTCAAATTTACTTACGCATATTATTTTGTGGCTTAAGATAATAACAAAACATGCTAAGTATAGTTTTCCGTATGTGGCATATGATTAAACCTGTACACTCTACAATAAACAAGTAAGATACTTGATGTCACAGATAGATTGTGTGTCAAGTGTCAACTGACAGAAAGAACAAGCAAACAGTAAGGGCATACATGTTTTATTTCCTTTGATGGTTATATAAATTTTGTTTGTCACAGGTAAACAAATATATACACTATGCTCGAGTCGATAGTCAATCTTTGCCAGAGTCACTTGTTATTGGCGAGACATGACCAGCTTGATTGTGCTTCTTCTTCTTCTTTTTATTATTAGTCCTCTTGCCTTGAACAGGTTCAGAGTTCTTCTTTTCTTGGGTAATTACGGTTGCTTGGGGAGCATCCTTCTTTTCAGAGGCTTCATCAGGTGGGGGCGTAACTGCTATCTCTTCATCCTCATCAACTTGTTCTATAGTAGGTTCTACAGTAGGTTCTATAGTAGGTTCTATAGTAGGTTCTACAGTAGGTTCTATAGTAGGTTCTATAGTAGGTTCTACAGTAGGTTCTACAGTAGGTTCTACAACTAGTTCACGTTCCGCAACTGTCACATGTTTCACAGACGATTCAGCATGATCCTCTTGTTGTTGGTCTTCCTCTTGATTCTCCGTGGCATGTTTTTTGTTTTCATCATCTGTAAAATCATGCATTTTCTCAGACACGACGTCTACTAACCTATCATCCTTCTTAATGCCAGTGAAGCCCTCCTGAAGCCAGTCCGTATCATTATCTGTACGCAAGAATCCATTCATAAATCTCTCGTCGCTGCTGTTGATAACATAGATACCGATCTCTTCGTTCTCCTTGGTCATATTACGAAAAATATCTGAATCATCATTACTACTAGTAAAATCATCGATGCAAAGTCCATGAAGGAGAGAAGTAGAGTCCTCCAAAGAAGTTTCGGTTTGAACAACACCAGCGAGATGAGAGAATGTGTCATCCTGCTTTTCCTCTTCTTCAACAATAATATTCTTCTTGTTGCCAAAGATCGCTTCAGGCTTAGGAGAAGTTACACCCTGAATCATGGGGATAAAGGAACGTTTGAGAATACGATATATGCTATTGTTTTTTATAGCTATTGTGTTCTCTTGCAAATAAGCCGCCCAATCACGCACAATAGCGTTTGTGATAGAAACAGAGCTTGATAAGGAATGTAGTTCACCTTTAACGAAGCGCATGATTCTATTTTGAGATGAAAGCAAGTAGCTTCCAGCTAAGGGGGGAAGAGGACGAACTGTGTTTTGTTTACGTTGTACAGTACTGTTATCTTCAAGACGATAAAATAATGTGCCCTAGTGAATCATTATATACTAGTTTGTTTACATACATGAATATGCTTTTAATATAGATACTTACATCATATGCGGCACGTACGTCTTCCTTTGCTAGGCTACCATGATCACCGATAAAGAAATAAGCAGTACATAATTCGATAAAACCAATCATCCTAGAGTCAAAGTGAGCATAAACGAAAAAGTATAAAAACAAGGATTACCATGATCTAACGTTAGACCCTAATTTCTCTTGCTCATTTGTCATCTTTATGAATTGAGCGAATGTAATGTAGTCATCAGAGGTAGCATACTTGTGATAAAGCTCTTCAAACTTTTCTGGATCAAACACACCATTTTGATCATAGGCACCAGATGTTTGTTTTTTGAAGCGAACCAAGTTACTTACAGGAGAGCGACAGAAAGGATCTGGCAACCAGCTTGTTTGAGACAAGAAAGACAAGAAGATACCCGCGACTGTACCAAGCGCGACGCTAAAGATAACACCATAACCCAAGGACATAAAACCTAGCAAGAAATGAGTATAAAGTTGAATAGAAATAGATAAACTTACCATGGATAGTATCGATAGGTGTTATATAGCCTTTATTCTTTTTATCCCAGTATCGAATATGTTTTTGTATACCCTATCTTTTTGCATAAGACAATGCGTCTTATTAAGTATGATCTACTTACACTCTCTTCTACATCCGCCTGCTTCATCATGGATTGATCTACGCTCATTTTTTTTTTCTCTTTTGCTATTAAAGAAAAAGAAAAGAGATTAAGGAGAAAAGAAAAGAAAAAGAAAGAGAAATACTTCTTTATTTATAGTCTACAGTTTTTTTTTCTCATGTTACATTTCGAAACAAACAATGCAAACTTTTTTTTTTTTTCAATAAACCATTTTTAGTTAAATTGAAGAGAGAATATTTATTTCAAAAGAAAAGTGTAAAAAGGATATAATTTAATTTATTACAACACAGTGCAACCCTTACTCTTCTTTTTCTTGTTAACCATTAAAGCAGCACGAGTTGCTTCCTCAAATACAGTACGAACTCCTTCTCCCGTCTTTGCGGAGCATTCAAAATATTTGTAGGCGCTTATCTTTTGAGCAACAGCAGCTCCTTCTTCATAACTAACTGGTCTTTGAGAGTTCTTTCTTAATTCTTCAATTGTTGCAGGGTCATTACGTAAATCTTTCTTACAACCGACCAAGACGATAGGAAGTCCTTGACAGAAGTGAAGCACTTCAGAAATCCACTATTATAATAATAGATTCATGCTTAATTTCTTTCTTTCTTGTTTCTATCTATCTTACCTTTTCTTGAACGTTGTCTAATGAATCAGGTGAATCAATAGCGAAACAAATCAAGATAACATGTGAGTCTGGATAAGAAAGAGGACGGAGACGATCATAATCCTCTTGACCTATAATAATAATAATAATAATAAAAGGAGAAATATAGGTGAGTGTTTTGAAAGGGTATATAGTATATGTCTATACCTGCTGTATCCCATAATGCTAATTCAACACGTTTACCATCTACCTCAACATCGGCAACATAGTTTTCGAAAACAGTAGGAACATAAAACTATTAAACACTAAGCAACAAGTTTAGTTTATTGCTGTTATCATTTACCTCAGGAAAAGTGCCTTTTGAAAAGACAATTAACAAACAAGTTTTACCACAAGCACCATCACCAACAATAACTAGCTTTCTTCTAATTTCGGCCATAACTAAAAAGTAAAGAGAATAAGATAATGTTTACAAAAATAAAATACAAGTTACTTTGTTAAAAAAGGACTATGCACTGAAAAAGGAAAAAAAAAAAAGAAAAGGGAAAAATAAAAAAGAGAGTAAGAGAAAAAAAAAAGAGAGAGATACAGGCTTTACTTAGACTACTCCCTATTACCCAAATACACTCCTTTTGTGTGACTCATTAAAAGTAGGTGAAACAATTATCGCCAAAAATGATTTGTCCTAAATGAATCTGAAGGGTAGCCAAGCCCAATCTCAATTTTAGCTTCAAGTGAGACTAACAGCCACTTTTAATTTCCGCAATATGATAGTGTATATAAAAAAGGCCTCTTATTTACATTCACTTTGATGTATATATCAATTATTTATTTATTCTTTGGGCTTTTTTGTAAAAAGTACACTATTATATTCAAAAAAAAGGTTATTTTTATATTATTTTAATAGTTCACAAGTCCGACTTTATATGACTATCGTATCATTTGATAACAAAGATAGCATAGATTTTTTAATAGCATATGATTTTAATTAAAAGGAAGAAAGGCATTTATTTGTAACTGAGCATCATTGAGGTAAAAGGCATTGATACTGATATTAAGCGCAGTCCCACGTCTTAATAATGTTAAACCTATAAAATCATACTCAAAAGTAGTCTTCCGATGCAACCTCACTTTCCTACAGAATCCGATCTTATCATAGACAAACAAATACGTGTATCCGTATTATCCATGGCAGCCTATACCCTTTGTATAAGTGTACTGTTATTCTTTACAAGTTTGGCATGGTTTGTAGCAGCCAACAAAGCTACTGAAAATCATTACCTTTGAAACAATGGAAGAAAGAGCCCTTCTCAACTTTTGCGCATATAACAACATTAAGAATTTCATCTCTATTACAAGTCTTTATTCAATAAAATTAATAAAATTGGAATGTATCTGTCTCAACGATCCATTTAATAAAATACTCCATTCAGTACACCACCAATTGCTCTTTGAGCATCGTCGATGATATGACCAGCAATCATGGTAAAATCAGCCATAGGATCGTTCAAATAACTGGGAATAGCAACCGAACTGGAAGCAACCGAGTTAGATGCAATCGAATTGTATGCAGCCGAACTGAATGGAGCTTGGCTGACAAGAGAGACACTACTGGCACCCACCGTCTCTGGCAACTCAAGCTGTGCGATATAATCCAAATCAAAGAACTCGGCACCATCTGGAAGAACAGTAGCTTGATTCTCAACGGAATTTACATCAGAGAACATATCACCAATAATTGAAGACAGAGGACAAGAAAGATCATTACAGTTTTCGATCAAAGGGCTTGATCCGCCAACAAGTACTCCAGAAAGAGCTAATTCAAGGCTATCCATGATATTTACTGTTTTCGAACCATCATAAGCAACTATAATTTCAATTAAGTAAACCTATCATGTCCTCTAACAATTGACACTTACACAAATAGGCATCTTCAGTAACAGTGACAGTTTCAACAACAACATTGGTAACATATGCACGCTTGGCTAAACTATTAGACTTGTTAAACTAGACTGTTTGATCTTCTAAAAAGATACATACTCCATGTGATTAGCTGCGGGTAAAGCTGCTGCACAGGCAGCAAGAGCAGATAACGCAGAAACAGTCAAAAGCTTCATGTTTTCTATTTAGTGTAAAGAACTATGCACAAAATGTTTAAGAGTTTAAATAAAAGATAGACACCGCTATGCTTATATACTGCACTGTGTAAAAAATTTAAGTAAAAGAATGTGCAGGAATAAAGGATGGGTGGAATACTAATACATCAAAATTTGTAAAGAATTATTGAACATCAAACAACTAGGAGCAAAGCAATGGGTTTATCTTCAGCACGGGCTACCAACGACACCCTCTCCGACCTTATCAAGTGCCTTATCGTTGAAATTACTTTGCCACTAAAGCGATATCATGCAAATATAGCAACATCAACAGCATCCATTTTGATTAATTTAAACATGTTATTTTAATATATAATAAAGAGAATGCCATCTTTCATTAAAATAGATGCGCATAATATATTTCAAATAAACTGTAAAGATATAAAAGCTTAATATATAATACAACAGGTTTATTTACACAGACACCTACCTTTTATTTGGATTTATTAGCAGTAGCAACTGCTGCTGTGTTCTTGGGTCAATAACATAGACACAAATTATTGTGTCTTCAACTAAATCATCGATAATAATAACTTTACAACTAACATAATTAACTTGAACACGCTAAACACTGGACTTTTTTGTACAATAACTCCACTTAGCATCACTGATAGTTTATAATTGATAAAATCCATACAGAAGCAGGCATACGCGTAGACTTCTGTTGCATAAGAGAAACCTATGCAGTAATTTATAATTTATAGTATAGCACGCTTTGTGCTTTTTATACAAGACCACATGCACATTCCTAGCCAAACCTATATGTAGAATTCAACGGTTTTCTATGGGAAAAATGCTCGCAGTAATATTTGCTTTTTTACCATCTATTTCAAATCGTGTTAACTTTCTTTATACATTTTTTCTTAAAATTTACCCTTAAAATCTTTAAAACTTCAACGTGGAGGTTAATGTTCATACTCTTATATGTAAAAGAAACTCAAAAGATATACACTTATTGCTCAGTTTAACCGCTTATATATCTAGAAGAGAGTAGTTGAACATATATTGATGGTGTAAGATTGAATTTTATGAACTGGTCGTTAGATGTTGGTAAGGTAAAGAATTACTGATTGTATTAAGGATGATGAATGGCAAAAGGATCGAATATTATTAGGTATCAAGGTGTTCTTTATGCAAGACTAGAACGTAAGAAAGAAGGTTGAACGTTCGAGAGGCAGTGATTCATTGAGCGATAATTTACTTTTGCAGAAAATTTCTCTTATAAATTATTCTGAAAAAAGTAATCTAATTCTATGGCAGTACCGTAATTTTGTAGTATCTGTGTGTTCAAAGCCTTATAAATGCCTGAGTTTCGTAGTGTCCCTTTTTTACTTCTAAAAGAAAAGAAAAAAAGTTTCATTACGAATGAAGTAAATTTTTGTCTTTAATACTAAAACTTAGGTTTTTGTTCTTCGTTTGAGTGTTCATGATATGATATATGAGACTGTTTAAACTGTTAACAGAACAATAGAACCACAGTGTTCAAAGCAAGGCAAAATAATTATCCAAGTCACGTGACCTATCAAAAATAAAGAAAAATATGACTTCTGCCAGACTCGAACTGGCGACCGCCTGTGTGTTAGACAGGCGTGATAACCATCTACACCAAGAAGTCATTGATGTTTTTGAGAGGTGTCATACTTTAGTTGTGATATTTTGAATATCACGTGATAGTCCCGTGACTATTGCGATGCGTTCTTTTGCTTTGGTAACAACTGATTGGTGGAGTTGGCTGTACAGTAAGAGGTTAAAGAAGTGTATGTGAAGCAGGAACGGAGTTCGAATCTCTAAATCTTACGTCACTGAAAATTTAGCTTTTGAACTCCCGCTCATTTCGAGGTCAGCTCGCTTGGTACTTGTCGATCTCAAGCTCTCTTTGGTGCCATGCAGCAGATTAGAACGGTATCTGCAAGTCATTGTTCATTGTTTCGCTGTTATTGTTTCTCTTTTTGTTTTCTCGTGTTTCCATCGTATTTTTTTTGTTTATCCATTTTGTAACTTCACGCGTTCTAGATTTGTTATTTGAAAAAGTATAAAGGGAGTTGTTTTAAGGAAATAAATCGATATATAATATTTATCTTTCTCAGATATAAACTCATCACTTTCCGTGTTTGTGTGCTTATACTGTTTCTCTGCTATTTCTGCTTGTTTGGATTTACCTACGCGAGTTCAAGCAATTGATAGTACTAGTGCTCTCAAATCTGTCTCTTTCTGTGCTCTTATTAGTGGTTTCTTATAGTTTTGCTGCTAATAAACTTACGTTCTTATCTCATCGTAAAACTAAAGGTAAACATAAAAAATCAGTTGGAATCTGTCACTTTCGTATTTCAAAACTTTTACTTGGCTCAGCTACCGGATAAAAATTTTACCATTACGTGGCTTTCCTAAAGAGTATCATCACAGTATAGACAGTAAAGACGTACCTGTCATGGTTCTTCCGCATAATGTTCCTAAGCCACCCAATAGGGTTGGTTACTAAGATCACAAGTCGGGTGGATCTAGCTCATCGCAGCCTCTTCCAACTTCTCCAATTCCATACTCAAAGATCCACGAGCGATCTTCCAAAACGAAAGTTTACTTCTTAACTCGAAGCCCTCTGTGCAATCGTCTACTGCACAAACCCATGTTGATAATCCCAGTAATCAACAAAAGATCATCATCGAGACTACTCATATTGGTGTATCGCAATCGGCAGGTAGGCTGTTTTTTGACGTTTCTTCTCGTGCTGAAACGGTGCGGGAAATTTACATGGCAGCCTTCCGTCAATCCAATGATTTTGTCGGTCAACGGACCCACAGATTAGGCGATAATTGATCTTTGGAAGTTAACTTTGATATCGATAAGAATCGTGCCGCAGCTCTCAAGGCTGGTTTGACCTTTAATGATGGTTCAGTCATTATAACACCATCCGTAGTAATGAAACCAGGATCAATGATTAAACGGATTAATCTTGATCGTCTGCCGTGATTGCACATCAGGGATCTTCTTGACGGTCTAAAGGCTACTTTTCAGTATTATGGAGAAATTCACGACGTCGGTGTTGTCAAAGATGCCGATTCTGGCACCTTTTTAGGTGCAGGCTATGTTATTATTGACTGCTCTTCCGAGCTTAATACTAAATATGCCGACTTATTGCAAATATTGTCATGAGTCCGGACATTTTGCTTCTGAATGTAACAAGTCTCCTAGTGGCAAGCGAGTTCGTTTTGCTTGCCTGAAATCTGGACATATTCGTGCCAATTGTCCCGAAAAAATCAAGTCCTTCAAGAAACGCAGACGTCATTCTGTACCATCGGATACTCGTCTTTCATCTGTTGCAGAAAGTTCTGCTGTTGTTCTTTCTCCTCCATTGGAGGATTTGGCCAATCCACCCACTATTCAGTCGTGCGAGACCACTGAGATGTCCTCTCAACTGCCCAAAGTCGATATTGATGTTGTTAATCCTAATTTGCCCCAGTCTGCAGAAGCTGAAGCCTGCTCTGACTCTTACAGTCTTCCTTCTCAGCCCGCTAATCCTCTGTCAACAGACAACTACGTTGCACAGGCTCAATTTGAGATTCTTACTTTGGAGACCATTCGGTCTGACTCTCCTATGTACTCCTTTCCTCCTCAAGAAGAGTCTATGGAGTGTGATAATGATGAAGTTGCTAATACCACTTTACCTGTTATTAATCAATCGGCCTGCTCTTCTAATACATCTAAGTATGCCTCTCGCCCCAAACGCAATGCCAAACCTCCTCTGCGTTATGAGAATGATTCTCGTTATCATTAATTTTTATGAATAATAAAAATCAACGTAAGGCTATATGGTTGCTCTCTTTAAATTGCAATAGCTTGTTTAAGTTGAGTAAACAAAACTTATGAAAACATCTTATCCGATATATATATCTCAAACAACCTACATTTGTTACTTTACAAGAAGTCGACAATAGTCAGAATCCTTTAGATCATTTTAGTACATTACATAAGCAGTTCTGTAGTTCTCAGTCATTTTGGAATCTATATTGCGGAATAGTTAGTCTCGATAATCAATTTCATTTAGAACAAATCTCTCTTCCTGAAGACTTCCACTATATCCTCACTCGAGTTTCTCATGTTGATCAGGAAGTTTCACCTTTTTTCATACTAGTTTTACACGATCCAGCTTCCTTACCAAGAGAGCGTATTTCTTTCTTCAGCAGTTTACTGAACTTTGCTCAATTTTCACAATATAGTGATCAATCTTGCATTGAACGTTTAATTATTGCAGGCGACTTTAATTACGACGCTTCCAATATTTCTTTACGTTCTTCATCTTCTCAATTTGGCCTACACCAATGGAACCATTTTCTTTGTTGCCACTTCAGCAATGTTATGTCGAACCTTCATCAGCTCAATACTCCTACATTCCATCGAAGAGACACAACATAATTGACCATTGATTTTATTTTCTTATCATCGTTTCTTTCATCGTCTTTTGCGAACGCAGACGTCGAGTATATAAATCAGGAATGGACTGACCATGCGCTGTTACGTGTGGAGCTCCACTTGGAAACGAATACATCGACTGGTCCTGGTATTTGTCGAGCTAATCCAATATTTTTACAAGTGGAGGATTCCCGCAATCAGTTTCACTCTCGCTTGTCATCCTTCTATTATCAATGCTTACACTCATCTCAATTATCTCCTTCCGAGCAATGGGATGTGATTAAAGAAGAGGTTAAAAAGTTTAATAGGAAGTATGGACGTAAATATACCAGCTGGAGGAAAAAGCAGTTGCAAGCTTAACAGTCTAAACTTCAACGCGTTCTACGAGATAACCTCCCATACAGTGCATTGCAAGAGCATTTACCTAGGGTCGAGGCTCAAATCAAGTATTTACAGAAGGAGCTTACTGACATAACCGTCCTCAAAGCTGAACAGATTTGGCGCGAACGTGGTGAAATAGATGCCGGTTACCTAAAGCCAACGCCGAATTCCACAACTGATTCACGCTTCCACTGGCGGTCTTTGCTCTACCCCAGAACAGATGATATCTGCGGCAGAAACCTTCTGTCAGGATTTGTGTTCTCCGGAGCCCATTGACTTTCAAGCGCTGAGTTTCATGCGGTCTCAAATCCCGGAAGATCTATATTTATCTTCAGAAGACAGTCAATCAATTTGTGAGCCTTTTAATTTTGATTATCTCCTCACCCAGGCTTTCGTGCCCCACAGCAAAGTAGTTCCTGGCCAGACGGCCTCACTTAATAGATATCTTATGTAGATTTTACGGCATCCTCTTTACCAAGCCTTGGCATTACAAGTTTACAACGATGCCTTGTCTCAATTTGCGTTCCCTCCTACTTGGCTTGATACATGCGTCGTTCTTTTACCGGAAAAGAGTGACTTAAGATTAATAAAAAATTGGAGACCCATTACTTTAATTAATTGTGATGCCAAGATCCTTACCCGCTTGCTCAACTCTCGCCTAGGTTCGCTAATGACCTCTCTTATCTCCCCATGGCAGAGTAGTTTTATGAAGAATCGTTTCATCGCTGATAATGGAGCTCTAGTTAATATAGCGATTGAACAAGCTTCCATAAGAAGCTTTGAAGAGGTTGGCTTGCTCTGTGATCAAGAGAAGGCATACGATCGGGTTCATCTCCTATATCTTAACACAGTTTTACAAAGATTTCGGTTTCCTTCCGCTTTTATTAGTGCAATTGACAAGTTGTTTTATTCCACTACTATGCATTTGAATGCCAATGGGTTTATTTCTCCAGGATTCAGACTCGGTCACAATTTAAGGCAAGGAGATCCCATTAGCCCTTTATTATTCAACCTAGTGCTGAGGCCTTTTATTCGCTCTATTTTATCCAATGAAAGGATTCATGACTTTGCTGGTCCTTCATCATCCCTAAGGACACTTTCTGCACTAGTACAAGGCTCTCCAACTCTTCCTCCGCTCAAAGTATTGGCTTATGCAGATGATCTTTGTGTTTTTCTTTGGAATCAGGACGATTTACGAGCTTTTCAGGAGCTTGTGCGACTGCACAATCTTGCTTCGAACTCAAAATGAGTTACGACAAAACTATTGCTTTCTCGCTTTCTGGACAGCCGTCTCCTAGCTGCTGCACAATTCTTTCCACTGCAGACATCGGTCAGTGGCATGATCGCACCTCTGACGAGCCTCTGAAGTATTTGGGCTACCCTATAATCAACTCTCACTAGCAACGTCAGATTTTCTTGTCTGATCTGGTTGCTAGGCTTAAGCGTGGCTGCAATATGCACAAATGTCGCAGCTTGTCTGTATGTGGACGCGCGGCCGTGTTGAATACTCTTCTCCCCTTCAAATATGACACGTGTTACGCATTACTTGGATTCCTAAGGAAATTTTGAATAAAATTACCTCCATCGGCCGCTAGCTTGTTCAACATCACCAGTTTCCCTATATCAGCTACAATGTGTTGCTTCAACCTACACAACGCGATGGCCATGGTCTTCTCGATCCTGCAATTCAACAAAGCCTTTTCGAATATCGGTGACTCACGCCGTTTCTGTTGTCTGAGGCTCCTTCCGCTACTGTGACTACATGGATGTCTACTCATATCTTAAGCACAGCTTCTTTTACCCTTTTCTAGTCAGTAACTGGTTTTTTTATTTCACGCACCGCTACATGCGCACTACTTTTTTAATTTTTTGTATTTTTTGCACCTTGGATGAGCCACTTTACCCCATAGGGTCACTGCTAAGTAACCCATTATTATTTTAAATAAAAATCTTCTGTCTACACCAAGAAGTTACTTGATGAAAGTATGAATGTATTTTATAATGTCATATATTTTTCACGTAATATGCGACGGCTTATTTGGCTTTTCTACTTGCTGATGTCTTTTTCCTGTGAAATACGTACTTTAATATAAAAATAATGTTACGCCTTCTCTTGTATAAGAGCGTTGTCGTCTTTTGTTTTAGTGGATTTCAGATAATCAATGCAGCTTTAATGAAACATATCCGAAATCGTATATTTTTTGTTGTAGTTGTAATGGGGTTTAATAAGGGACGTGTTGAGCATCGCTTGTGGTTGTCTAGCACAAATATAGATATAGTAACAGCAATGTGTCTCTTGATAGATTTAAAATATTGCTTAGAAGGTGCTTATTTTAGTTGAATTAGTTTAGTATCTTCGTTTTTTTTTTTAGCAGCTAGGTAAATGCTTCAAGTTTTGCTTTAAATATTAACAAAGGGAAAAGTGTATTCCCCCTTTTTTGTCTCTTATTTTTAAACACAAAACGAGATCTTTTGTGGACATTTGCTTTTCTTAGCTAAAAGAAAGGAATAACAAGGGCCTGAACAAATTTGATAGAAAAAATTAAAAAAGCGAAAGGTGAATTTAACATTACCTAAAGTTATTCCGGGAATACTTGTGCCTTTCTTTTTTCCATAATTTAACCGAGATCAGTAAAGCGGCAAGCACATCGCTTTTAACAATTGAGAAAACGTCGTTAGAATGCTTAAATGTCTTACAACTAGAGCGAGGCTGACTCCTTGCCATAACGGCAGAAGCTTGTTGCAAATGCATAAGCGATGCAGCCGTTCCTTTCTGACAAGTCAACCGTTATGTAATAGTCAGCCAAAGCAAGAGATAGCCAACAAGTCAAACAAGGGCGATGTAGTTCGTCTGCTTAAACTAGCCAAACCAGAATCAAAAAATATAGCTGGTAATAATAACAATACCTAGACACTGAAAAAACTAACCAGGCTATATATAGCTGCAACTGGTCTTTTGGCTGTGTCTTCGGCTATTACTATGGTAAATAACTATTTCATAACAAAACGACTATGTTACTTATTATCTTTGAGAATTTAGTCAGTACCATTCTCTATGGGCAAAATCATTGATATTGTTACAAATCCAACTATAGACAGCTACATGGGGTTAACCATGCCTGAGTTTGCAGGAGTCTTATCAGTGGTATTTACTGTTGGTGCAGCAGCAAACGCTGGTCGAGTTTTATTGTTTAGAACATCAGGAGAAAGAATCATTCAAAGACTGCGCAATGACCTTTACAAGACAATTTTAAAGCAGGATATGTCATTTTTCGATAAAAATCGGACCGGCGAGTTAATATCGCGATTATCTACAGATACGGCTATTGTTGGAAAAAGTCTAACAAATAACGTGAGCGACGGTTTAAGGTAAAGTATAGAGTTTGAAAATATATGACTGTGATAACTGATATTTGAAAAAAAAGGGCCTTGGCTACCGCTACTGTAGGCTCCACCATGATGGTGATTATTAGTCCAAAGCTAACAAGCATAATGATGCTAATTGTACCTCCTGTTGCTGCTTTTGGTATTATCTACGGCCGTTATGTCAAATCGCTATCTAGACAAACACAAACAGCACTTAGTGAGATTACAAAGGTGGGAGAAGAACGTCTTAGCAATGTTCGTACGGTTCAAGCATTTGCTAAAGAGGACGTTGAAGAAAAGCGATATGCTCTTCGTGTAGAGGATGTCTATCAATTAGCGAAAAAAGAGGCTATAGCTAGTGGTGCATTCTTTGGCGGTGCAGGATTGTCGGGTAATCTTGCTGTGCTAGCTGTATTATGGTATGGTGGCCAAATGGTAATGCAAAACACAATCACTATTGGCGAATTGACATCCTTTATGCTTTACACTGCCTATGTTGGCACAGCTTTGGGCGGTATGACTCAGTTTTATTCCGAGTTTATGAAGGGTGTAGGTGCATCAGATCGTATATTTAATCTTTTACAACGCAAGAGTTCTATTTCAACTGATGGTAAGTTTGCATCCAGGCCATCTACACACAAGTGGCTCATGTATTGTTTTAAGGAGGAAGGTTATTATCCGACCTAAAAGGGAGAATCATATTTAAAGATATTGACTTTGCTTATCCTACTCGTCGTCAGTCACCTATTTTCAAAAACTTCTCTCTCACAGTTGAGCCTGGTACTGTAATTGCCATCGTTGGTCCTTCAGGAACAGGTAAATCGACAATTGGATCTCTTTTACTTCGTTACTATGACCCTGTTGCTGGAAATATCTATATTGATGATACAAATATCAAGGACATCAATCTGCGTTGGTGGCGAGAGCAAGTCGGCGTCGTTTCACAAGAGCCTACACTATTTGCAGGCACTATTGCTGAAAATATTGCTTATGGGCGCGAAAATGCTACCATGGAAGAAATCATGGAGGCTGCTACTAAAGCCAACTGTGCTACATTTATCAACAGCTTTCATGATGGGTATAATACACTAGTAGGTGAGCGAGGTGTCAGTTTGAGCGGCGGACAGAAGCAACGTATTGCAATTGCTCGAGCTTTACTCAAGAATCCCAAGATACTGATATTAGACGAAGCAACGAGTGCGCTTGATTCTGAATCAGAGGTCTTGGTTCAAGAGGCTTTGAATCGCTTGATGCATGGTCGCACTGTGTTTACAATTGCTCATCGTCTTTCCACTATTCGCTCTGCTGATATAGTTGCATGCTTAAGTGATGGCAAGGTTGCTGAGCTTGGTACTTATCAGGATCTTTTAAGTCGCGAGAATGGTGTTTTCCGCAATTTAGTAGAGCTACAGTCTTTAAGAGGAGAAAGCGAGAATAACCATCGATAATCTGTATTGTATATTCCCCTCCTTTAAAAATTCTTTTTTTATTTTTATTTTTATTTACTAGAGTTATCATATACACTTGCATTACTATTCATCAGTTAAAGAGCGATAATAAACTGTTTCTAAATCAAATATAGCTTTTGCTAATTCACTTCTCATGGTGTCTACTTTAGATCTTATCATATTTGTGCTTTCAGTGAGTTTCTCTGACTGTGTTTTTCGTAGTTGCGCTAGTGTCTGAGAGTCATTAAGTAGTAAATATTGTTTCAATTCGTTTGTTAATGACAATAATGATTCACATGATCTCACCTAAAGTATAAAAAAAAAAGTTAGTACATGAGGGGCTAATGAGCCTGGTTTATTACAATCTGTGCTGCTTGGCTTTCTATCTGGTATCCTTCTTGAGCTACTTTAAACTTGTCTTTGTCTTTATTCTTGAAGGGTTTTTCAGTTTATTGTCCATAGTTTATTGTATTCTTTTACCTCCCCAATTCGCACAATGTCAGTGAAACAATCTACAAGCTTGGCTGTATCATCGTCTATACGTTTATTTAACTGATCGTCTACTTGAGCAAGGAAAGGACGAGGTGCGCTTTTGGTAGGATTATGAAAGGGTGGTATAGTAGTCATTGAAAAAAAAAAAAAAAATTAAAAAAAGGTGCCATTTGTTAGCAAATGATGCTTTGTCTCAAAAAAAAATACAATTTGTCAATGACCCGTATAATCTTTGGGAATATTCAGGTTTTAGTTAATTGTATGATTAGAGCGAAGGCGATTCAGTCAAGATCTGACTGTATCTAATAAAATAGAAGCCAAATGCAAAAAGCATGCATGAACTGATATTATTCCTTGCAAGGTCTATTGTCTTCATTTTTTTTGTATGGAAGAGACTCATCCAGAGACGATGAAGCTTCTCAGTTTATTTATAAGTACATTGTCTTCGAGGATACGTTCTTCTATCTTAAATTGGATTCTCAAGCATTAACCGCCCATGTGTGTACTATGGCCTTGATTGGCAGCGGCTATTAAAAAGCTAATGTAGCACGCATTAGATTATAAGTGTTGTCGTGATCCTTAATTACAAGTGGACCAACACTACATGCACCAGAAAAGAGACTACATAATGCAAATACGAATATATCATAATCACACTTGAATTGATCTTGTTTCTTTGTTGATAGAACTAGAAACAAAAAATTAGAATAAATAGCAGCATTTCTCTTTTATCTCTTGAAAAGAATACAAACCAAGATGGTGAAAAGTTTTGTTAGGCAACAACACAAATAATATCTGTAGATAGTGCACGTGGAATTAGTCTAATTTCTGGTGTATTTTCTAGTGCGTGTAGTGTTTCCCTTACTAATTGCTTTTGTTATGTAGCGTCGGAAGAAGATAGTGTGATAGAGATAACGCCTTAATAATACATCTCATTTGGTATTGTATACACTCATCAATATATATCTAGTCATCTGTTTTATCACCTGAGATAAAAATAACAGGACTAGAAGAGCCATCAAGAGAGAGGCGGCCTATCAAGAGATGCAAGCAACTAGAGCCATTAGCGATATTTCCAATTCTAATGACACAAAAGCCCTGATCTGCCCTAAGACGCAAACGCCTGAAGTCGTGCCCTTCTCTTCTCTCCCACAAGTCTATGACCAGTCTTATCTTCAGCATCGGCTTCTCACTCCCCCAGGACCAGAATATTTGAAGATAGTTTTACTGAAGTTACTAAAAATCAGCCCGATATTTTAAATAAAGATTGGATACAAGGAAACATCTACATTTGGCATGTGCACAAGTTTTTAGCTGATTGCATCTTGGTTAATCAAAATCAAATTTTACTAGTAAATTGCAAAGAGGTCTATGCTAGATTACGAACTCTTGATCCTCATTATGAGCGTTTTCAGAACAATTATTCTTGTACTCTTCCTGGTGCTTTTGGAGGTAGTCTCAACAGTGGTACGAAGCTTGGATCTCAGATCTTCTAATGCTTTGCAGTCAGGTTGAATATATTGAGCACTCAGAACTACCTCAATTGAATCAACTGCCATTAAAAAGACTACCGATATTTATAAACTGTATCTTAAAATACTGAGCATCGCCATTGATCAAAATGGCAACATTTACCAGTCGCATTGTATTGATACATTGCTCAATAAACATTGGGATTGACAAGGTTTTATTTTTAAAAATATAATTTAATAACAATCTAGTATAGCTTGGGTGTATGGAGAGAGAGGATTTACAATTGTTTAATAACAGCGTTGGTGAATTCCTTAGTGGTGCTTGTTCCTCCAATATCGATGGTTCTGGCAACACCAGATTGAATGGTTTCGTAAACAGCGGCAGAGATTCTGTTGGCGTGTTCATCCAAGTTTAAGTGTCTCAACATCATTACAGAGGATAAGAGCATAGCGGTAGGGTTAGCGGTGTTTTGGTTTTGGATATCGAGAGCAACGTGACGGCAACCCTGGAAAAAGGTTTTAGCTGATGATAATAAAAGCGTAAACAATAACTTACAGGTTCGAACATGGCAAATTCACGACCAATGTTACAACCAGGGATCAAACCGGGACTACCAATCAAACCAGCACCCTATGTTTCTATTTTAGTATTCCCATATATTACATAGTCATGATATACTTACAACATTGGAAACGATGTTACCATACAAGTTGGGCATGACCATAACATCGAATTGTTGAGGACGAGAAACAAGTTGCATAGCAGTGTTATCGACGATCATATCATTAACTTGAATACCGTGGTGTTCATATTCCTTTGCAACATCGCGACATGTACGTAAGAAAAGACCATCTGCCAATTTCCTATTTTGAAGTTTTAGCTGAAAACTCTGTCTGATGTGTGATCATTCTTACATGATGTTAGCTTTGTGAATGATGGTAACCTTCTTACGGTTGTTCTTGACAGCAAAGTCAAAGGCGAAACGAGCAATACGTTCAGTCTTGGTACGAGTGATGATCTTTAAGGATTCAACAACACCAGGGACAGACTGTTATCCATTGTTAAACATGTGCTCTTCTGCTGTCTTTTTATTATTATTTACCTGATGTTCCAAACCAGAGTATTCACCTTCAGTGTTTTCACGAATAATGGCAATATCAACATCGCTCAAACGAGACTTGACACCAGGGAAGTTCTTGACAAGGGATAAGGAGGCATACATATCCAGATCCTTACGCATAGTGACGTTGAAAGACTTGTGTCCGAGCTTGGAGGTGGGTGTGAAGAGAGTACCCTTGATACCGACCTTGTTACGGCGGAGGGAAGCAATGGATTCTTGGAAAAGCTTATCGTCTTCAGAGGTTAAACCAGAAACATCATACTGTTCAAATTCAACAGGGACGTTGGCAGCCTTGAAAACATCCTTAAGAGAAGAAGAGATTTCTTGACCAATACCGTCACCGGGAATAAGGGTAACAGTGTACTTTCCTCCGTATTTCTTTGGGAAAATCTAAGGATACATTTAATAAACAATGCAGAAAAAAAAAGTAAATATTACAGTCTTTTGTTCAGCGGGAGCGGGCACAGGGATGGAAGTAGCTGTGGCAAATGAACGAGTAGCGACCTTTTAGAAAAAGTTAGTACTACGTCATAAATAAAGCATCTCTTATACCTTTTGAATAGCAGCAACAGTAGGCTTAGAAATAACCTTGGAGGAAAGCATATTGAAAAATTTTTTTTCAAGGCAAGAAAAAAAGAGAAAAGAGAAAAAAAAACGCGGGATTACCCTGAATTTATCAATTAGGCCCCCCGCTTTATTTTGCCTGTTATTTCTGAGAATGAAATAATGATTTAAGAGCCTAAACCAACATCCGAAATGGGTGTACTGAGCAGTAATGATGCTTAATCTATGCAAAATGGTTTTAATGGGATATAGCAACAAGTTGTCTAGGATTTTACAAGTATATTATGTATCCTTGAAATTACTGTAATTAATGAAAATCAAAGGGTATCATCAAGTCTAAGGAAAATAAATGATAACAGTCTTGTAAAATATTCAAGAGCAAAGGGCACTCAAGCATTGAATACTACAGTATCTTATAATTGATAAGCATTCAGCTAATTTCTCGTTACAGAAATGGTTGTGTTGAATCAGATATAGTCCCTCGGCTCCTAAGTAGAAGAGAAAAGAAAAAAAAAGAGTCAACTCTTTTGATGCATTTAAAGACGCAGGATTGTCGTACAATGTCTGGGTTCATTTTGCCTTATGCTGAGGGAAATAAAGAAAGAGGAGAAGGGGGGGGGGTGAAAAGGTAACGCTTATTAGCAAAACACTTGTAATTCGTCGAACTGACTACCATATTAAAAAGCATCGGGTTGACTTTTGAAAGTGGCTCATTAAAACAAGTATATATCAAATAAAGTTCGTGTGTACAATAAAAATAATGGCCGATTCTTCGGGTTACAGAAGTACGCTGTACTCAGACCTTTCAAAAACTGTATTTCGTTATTAATTTATTTCTTTCTCTTTTTCTCTTTCTCTCTCCTTTTAAGAAACATGGTTCTTTCAGCTTACATCAAAAAAATAGTCGAGGATACTATTCAGAAACATAGCCAAGAGCTTCGAACCATTAGTCTTGAGGTATGCAAATAAATGCCATATTCTCTCATTTATCAACCCTATTTAGATACATGATCATCCTGAACAAGGCAATCAGGAGTTCATTGCTTTCAAGCTTCTGACTGAATACATGGAGAAGCATGGCTTCAAAGTGACTCGTGGTGTTGTTGGATTAGAGACTGCCTTTATTGCTGAATACTCCAATGGAAAGAACGGACGTCGTATAGGTTTTTGCAGTGAATATGATGCATTACCAAAGTAGGATGCTTTAAAAGAAAAGGAAAGGAAGAAAGGGACAAAGATTAAAACGAGCTCTATTTATATCTAGTATCGGTCACGGTTGCGGTCACAATTTAATTGCTGTTCAAGGAGTTGCTTGTGCATTAGCAGTAAAGACATTACTGGAAAAGAATCTTATCTCAGGGTCAGTTACCTTATTTGGTACACCAGCAGAGGAATCGACATGCAGTAAGATTACCTTGGTAAAAGAGAACATAGTTCAAGACCGTGTTGATTTCGCCATGATGCTGCATCCTAGTGCTGTAGATGCAGTCTTTTCGAAAACATTAGCCTTGGATCAAGTGGTAATTGAATTCTTTGGCAAGGCAAGTCATGCAGGTGCCTCACCTTGGGAAGGTATCAATGCATTAGATGCTTTGATGCAGGGATTTGACAACACTGCCATGTTGAGGCAGCAAACACTTCCCACCAACAGGTTAGTGTGACACTCAATTTATTTGCATATATTGATTGTTTATGATAGAATACATGGCATTATCAAACATGGCGGTAACTCAGTAAGTCTGCGCACGCGTGCGTCTATCACTAATATGCTAATAAACATATTTCCCAGGCCAATGTTATTCCTGATCACGCGTCTGCTCACTTCTTTGTTCGTGCCCTCACGCGTACTGAATTAAGTAACCTCAAGTCAAAACTCGAAAACTGCTTCAAGGCTGCAGCTATTGCTACAGGATGTACTGTCAAGTTTACATGGGCACCTCAAGGCCAGATTGATGGTAAGTGGCTTCTATAGATGAATGAGACTGTATGCGTGCTGATCCTTGGTAGATTTATTCAATAATGAAATCTTTGGTCTGAGATATATTGAATATATGAAAGAAAAGGGGGTTGATATCCCTTTGACTATACCAGAAGATGCTGGTGTTATGGCAAGTACAGATATGGGTAATATCAGTTATGCTGTGCCTAGCCTTCATCCAACCTACAGTATCGGTTCCAAAGCGTTCAATCACACAGCTGAATTTACAACAGCAGCAGGAACCTTGATAGCACATGAAAAGGCCATGACATCTGCTGTCTGCCTTGCTATGACAGCTGTTGATGCTTCCTTGGATTCGACATTCTTTGAACAAGCAGTCGAGTCATTCAAGAAAGGAAAGCAGCAGTAATTTGTTAGTTCATAACCGGTTTAGTGTAACATTAATTTCGCATTTAGACAATAAATGTGTATTTTTTCCCTTTTTCTTTTTTCTTTTCTTCTTTTTGTGAGTTCCTTTTCGACCCTTTTTAAACATGGCTACAACAACTAAATCAAGTATGCAAGGTAAGTAAGCGATTTCTCTTGTCTTTTTTATTCTGTTTGTTTTTTTTTTGCTTAAAGTAACGAGGTATTTATAGATTGGGTTCAAAAAATTCATTTTGAAAACAAAGTGGATGGTAAGGTGAAATTGGTTATTATTTTGTTATTTACACTCTCTTTTTCATTAGTTAGCTTACAGATGCCATCAGAAAGCGAGTCTATAAAGATTGAAGTAGATGATATTCCAAGGTAAGACGAAAGAAAAAAAAAAAAGTAGTACAGTACGCTTAATCACTTTTTTAATTTGATAGTCTGAGTCAGAGTGCAGGTCAAGACAGTTACCTTCAGTCTATTCTATCATCCAAATCAACTGCCAGTTCTATATCAGTTGGTCATTCGTGCACAGGCGACAAAGCTTCATGCGAATGTTATAAATGTCAGCGTCAGAGAAGAAGAGCAGGACATAGATTAGATAATACAAGAAACAATACAACGCCCGCACCTTACACACCTTTACCAAAGCAAGAAGCGCAGCCAAAGAGATCAAATACTCTTCCCACATCTGCTGCAATTACCAAGAGATCAAACACACTCAGAAAGACACCTACTTTAAAATCATACGAAAAACACATCCCCAAGCCCACTTATTCGCAGCAGGAGAGTATCTATCGCTTTAAATCTAATGATGGAAAGGATGATAATAGGCAGAATAACAGAGAGCAGGAAAGACCGTGGAGCACTATTGGCTCAAGTGATACCAAAGATAATTATACAATCTCTTGGAAGGATGAAGGAACAGGCGATGATCTACTCACTCCACTCGTTACTTTCCAGACCATATTTGAATCAGTTGATAAAAATGAAGGATTATCAGATATATTGGAACAAAAAGCAAAAGAGCTGAAAGATAAAAAGTTAAAAGTTCAAGAGCCTGAACCAACAGAACAGTTACCTCCACGTCGACCAGATTGCTTAACATTAAGTTATCGTCAGGGACCAAAGCATAATCCTTTAACACTTTATCATACAATGAAAATGAATAAAGAAAGTGAACGATTAAATGCCTATGGTAAGTCAAAAAGAAAAGAAAAAAAAAAAGTTATAGCTAACGCTATACAAAAGGTATTGCGTTTAATCATTGCATTCAATCAAACAGCGGCTTAAAGGACTGGATCAAGAAGCCTAAAGCACCTCCGCCAGTAAGAGAAGGCTCCAAGCTGACCCAAGCAGCACACCAAAAACCTAAACGATCACTTTTTTCTACATTAAGAAAGGGACATAAAATGAGTAACCACAGTGAAGAGCAGCTCATGTTTTGGGCTTCAACAGACCAGCTCTCTCAAAAGAAAAAGTCAACCGAGACTTTAAACCAACCGACGGATATACTCTTGGCTGCACAAGCACTGCTACCAAATCAACAAGGTTCAATTACAATTGAGCCAAATCAAAAGGCTCCTTATGACCATATTGATGTTCCTGGTAAACCACGGGTGGTCGATGTAAGTCTATTATCAAGAGAATATATATATACTAAGTATTAGTTAAAATAGACCAAGGATGTAAATAATAGCATATCGTCAACAGAATCAAATACAGCTAATAAGATCGTAAATAAATCAGGTCGTCTGTTCTCTTCGTTAAGTAGAAAAGCTTCATTAAAGTCATACAATAGTGACAAATCTCCTTCTATAAAGTCTTTAGAAAAGGTAATAAAAACATCTGTGTGCTATTTAATCATTCTAACTTTTTCAAAAGGTTGACGAATGATTGATTCTAATAAATTAATAAATTCACAATTAAAATTCAGAATTGCATACTTTTTTCTTCTTCTTCAAATGAACTTTTATCAACATGCTGGACGAATTCTCGATAAACTTGCAAGACATGAAGGCACTATAAAAGGTCTCGTCATTGGCGATCCAAAAGTACAAGATAAAAAGAAAATGTACGCTCTTGTTTGTGAGACTTTGAAATGTAATAATAAAAAGGGGAGCACTCTATGAGTTGATATTGACATGTTGATTAGATAAGCAGGTGTTGAACGAACTGATTGATTCTACCAAGATTTGTGAAATTGAGAAAAAGGTTTGAATTTACAAGTGATGTATAAACAACGTTATTCATCCTACTTACAGTTGAAGCGATCTTTGGCTCTCGTGTTGATTCATGATTTATTGTTTACAAAAAGAGGAATCACTGTTCGTAACGAAGTGCCACTAAAGCAATGTGTCATACGTCACCAAGCAAGATTAAAAGCTGAACTCATCAAGATCAAGATCAAAAGAGGTGTGACATCAAATGAAGATTTGGTGAGTCAAAAAGTAAAAGACGCTGGTAAAAAAAAAAAAAAAAAAATCAAAAGCATAGGCTTACATGACAAGTCTAGTTTTAATTCCAAGGTATGCACGTGTTAATGAACACAAGACAACAGTTGAGAAAGCAATCAAGGCATTTGAAAAAGAAGGTTATGTGCTGATAAAGTGTCCTGAAAACCTTTGTGAATTAAAGTACGTAAAAGATGACAATGCTCTATAGGCATTAACCTTATTTCTTCTTTAGACAAAAGGAGTTTTGTATTGATCAACATTTACCTGATATGCTTATCTTTCATCAAAGAACAGACTTCCATGACCATACTTTATATAGATCAGGTCATATCATACTTCAGGTAATAGTATAAAAGGTGGGGTATTGAACCATAATTCACATTTTAGATTTTAGGATAAGGCATCTTGCTTTCCTGCTCATGTATGTCATCCTCCTCAAGGCGCTCATGTCATTGATGCCTGTGCAGCGCCAGGAAATAAGACCTCACATTTGTCAGCACTCATGAAGAACACAGGCAAGATCTGGGCGTTTGATTTAGATTCTCGTCGATTAGGCCTACTCAAGAGGCTAACAGGGAAAGCAGGATGTAAAAGTGAGTTGATACCCCCAAAAAAGCGATCCAAGAAGATAGCTAATGGCTTGATAGATATCACACCGATTCATGGCTCATTCTTGGATGCGGATCCGAATGACCCACAATATTCTCAGGTAGTGAGCGATTCAAAAAGAATTGATTTGTGGCTCATTTTTTTTTTTTTTTCTTTTGCCAGGTAGAATATCTTCTTTTAGATCCTTCTTGTTCTGGATCAGGCATTATAAGCAGACTGGATCACTTGGTAGATGATGAAGACGAAAGTAAGTTGCAATGAGTTTGAGAGTTGCAATATACTGATCATTTGATAGATGAGGGTAGCAACGACAAGAATGGTAGCACACAGGAAGAGAGATTGAAGAATCTATCCGAATTTCAGATATCGGTCATAGAACACGCTTTGAAATGTAAGAATATATTACACAAGCAGGTCAACGTGGCTTATTAGATTGAATAGTCCCTAATGCAAAGCGTGTCGTTTATTCTACTTGTTCAGTCCACGCCGAAGAAAATGAGCATGTCGTAAAGACAGTACTGAAAAATAACCCTGAATTTGAATTGGCTTCACGTGACACAGTTCTACCCACCTGGAATCGTCGCGGTATGCCAAAAGAGATGGATGGGGATGAAGGTAATTCTTGGCACTATATTATACACACTTTTTTTTTATTTAAATACAAAAAGCTTTAGCTGATCGCGTCGTACGCACGATACCCGCGGAAGATTTGACTAATGGCTTTTTTGTGTCTTGCTTCATAAGAAAGACAAGCGAAGGCTTAAAGAGAACTATAGACGAGATTGAAACAGTACAAGAAACCAAACCAAATAAGAAGAAGAAAAAGAACAACAACAAGAAGAAGACAAGTTTGACTGCTGAATAAACTCTTTTTTTACTGTTAGTTTATTGTTATTTTAAAAGATGAAAAGAGAGATTAATTAGCGCAAAGTGAGAGTATTGTGTGTGTACTTTCTAATTTAGTATTCCACAATTGATGACTCATGCTTAGATCATAGTGGTATGATATTATTGTTTTCAAATATGTTTATTACTACAGTCATTAAAACAATAGTGCTATTTTAGGCAGAACCCGGCTAGTTAAACAAAGTACATAATTGGACGCGTGCTCTATGCTCTGCTCCAATGGTAATCCACTCCCCCATTTCTTTCCTATTAACAGATAAATGATCTAGTACATTGTCCTACCTGATTGATACCGGGAGCTTATCTGATCTTTTTTCATTTTGCGGATCAATTATTTCTTGTTTCCTAAAGACACGAGACATGAGTTACACATTGAATTTTTTTATTGTATTTTGTATGTCCGTAATCAATATATTTTTATTAGGGATCTTATATATTTTTGAGCCATAAACAACAAAATAAATATATATAAAGAAAGAGTAGCCATGTGAAAAGATGTAAAGAATAGCTCCGAAGTTGAGAATAAAAAAAATCACAGGCCCATTTCTATTGGGTTATTGTACAGATACTAAAGTGAATGTCTCACTTGATGAATATATGAGCAAGATGATCTCAAGCTGAAACCAGAAAAAGATGGCCATTCTAGATTGATGATGATTTTAATTAAAATGACAAGCGTGTATTTCTATCACAAGAGTACACGAAAAAAATAGACTAAATCGGGTAAAATAAGAACGGATAAGTTGACTTGCACTACATAGTTTCACTTATCATGGAAAAATCAGATAATTCCTTGTGAAACAAATTGTGTTACCACTCTCCGAGTTGTCATGGATACTAAGTGGACGAAGTTTGGACCTTTTTTTTTTTTTTTTTGTCTCTTTTCACAGTGTCACTGTTTATGGATCCCTACAAATGTAAAGTCATGCCTTATTTAAATATAGAGGACACTAAAGATCTATTGTCAGCAATTAATCTACATTCGGAGATGCTGACGGAACTATCTATCTGCAAATAAATTCTAACCGGAGGCAGTAATGTTTAGCCAGTTGAATTCATAGGTTTCCAGTGATCAGATAATATTGTTAAAAAAAATCAGATAATTTTTTAGTTACAGTTTAAGACTTTGTCGGCTGACATTCATTTTCTAACTATAAAAAAACTTTTTCCTTGTCGTCAAAGGGGGACGATCCTTCCCTTTGTCTCTCCTCTTTTTTATTTTATTTTTTTTTTTTTTTTTTGAAGGATGAAAATCAGAACTACCTCAAATTTCTTCGTTTGTGGTATCTCTTACTTTTTCTTTTGGTGGGCGTTATTCGCCCTATACTGTATTGCTTACCAGATCAATCGCTGGCGCGTCTATCTTACACGAAAGAAGAGAATTTCTGGACAAGAAAAAGTGATCACTTCCTTGCCTGGTAGCAAGCTTGTTTCATTCCTAAACTATGTTGTACCTATTCCCTTTGTTACTGACATGATTGCTGTAAAGCACATCATTGGCGTTACTTTATTCATCATCATCAATCTTCTCTTCATCTTCTTTGCTCCTTTCAAAATGGTGGATGATAAGCCTTATGTGCTTCCTTCCATTGGTATTTTTGACCGTCGTGCTGCCTTTGTTGGTATGGTCAACTGGGGCTTTGTCTTCTTTTTGGCTCAAAGAAATTCTATTCTACCTAAAATGTCTGGTCTAACATTTGAAGAACTCATTCCTTTCCATCGCTGGGTTGCCCGTATTGGTTTAGCTGAATTCATTCCTCACTTTGTTTATAGAATGTAAGTGTGAAGGATGATCTGCGAGAACACGCTAACCCTTTTTCTTTCTTTCTTTTTTTTTTTTTTTTTTTTTTGGTAATACATTAGGTATCGTGGTTATATCAAGCATTATATCGTAAAGGATACTCTCTTTGAAGACCTTGAGCAAACCTCTGGTACGATTGCAATGCTTGGCTTTCTCTTGATGTTTGTTACTTCCTTCGAGTACATTCGTCGTAACTTTTTCGAAATATTTTATTACTCGCATATCATTGGTGTGATTGTCGCAATCATCTTTTCATGCATTCACGAACCTACTTGCTTTGCTTACTTTATCCCTGCTACCATCCTCTGGGTATTTGATCGCGCTGTTCGTTCCTATAACTCATGGATTGTCAAGACAGCCTCTGTTCGTGTCGATGAAGTCGCTTCAAGCACAGCTACTCAAGAAGGTATCTTCCGCGTCTTGTTCGAATACCCTGGTATGGTTAATTTCCGACCTGGTCAATACGTCTTTGTGGCTATGGCACGGGCACAGAGTAGGATCTTGGGTTACGCCAACTGGCATCCTTTCACTATCTCCGAAGTGTTCCGTTTGAGCAAGTCCATAGACTCTGGTATTGAAGAACGTATTGCCGAAGGCATAAACGAAAAAGAGAAAGGGTCTACAGACATTGCATCCTTGTCTGACACCTCAAGTCTTCGTCGTCGTGCCAACATTGGTGTTGATACAACCACTACCATGGCTACTTTCCATGCAAAGGCTCTTGGTAACTACACTCGGGACATACTCAAGGCCGCCTCCAGAAATGAACCTATCGAGGTTGCTGTGGATGGCCCATTCGGTCCTCAGCTTCAATATCAAGATTTTCCTGTCTTGGCTCTCTTTGGTGCTGGTATTGGTATCACCCCTGCTATGGCTATTGTCAAGGACTGCGTTGAGCGTAGATCTATGGGTATCAAGACTGTTGCTACAGAATACATTCAACTTTCATGGGCTATTCGGTCATCAGGTAAAAAGAAAAGAAAAGAAAATCTCTACTAGTTTTTCTTATATTCTTTACAGAGGAAGTTGTACCCTTCATGGACATGTTTAGCTATTGGCATGAAAAGATGACAAAGGCTATCCTTCCTATTCACATCAGTTTCACCATCTATGTGACACGAGCAAAAGAAGGCCCTAATTACTTTGAAAACATGCATGGGTTCAATATGGTCTATGGACAAAGGCCTAATGTCAGTGAATGTTTAGACAAAGTCAAGACACTCAATCCTAATCGAAGAGTGTGGGTTCATACTTGTGGTCCGACCAGCCTTACAAAAACAGTTACGAATGAAGCTGTTAAGCGTCATTTCAGTGCTCACAATGAAACATTTGAGTTTTAAACACTTTTTACACCTTATTCATACATAATTTACACATAGTTTACATGTTTTGTTGCATATCAATCGCTATTGATTTAATAAAAAAGCTTGATGTTTTGAGCACTTAACGACTGTTTATTAAATATGACCACTTTTTGTTTTTTTTCTTTCTTTCTCATCAAGCATAGACACACATAAACATACACATACGCAGAACCATGCCAAAAATTAAAGGAAAGGCAAAGGCAAATAAAGTACAGGAACACAAGAATGACAGGAGGAAAAAACAAGCGTCTTTTATTGCTGAACAAGATGACTTTGATCTTGATGCAGCTGTTAATGAACTGATCTGGCAATCTCAACAGCCTGCTTCTGAAACAGTAAGTACGTCTCGTATATAATATGTCTTTTATCAATGACCAACGCTTTGTTACCAAAAGAAACCTCATATCAATCCTACAGTAGAATGTCCTATATGCTCTCAATTGTACCCAAGAAACAAAATAGAACTACATGCTTCTGACTGTACAGGAGGCTTTGTGGATGATGCACCCAGTACAAGCAAGAAGAGGAATACTATTGCTACAGGTGTTGCCTTGAATGAAGCCAAACGAAAAAAGTAAGTGAGAGAGAGAGGAGGAATATGAATATGATCATGGTTGAGACTCATTTTGTGACAAAGAACAAAGAGCACCTTTGTAGAAAATGTAAATTATTATGTTGAATCAGATGATCTGCTTGCTGTTGATGGCGTTGGTTTTAGCAATGAAGTAACTGACTCAGGATGGGAGACAAGAGGACAGATACGATTCACATAATGTGTGTGTAAATAGCATTTTATTTAAAAGCAACATTTTATACCTAATTTCTCATCAATTTATGCAACTTGTCAACCAGAATGTTTAGTATATCATTAGCCAAGGTATCAGCCGAAGAGCTTTTTCTTCTTCTCAAGCTTCGTCTTCTAACGGGTGGATTCTTGCCTTGTCCATTAGAAGTTTCTCTTTGATCCTCTTGCGCTTCATTTTCCCCTTCTCCTTTATTGTCTTCACCTTCATTTTCTTCGTCTTCATTTTCTTCGTCTTCATTTTCTTCGTCTTCATTTTCTTCGTCTTCATTTTCTTCGCTTTCACTCTCCAAATATATTGGCCCATGATCTTTAAGAATATGATCCTTGAGCCTGTTTATGTTGGCAGTATGATAAAAGCAGGAACTACAGGCATGATGAATAGGTATATCAGGATCACCATTATAGTGCTTGAATTCATACTTGGCTGATGGGGGTCTTCTTTCAAAATTTTTTCTGCTAGCCACGACCGCATGATGAATGGATTTAAGATGCTTGTGCAAGGAGGCAGGCGTAGAGTAGTTTCTTTCACAAAGGTAGCACGTGTTGCTTAATTGAACAGCTATCTTTTTTGGAGAAGACATGGTTTAATGAAAGGAAGGGGAGAAAGAAAGAAAAAGAAAAAAGATAGAAAGAGTTTGTATTTAATGATAAAACAATGAGTTCTTTGTCTTTAGGTTGTTATTGTCTTGATTTTATGCAAACAGTAGCATGGATTATATGACTACTTAACAGATCATGAATATATCAGAATTATATATATAATGCTGCACAAATATATCCGTAATTCCCTATAACATTTAATTCACATTACATCAACATCACTGACAACAATCTATACAGCTAGGTGCTAATGATACAATTAAGACTAGCAGCCTCAATTGTTGTCATAGGTTATTTTTGTTCAGTATTAGAAAAAGAATAAAAAAGAAAGGTATGATTAAGTAGTAATCGATCAAAAAGTGTCTATGAATCATGGTGAGCGATAAAAAGTGAACATGACCTGTACGATTTGTACTCACGCTTGACGATACTCTGTGTTTTTCATTGTTGATGATCTAAAAAGGGAAGCTATCTACCTATCCATCTCTTCTTCATATAGGTTATCAAAAGGATCAATTTACTACAATGCTAAAATAATACCTCTGAGGGGGAGCTTAATTCGTGAGGAAGACATCCCCTTCCATTGAATGATTGAATAATCAAATGATGAACGGCCTATATTTGTATTAAATCAAAACGCTAAACTTAACACATTAACTAGCATCTCGAACAATCCTTCTATCTTTCTCCCCTGATACTTCCGTCATAGTGTGGAATGATTCATTTTGACCATTACCTGTTTTGTCAGGTGACTGTCTAGCGGACGTTAAAAAAATTCTCAATTAAAAGCATACTTTTTTTTGTTCTTCTTTTATACACATATACACAAACACACAATAACAATGTCAGAACCCACAAAAGAACCAACTACCGAAGAAACCAAGGCAGAAGAGCAATTCTTTGAGTAAGCTGATATATTCACAATGACGCGTATTCTTTATTGCTAATGCTTGCAAAAAAAAAACAGCGACGAAGGAAAGCCTATATCCAAGAAGGCCTACAAGAAGCTCCAAAAGGAAAAGGAAAAGGCTGAAAGAAAGGCTGCTACTGCTGCCAAATTAGCTGCTGAAAAGGCTGAAAGAGAATCCAAGAATGTTGTATGTTTATAATGTCAAGTGTATGAAAGAAAGATGTTCATCTTTTTCATTTATAGGATATCTCATCCGACCGCTATGGCAAGCTTCCTATCAACCAGTCTAAGGAACGCCCAGGTATATATATTATATATGAAAAGGGGCATGTCATTGAAAAGTCAATGATATATAGGTGTCAAGTATGAAGACATTACTACCATCAATGGTTCTCGCGCCGGTGAAACCGTCACTGTGCGTGTCCGTGTCCAGACATCTCGTGCTACTGGTGGTAAGATGTGCTTTTTTGTCTTCCGTCAAGGCGTTGCCACCATCCAAGGTATCATTACTGCCGATGAAGAAAAGATTTCGAAACAAATGGTCAAGTTCTGTGTTGGTATTACCCCTGAATCTATTGTTTTGGTCGAAGGCAAGATTGTAAAACCAGTAGAGGAAGTCAAGAGCTGTACTATCTCCTGCGCTGAACTTGCTATCGAAAAGATTCACATCGTATCTGATGTTCAAGTTCGTTTGGCTTTCACTTTGGACGATGCCTCTCGTGCTGAGAGCGCTTTTGAAGAAGATGCTCAACTTGTCCGTGTCAACTTGGATACACGTCTCAACAACCGTGTTCTCGATCTTCGTACGACTACAAACCATGCCATTTTCCGATTGCAATCCGCTGTCTGTTTACTGTTTAGAGAGTTCCTTATCGAGCGTGGTTTCATGGAAATTCACACACCCAAGTTGATCGCTGCTGCTTCCGAAGGTGGTGCCAATGTGTTCAAGGTTTCTTACTTCAAGTCAAGCGCTTTCTTGGCTCAATCCCCTCAGCTTTATAAACAAATGTGTATCGCTGCCGACTTTGGAAAGGTGTTTGAAATTGCTCCTGTTTTCCGTGCTGAAGACTCCAACACACATCGTCATATGACTGAATTCATGGGTCTTGATATGGAGATGGCATTCAATGAACACTACCATGAAGTCTTGGAGGTATTGGAAGACCTCTTTGTTTACATCTTCACCAACTTGAAGAACCGTTTCAAGGACGAGATTGAAACAGTCAAGAGACAATATCACTTTGAAGATTTCGAATTCTTGCCCAAGACGCTTCGTCTCAAGTTTTCTGAAGGTGTTCAGATGTTGAGAGAAGCCGGTGTTGAAATTGACGATTTTGAAGATTTGAGTACAGCCAACGAAAGATTGTTGGGTAAGCTTGTTAAAGAAAAGTATCACACTGACTTCTATGTCCTCGACAAGTTCCCCTTGGCTGTTCGTCCGTTCTACACAATGCCTGATCCTAATAACCCTGGTTATTCCAACTCTTATGATTTCTTTATGCGTGGTGAAGAAATCTTGTCTGGTGCTCAGCGTATTCATGACGCTGAACTCTTGACTGAACGTGCCAAATTACATGAAGTTGACCTTTCTACCATTCAACCTTATATTGATGCTTTCAAGATTGGTGCACCACCTCACGCCGGTGGTGGTATTGGTTTAGAACGTGTTGTCATGCTTTACCTTGGTCTTGGTAACATTCGTCGCTCAAGCTTGTTCCCTCGTGACCCTAAGCGTTTGGAGCCTTAAAGATATGTACTTTATTTCATGAATAAATAGAAAAGCATGTAAAAAAAAATCTATTTGATTATACAACAAATGACGTTTATGATCTTCTCTTTTTGCTGCTTCTATTTCTTGCACTTGTGAATTTACCCCTTGATTTCTTAACTCCATCCAATATTCCATCAAAAGCACCTTCAGTATCATCTTCACTATCTCTTGATCGTTTATGACTTGTTTCATTCTTCTGTTTCTTACGTTCAAGAATATTACGGTATCTTTTGTTCTCTTCCTCTTCCACGTCTTGTAATCCAACCAAATTGGAAAAGTCTTCGAGGTTCTATTATAATAATGAGAAACATAAGACTACTTTTAAACTTGAAACTTACATCAATTTCGTTTTCAAATCGCATCTTTCTGTTTGCATTCATTCTTTGCTTCTCCTTTCTTGTCACTGCCAAACGTACGTAGTTTTCTTCTTCATATTTGTTCTTTTCTTCAATCAAATTGTCTATACGGTCACCGTAACCAACACCTTCGTTCACACCACCAAACACACCAATCTCTTCTGGATTTTCCGACATTTCCGACATGAGATCCTTCATAATTCTTGATCGTGATGCCTTTTCCTTCATTCGCTCCTCGTCTCTTTCCTTCTTTCGGCTCTTTTTATCTGAAGTCTCATTGTATGCTACAGGAGCAAGTTTTGGTGGTCTATAGATGCCTGCCTTTTCTGCCTCTGCGTCTTCGTCTTCCTCTTCTTCCTTATTGATCAAGTTCATTGGGTTTGGTTTGAATGCTAAAGGATCTGCAGCCACTGCCTCCATTGTGCTCTTTGGACCTGCTTCGTCCTTTTTGGTGCCAACGACAGCTGCTCTGACAAGTTTGTCAATCTGGTATTTTAACTTATTTTCAATTGGCTTCATCTTGTCAAGAATCACTCGAAGTTCAACAAGAGAGTCTATTACTGGATTATTTTCGATTTGTTTTCCAGAGATCTTAAGATGAACAAAATAAGCGAGCTGAAGGACGTATTGGAGCATAAGTTGGTATTTAACTTCAAGGAATGAGACACCTTTTGAAGTATTGATGGCTTTATTCTCCACTCTACATACATGAGTAACTTCAACTAGATGTAAATCAATGGACTTACTTTTCTTTCAATGGTTTCAATTGATTCTTCATGTCGACTACTTTGGCTTTTAATTCTTTTACAAGTTTGGTAAATTCAACAGTTTCTATTATAAAGTTTAACATGTTGATATATAAGAAAGAAGTGCAAGTTACCATCAACTGCCTTGGTTCCATTTTCTACAACTGTTTCTTTGGTCATGATTATTACAAGATAGATCTATATTTTTTAGGTCTGAAATTATTTAAAGGAAAATCTGCGCTTGTGGCTTATTCAAGTGCATAAACTTCAGAATCAGGGACAATAGCAAAAAAAAAAAAAGCGTGTTGCCATAGTAACCATAAAGATGGCAGTAATGAGCTCAACATATGATTAGATTGCTATTTTATATACATATGATAACGTTTTGCAGCTATATGTGCATAGAAGAGAGATAGAGGTTATTCTAATTTCATAAGCTATCTGTCTGAAAGAGAAATTTAATTAGTGTTACTTGTGTAGTTTAAGGTTCTTGTTACCGCTGTGGTTCATTTAATTATCTTGCACGACCTTTATTTCTTTTCTCTCTCTCTTTCTTTTGCTTTTTCACCTTCTTCAATCCTTTCCTTTATTTTCATATAAAAAGCCTATATATTTAAACAATTCTTTTCCCCTTTTTTGTTATTCTACACTCGTTTGTTTTTTTTATTACTTGAATCATCTTCAACATTACGTTCACAATCATGTCATTATTTTCAAAGCTTTCCAAAAGTAATGAAAAAACTCTCTATCCATGGTCACAAAAGAAACTAGGAGGCAGTAATAGTGCTCTACCCAGGGTTGGACATGCAGCAGTAGCCATATCATCGGATGCTTTGATCATTTATGGTGGTATTCATCGTTCAACCAGAAAGGATCTTTTTCATATTGACACGAGTAAGATTAATAACAAGAGAAAATAACATGAATTAACAGTTTGTGATCTAGATAGTATGTCGGCTAATAGCATCAGTACTACTGGAGAAATACCAGCTCCTAGAATCTCAGCTACGATCCTTCATGTTAATGGACATGTTTTGCGTAAATATATATATATATACATATACATATAGAGTGTATTTTATAGTCTAATCAAGTGCATATGTTTAGTTTATGGCGGAAAGCTAATTTCATCCGAGGAACATTATGATCCAAACGTTTATCTTTTAAATTTACGCAAGTATATTTCAGTTGACATGACGATCACCTACACATACTTATATCTATTATAGATTCTAGGCAATGGAGTCGGTTATCCATGGATGGTATGATTCAACCAACAGAGAGATCAGGTCATTCATGCGTTATGCATGAAGGCATTGTCTATCTCTGGGGAGGACAGAAAGATGGACATTACTTTAATGATCTTTTCATTTTTGATGTCAATTCAGGTAAACTAAACTAAATGACTTCAAGGCTTTCATTGACCAATAATAATACATAAAGCACCAAGATGGAGACAAGTGAGTTATGATCTTTGTCCTGAACCAAGAGCTGGCCATATATCTGCAATCTATGAAGGCAAATTATACATGTAAGCATCTAAATTAGGCATCACCTCGTGGCTTTGTTTCACAAACTTTATTATGGTAGCTTTGGAGGAACAAATGGAAATAGGCTGTTTAATGATATTTGGTCTTTTGATCTCAAGTCTGGCATTTGGACAAGAATCGAAGCAGCTGGCTTCATACCTGTTGCTCGTGAGGGATGTGCATCTGCTATGGTAGATGATGCTATCTACATCTTGGGCGGCAAGAGTGAAAATGGCGTTGAATTAAATGATTTATGTGCTTACAGAATCAAGAGTAAAATAGCACGTTTTGTATATTAATGAGGTTATTAACCTTGTCAACCTTAGGCTGCCGCTGGTTCAACTTTGAAAATATGGGCCCAGCGCCTTCACCAAGACATGGTTTAACTATGACAGCCGTAAGAGAACGTTTGTTTGTCCTTGGTGGAGAAAACACTTTTTCGAAAATGGAAGATGCTTCTTTGGTTTATATACTCGACAGCACAAAGATCAAATATCCTGCAGAGTTACTTGTGCCACCTTCTGTTGAGGAAAAGATGCACTCTATTGATGATCCAGGAGAAAATCAATATTACGCACAACAACCGTATCCACAATCATATACTCAACAACAACCACAACCACAACAGCAACCACAGCCATATCCATATCCATACCGTCAACAATCTCAACCACAGCAACAGCCACAACAGTTACAACCGCAACCTCAACCACAGCAACCTCAACCACAACCACAACAGCTACAACCGCAACCACAGCAGCTACAACCAAAATACCAGCCACAGTATCCAGCAGAACAAAAAATGAGAAGCGGGCAGCCATCTCCTCAGCAACGCTCACCTTTAAAAGCTACACATGAAAACAGCATTCCAAATGTTGAGCCACAGCAACCCTCGCCTACGACAGGTAGTCCAAGGCACAGATCTTATTATCCTGATCCTCAAGTGAATCAAGTAAGTTTGTTCTTGCCACTTTTATTGTTCTCTTATTTACGTTTGGTTACCTTTTAGCCACCTGCCAGACCGCCAAGGCATATGTCTACAGTACCTGAGGCAGCACTTCGTCGTCCTCGTGCAGGATCATCACCACATCCACCACCCGATCTTACTGAATTAGATATCCGTCGTCAGTACCAAGCCAATCTAACACCTACACATTCACCTTTAGAGCAAGAGGAAGAAGCAAGAGCATCGCCAAACACGCCTCCTCCTAGACCACCTCGAGAGCCTATTCGTGTAGAAGAAAAGCAAAAAAAGTTAGAAGAACAACCTCAGCGATCGACACCTTCTCCTCACAGCCATGCTGCGGTGTCCATGGATGATGAGGAAAGACAGATGCTGATACGTGAACTCAAGGCACGTGATACAATTATTAGTGAGATGAAAAAGAAGGAAAGCTGGTGGCGTGCAGAGGTGTCTCTTGCAAGGAAGCTTCGTGCCAAGACTGAGACGTTTGATGATGGCCCTGACGCTGATGAGGCATTATTGATGGATGTGGATCATTTACCAGAGGAGAAAGTCAAGTTGTTTGAACAGTTAGTCTCTGTCAAGTCCGAGCTCAGGCGTGTTCGGGCTAGCATCTTGCAGCAAGCGGAGCCCATGTCGGAAAAAGTGAGTCAAGCCGATCGAATGCGCACGGCCGCACTTCAAGAAGCCGCCTATTTCAAATCCAAGTATTTGGCCCTCAAGTCACGTCGTCTCGAAGAACTGAGTTCTCTTGACTTATCACGTAGTGAAGAGCTTGAAAAACGATTAGCAGCCGCTTTAGCAGAGAACGAAGCGAACAGTAAGCTACTGCAACAGTTACAAAAGCGATCTCAGCATGATCAATCGGCACGCTTGGCTACAGAGGAACGAGCGAGAGAAGCTCAGGAAAGAGCTGAAGAAGCACAACAGGCGCATCAACGTGCATTAGAAGAGCTTCAGGCTGTTTATGCAAGAGCTACCAAGGCAGAAAATCAAGTACGAGAGAATGCGATCAAGATTGCAGACTTGACACAGCAACTGAGTGAAGCACTGACGGCACAACCTGCTGTAAAGAGTCAAGAAGTGTCGGAGGCTCAATTGAAAGCATCTCAATTGGAGGCTGCTAATTTAAGGGCCCGAAATGAATCTGCTGCATTGAAACAAAAGTTGGCAGAGAGTATGGACGATATCGCTCGTCTTCGAACCGCTTTAAACGAACGAGAGGATGCATTGAATGAAGCTAGACTTCATATAGAGGATTATGAAATTCAATTGAATATGCTTCGAGATGCCATGAATCAAAAAAGTTCTGTTAATGGATTTGCACCCACACCTGCATATTAACCTTAATTTATATAAATGTCTTCATTTTTTTCTTTTGTACAGTGACTCGTCAAGTAATAATAATGTATATTCTATACAAAGAGAAAGAGGGGGAATCATTTTATTATACACATTTGCTTTTATCCTTCACGCCACTGGTGCTGACAATCATCGTTACAGCATTTATAGAAAATGGAAGAAGGTTCATCTGCAGAACGAATTTGAATGAGCATAAAGAAAGCTTTATCATGTTCACATTTGGGACAGGTGACTATATATGTATATAGTGTTAATATGAGCTTGTTCATTCCTCCTTGTTGTTTTTACCTTCTGTTGTATCCACATTCTTCCAAGCATCAGCACCGCCGAGAACATCGTCTACTTCTTTTCGTTTTAATTGCTTTCGAGTTGTATGCTATAATAGAAATTAGTAACAAGAAAAACATATATATATATATATATTCAATACATACTCTGCTCTGTATACTGTAGACATAAGGACAAGACTGACAATAAAAGGCCTGTCCACCGTCATTTTCAATTAATAAGAGATTGGCACAATTTGGACAAAACAGCATTTTCCCTTTTCGAAAGAAACTTTTCATCTGCCCTGTTTATTTGTTTAGGTTGTGTGACAGCAGATAAGCCACACAGTTTTTAATTGACATTCATGCAAATCTCAACATTTTATTTTACAATTTATAACAATTATTTCTTTGATTCAGCCTTTACAACATTTTTACCATTCTTTTCACGTAAGACTAAGCTGACATTAGATTGAGCATCGACCGTGATTTGAACTTCAATTTTGCTTCCCTTGGCCTTGGCTCCCTTTTCGAGAGCAAGACAGGCTTCGATCAAGTGAGCAGCAGGCTTATTGTAGACCTTGGTATGAATCTCAGGTTCTTCTTGATAAGGTTCTTCGTCATCTTCCACAGGCACAGGTTCAGGTTGTACTTCAGTCTTTTCGACAATGTGATCTCCTTCATATAAGGAAACGTATGCATGGCTTTGGTTGTCCTGAGCATTAGAAAATTCAAAGACGCGGCGAGTAGGAAGTGCGGTACCACGAGGGATGATGGTGACAAACTCATTATTGGCATTAAGAATACCAATAGCCTTGTTTGTATGGGGAACTAAGGTGACAACAGGATGAGTGGCAGCATCAACATCTTCTTTTTCAAAGCCGGTAATTAAGGATCCTTGAATAGCACATCCACGGGCAACGACTTCATCAGCTTCTAATTCGTTCAAGACCTTAGTATGTTCACTGTTAAACACTTCACGAATCTTCAAGGCGAACTTGGGAATACGAGCAGAACCACCGGCAAGGAGGACTTCATCAATTTCAGATGCATCCAATTGACTCTTTTCCAAAACTTGGTTAATGACGGTTTGAAGTTGAGCAAAGACGTTCTTGGATAAAAGCTCGAAACGCATACGGTTGATAGTGCTGTGGAAATCGACACCATCAGCCAAAGATTCGACAAAGCAGGGTGCAGAGTTACCGCTGGACAACATCTTCTTGGTGACTTCAACTGCATTGCGAAGCTTGGCAAGTGCTTTCTTGTTTGAAGAGATATCGATCTTGGTCTTCTTTTGGAATTCGGATGTGAAATGCTTGATCAAATTATCATCAAAAGAAGCGCCACCAACCTTGGTGTCATGAGCAGTAGCCAAGATGGTATACATACCGGAACGAACAGCCAAGACGGTAACATCAAAGGAATGACCACCCAAGTCACAGACAACAACAGTCTTATCTTGAGGGTTACTGCTGCTAGATTCTTGACCAATACCATAGGCAAGGGCAGCAGCAGCAGACTCGTGGACAAGTTGCTTCACCTTGATACCAGCTCCTTCAGCAGCAGCGACTAGTTCTTCACGTTGCTTTTCGGTAAAGTAAGAGGGAACAGCCAAGACAGCACCACCAATAGAGGTACCTAAGAAGGCCTCAGCAGATTCACGAATGTGGCGTAAGAACTTAGTAGAGATTTCTTGAGCAGTGAAAATGGTCTTTCCGGAGGGCAAAGTGATTTCGTAGGCAGGTAAGCCGTTCTTATCAACAACAGGAGCAGCTGATCCTGTCAAATTTTCAGCTTCAGCAAAGCTATAAAAGATATACAGTGTTAATGATAGTACACATTGATATGCAAACTTGTTATTTTTACCTCTTGCCAAGGTTGGCACGGAAGTTGGCAACAGTCGTATCGGGATGACGGGGAATATCTGATTTGGCTTGAGAACCAACGACCTAATGTAAAGTTAACAGATATACTTCTTTTCATATAAAATAACATACTTCTTCATCGCCGTGGAAAGCAAGGGCAGAAGCAATTTGTCTGTCACCTTCTTCATTAGCAAGACAATCGGCACGACCTTCCTATATAAAATGTCAAAACATGTAATCATGATACCATGCTCACGTACCTTGTTAAGGTAGGCAATAGAGGTGTAGGCGGTACCAAAATTAATACCGATAATAGTATTAGAATCGCTCATAGTTGAAGAAGGGAGAGTTTACTGAAAGAGCAGATAGAATTCTAAAAGAAAAAAAAAATTGCTGGTTAATAAATAGCATTATATGATTGGATAATGACTTGAAAACTACCTCGACAAGTATTCACAGTCACTGCTTGCTGCTCAAGGAGAAAGTAGATTCTATATCTTGGCAGTGCTTTAAAAATTCGTGTTGTCGTTCAATTTGTCTTTATGCCATAAAATTTGGTGTGACTATAGATAATGTAATGTGTTGCTTTAGATATGCTTTACTCTTAGCAACAGAGTCATTAATTCGTTGAATCTTGAGAACGATCTTTTAGTCAACATAGAGAGACATTTTACCTAATGTTTGTACTCAGACTTTAGTGTAACACTTTGTTTAGTTCAATAGTCTTCTGAGGGTTCTAAATTTGGTTCTTCATTTAACCTACATGACTGCATACAATAACCCACCCCCAATACCAGACAGACCACTACAGGAACAAATTGAGGTTTGTAATGTGACAGAGGGCGAAACTGTTCATCAGGTACACACATTCTTTCTTTGATATGGAGAAAGCATTTTGCTACTTTGAGGTTCAAACAGTTACAATAGAGATTCCTACTTGTTAATGGCCGTGCAGGAAAGCGTAATGGAAAATTTGACTTGCCAATTCAAGTCTACTGCAACGATTTTCCACCGACACAGTGGCCCTGTGTTGACTCATATTTCAAGGCACTTGTTCATCTTGTGCCTGGACCCAACACGATTACGTTTGCTTTTGTGAACGCAACTTTGCATTTTCATGTAAACTATCTACCCTTATTACAAAATCCTCCCCTTTCACTTGCTATCATTATCGGTTCGGATTCTCCTGCAACATTTGATGTACCGCCTGAGAAAGAGGGTCAAAACACGCTAGATATAGCCATCAGAAAACTTCGCACGGCTGGATACATGTGGCAAGCGTTCTGTGCTGAACAGATGTATCGAAATGGTATGCAAAGGCGTACATTTAGGCTAGACGAAGACTGGCTACCAGACACTACTTCATGCCAAGAGAACCGTGTTATGAGAACAACAGCAAAGGTTCACATCATTCGCTCTACAAAGACAGTGGCAGAAATTCGAGACATACGACGTGCTCAGCAGCGTGATGACGATGAAGGAAATAGTGAAGATCTAGAAAGCTTGTTTGGTATATGTTTGAATGACTTGGGTCGTTGTTCTCCTTTTGACCAGCCTTGTCATGTCGCCTGTATGCTCCTAGACGCACATTGGGACCCACAGAGGCAAGCTATACTGGGGCATGCAGCATTAGGCGGAGGCGGAGGAGATATCGCTCTGGGCATCTTTGGCTCACATTCTCTACATGCATGGCCCTCGTGCATAGAAGATATTGTACCCTGTTTCATGAATGATACAAGAACCGATACGAGATTTATCGCTAATGATGCTGGCGAGTCAGGAGCTTGGTGGAAAGCGCTAAACATCGGAATGGGTGCCATGGTATATTGTTAATGGGCGATAAAAAGGAAAGATGATCTCAACTCATTGTTTATAGTTGCATGAAGTTGGCCATTCATATACTTTGGATCATACCCCTTCTGGTAGCTTTGTTATTGCGCGCGCGAGTGTATCTTGGATATACTGATGATAGCTGTTCATAGGCATAATGAGTAGAGGATTTAATAACTGGAATCGTACATTTATGGTCAAAGAGCCTGGGCATAGTCCCATACCACCTGAAGACGAAGAAGGTTCTCATTGGTAAAACTTGGTTCTTTTTTTTATCAAGCCTTCCAATGCTAACAAGGATCATACTGTTAGGCATCGTGTAGATATCATCCGCTTACGATTCCATCCTGCCTTTCGCCTTCCTCAAGATGGACCAAGAGAAGCTATTGATCATTCTTCACCTATTATTATGCCTTTAGAAGAGAACTGCTTGCGAATAAGTGCTCCTGCGGGCCTTTCAATGATTGTCTATTCCATCAATTCTCATTATCGTACTCATACTGAATTTCTACGACAACAGCCAAAGAATGTGACATTATCCCTGAGTGACATCTACAAACAACTCCACTGTACCGCTAATGAAAATATAAAGCTGGAGACTATATCAGTTAACCAACAAGGGCAATCAGTTGATTCTGTTGCTACCTTTTTTCACACTCATATTGTCCAGCTGCCTGGATTGAGCAACACTGTTTTCAAAAGCCCGGTATTTGGAGAAATGGAGGGAGGATCCAAATATCTTGTTCCATTTATCTCTGACACATTTAAAAAGCAACTTGCACGTATCGCAATCCACCACGGTGATTTCCTTGATGGCTTTATTCTTTATTGGAGTGATGGCACCAGAAACATAATAGGTTGCCTAGGAGGAAGGAGGTCAACATATGATGTTTTGCCTGGAGAGTCTATCCAAGGGCTATTAGTTCGATGTGGAGCATGGATTGATGGTATACAGTTTAAGTTGTCTAGTGGAAGAACAAGTCCATGGTATGGAGGACAAGGAGGAAGACCTGTCTTGATTGAGCCGCCTTCTGGATATAGCTTGGTTGGTGTACATGCTAGCTCTGGTAATTGGATGTACCAAATGGGAATACTATACCAAAAACACTCTTAAAGGAAAAAAAGAGGAAGAAGATAAACAAGATAAATTCTTTAAACAAAGACTTTTATATTTGCTGAAGGAGGAATATTTTTCTCATTATTTAAACATACAGTTTCGTTATGAGGATAATAATGGCAATATTTGTTACATGCCATAAGCATTTCTCGCTTAAGACTACACTATGCTTCTACACTAGTTTATATTTGGATATGGTCAACTTGTTTCTTCATGAATAAATACTAAATAGCACATCAAGGGGATAAATTGTCTCTTGTTCATACCGTATACAGCTAGGCTGGTGGATATTGGCGGTTGCAAAAAAAGTAATTGGAAGTCATATGTATCCAATCATCGTTGCTTCCGTTCCAGGTTTCGATGAGGCGGTAAAGGCTCTTTCACGCCCCGCTTTATTCTCAGATATTTATATAAAAAAACTTCGGTTCCTATTCTTTAGATCTTTTTCATGCCGCGCATCGTGGTAATAATATGTCCAATGATCAGTCTAAACAATTGTTTACAAGAGAACAAGTCAAACAAATCATTGAGAAAATGTCAAGGAAACTCGATCTTGATCGCCATTGTCCTAGGTTCACTTTTGGTGGTCTTACTCGTGGCGTATGAGTAAACTGCGAGTTGTCGAATGCCTTCCATAATGTGAAAGAATTGTTCTTCACTTATTCCTGATTCAAGAAATTATTGGCATTCTTCCTAAAGGCCTGCTGCTGCTCTTCCCGCGGTGATGAGTCGATCAGCTTCATTGTATTCTGCGTCTGTGCTTTGGAGGGCATCCACAGTTTTCCTTCTAAGTTCTCTGTGAGACTCCTTATTGAAGATCTCACTATTGGTCCATTCACTACCTTCGTGCTTTGGGAGATTCTTAACAAATTCTTTGATGCTCTTCTGTAAATTGATGGGCTATCTGTTCTCCAGTTCTTCCAAGATTTCGCTTGGAAGGTTTGTGGAACCTTCACTTGATCTGTCAAGGCGCTCAGGCTTCCCGACAGCGCCAAACACTTGGAAGAAGAACCTAATTACATGGCCTTGGCCTTGGGCAAGGAAGAGGCTGAAAGAATCTTTCGAGCCAGATACGAACAATCCATCCTTAGAAATATAGTTGGACGACAACAACAATCATTCAATCACAGTGACAGAGGATTTGGACGTCAATAGAGATACGCCAGGGGCCGTGAAGCCTTCCACAAGTCTTTTTTTGGACGCAGCAAGGGCCAACCACACACAGAGGCCCAAAGCTTCAATCAGCGCCAACGTCTTCCCCTACAACAACGGTGTATTACACCATAACAATCGATGGTATATTACCAGGAAGTCATCTACAATGTTTCTCGGAGCAATGAAACGGGCAATACTTCATTCATGGCCTGTATCAGTAGTAATACAAGGATATCAACTTCAGTGGAACCATAAACCTCGGCCATGGAAATATACTCCGATGAAATTCACGGAAGAGGAGCAAGCAGTAGTGAACGAAGCAGTGAAGAAATTTCTGAATTCAGGAATAATCGAGCATTCCTCGTCTCAGTGCAAGAGCTACCTATCGCAATTCTTTACTGTGAAAGAACCAAACAAACGTAGGCCGATATTGGATTGCAAGAACTTGAACTAGCACATTCAATGCAATCACTTCAAAATGGAGGGTGTACCAGCCTTACGAGAGTTATTAGACAAGAACGATTACATGTGCAAGATAAATTTGAAAGATGCATATGTAGCAGTGCTGATACACGAGAATTCCAGGGACTATTTGACCTTTTACATCAAGGCGTGGTATACCAATACAGGAATCTAGCATTTGGTCTCAATGTAGCTCCTTGAGCTTTCTCCTAACTCATGAAGTATGCCCTGGAACCATTGCACAAACCCGGAATCAGATTTATCTTTTACCTCGACGGCATATGTGTGCTAGCGAAGACAAAGAAAGAAATGCAAGAACACACACCCAGGATGATAGCTCATTTAGAATAGTTGGGTTTTTGATCAACCGAGAAAAGAACATCCTGATACCTCAACGGTCACAATCATTCCTTGGTTTCATGTTCAGTTCTCAAGATATGACGATGCAAGTTTCACAGGTAAAAATTCAGAAATTAAATATCAGGATTCGACAGCTGCTGAACAGCAAGGAGCAGAAATCATATCGATGGATAGTGAGCCTTATTGGGAAGATAACTGCCATGATACCGGTAATTGGGGAAACATCCCTTTCTGTGAGATCTCTACAGAGGGACCTAGCAAGAGCACTCAGGTTGCGCAACAACAATCGGAATGCACCATGTCTGATAAGTCAGAAAAGCCTGCAGGAGCTGGAGTGGTGATTAAAACAGGATCCATTGAAAAATGGCCTTCCAATCCGACGCAAACCGCTAACATCAGATTAAATCATCTACATTGACACTTCCGACTCCGGTTGAGGAGTAAATCCAGCTTCAGTAAAAACAGCAGGTTTTGGTCCGCAGAAGAAAAAGAAGATAGCATAAATGTTCGCGAGTTAAAAACCATCATGTTTACACTGCAAGTTCATCTTCCACAGTACAAGGACTCGATCCTACAGATATGCTCGGATAATACGATAGCATTGAAGTATGTGAACAAGTCAGGGAGAGCATCGTCAGAGATTCTTCAAGAGCTGGCAATTCAAATTCAATCAGTATGTAGCAAACACAACATAAGACTGATTTGTAACCACATTTCTGGAATTCAGAACACCATGGCAGATCGTCTCAGCAGAAAGAAGGTGCCTCTGTACGAGTGGGCGTTACCATGAAAATAGTTCAACCATACAAGGAAGCAGCAGGGATTCAGCAAGTTCAAGATAGATGTGTTTGCAGCGAGGCAGAATGAGAAGCTATCTGTGTGATGGAGTCAACTCCTAGACCCCAGTGCATAAGCAATCGACGCTTTTCATCAAAAGTAACCAAAGAAGGAACTGTGCTTAAACCCACCATGGAAATTGATCCCCAAGATTCTGAGAAAGATAAAAGAAGACAAAGTCAAGGAAGCATATGTTGATCATGCTGTTATGGCCAACCCAGTATTGGTGGCGCCTACTGATGAGGATGAGATAACTGAGGGCACCAATACCAATGAGACTCAATCGCCAATGGCCCTTAGTCGCATGAATGTTATCTTTCAGAAGAGGATGGCAGAAGGATTAACGATTGAAGACGTAATTTTTTTGACACAGTCGACAAGGAAAAAGACACACAAAGCATACGATTATGGATGGAATGTTTGGTCAAATTGGTGCAATGAGCATAGAGTAGATTTACAAGCTTACGATCCAAACTCAGTGTATCGCTTCCTGCATGAACATGCACACCTGTCCGCATCGACCTTAAATGCCCATTGATCATCAATAGCCTCTGTTTTCAATGTTATTCATGAAGACAAACGCTATGTTGCAGAAGACCCACTTATCGTCATTTTTTCAAGCTAAACGAAAATCAGAAGTGAAGATCCCAACCATAGGAAAACAAGAGATTTGGGACATACAGCAACTGATTACCTACGTCCGTAGGTGGGGCCCCAATGCAAGCTTGGACCTAGAGAAATTGCAAAAGAAAACCATTATCCGGATCGGCATCGCGTCTATGATGCGACCTCGCTCAGATCTCGGCAGACTACAGTATAGAGACGTAGCTTTTTCATGGTCAGAAGACAGACAGCTACTTGGGATATCCTTAACATCAAGAGAACCAAAAGAAAGCCAATGGAAGATAATCAAGATTGGAACAGCAGAACAAGCAAAAGAAGACGATTGTCCTGTAAGAACCTTAGCAGAATTTATGGATCGTACAGCAAGTCTACGTCATAATTTGCCAGATGACCACACATTATTCCTGGCAGAGATTGAAAAGGGTGAGCAAGTCCACTCCATTAAACCAGCAACATCCACATCATGGATACAACAAACAACGCAAGAAGCTGGTATTGACACTAAGGTATACAAAGCACATTCATTGAGAGCAGCAGCAAGTACGTGGGCAGTAATATATGATTATAAGATTGAACAAGTAAAGAAGCATGCGAATTGGTCAAGCAACTCGGGCACCTTCGATAAATACTATTATAAACCTTTCAGCAACTCCATTTTTTCTACTACCACCTCATCGGAACCTGGAACGGAGGCAACAATGGTTGGAATAAGTTTGACTTCCAATCAAACAGTCGCCGAAGTGGAAGGAGAAGATGAGGTGGTCACCCGCCCTTCAACTTTCAGCTGGATTTCTTCGCTGCTGTTTCCCTCCCAAGACAAATAGAAAAAATGAGTTAGCAGCGCTCAAAGTTCTAAAAAAACAGGAATCGAAAAAAAATTTTTTTATTATATGTTATCTGAAAATAAAGCGTGGCACGAAAGAACCTTTAACACCTCATCTTCTCCTTCCACTTCGGCAACTGTTTGATTTTTTTTTTTTTTTTTTTGTAATCGCCAATATCCACCAGCCTAGCTGTATTTATTAAAACTACAAACGCGCTGAAGTAGGAAACTTTTTCATTGCTTGACGTATACCAAGATCTGCCATGACTTCCTCGCTACCACCAAGAATAGCAGTAAACTATAGAGTATGCTTAATTAATATTCATGCACAAAGAGGAGATATCATACCTTGTATGTCCTTTGCAAAGTTTCAATTTGTCTTCCCATTCCAGTCTTGGTAATAGCTCTTCCACCAAATATTTGGCATGCATCATCCGAAACATCATGTAACATTCTGGTGACATGGTATTTGCATAGAGCAATTGGACCAGCGAGGTGCTTGCTCTGTTCCTTGTAGTTCATATGATTCATTTGATAGGTTAGATTTTCAACCCAATGATGTGTGCTTTCTACCGCCGAGACCTAAAAAACTTATTAACTGGCAAAAGTTGAATGATTACTTTATACACATACCATACGAGCTAATTTGAAGCGAATGACTGGTTGATCAATTAAACGTTTTCCGAATACTTTTCTTTGATGTGCCCACTTGAAACACTCCTCAACTGCAACACGAGCAGCCATGACAGCACCAGTGATCATACTCCAGCGTTCATGATTGAAATTCGAGAGGACGACGTAGAATCCCTTATTTTCTTCGCCAAGTAGATTTTCTACAGGAACTTTTACCTATATTTTATAAAATTAGAAAAAAAAAAAAAACAATTACGGTTGTCGTGTGTACTTGCATTATCAAAAGTAACATAGGCGGTACCAGCAGAAGTGGAATAAGAGGTCTTGATTAACTTTGTGTCAACTCCTTCAGAGCGCTCAATGAGAAGCATGGAAATTCCTTTATCGGTACGTACAGCGGTTGAGAAATAATCAGCAAAATGACCACTTGTAATCCACTTTTTGACGCCATTGACGATATAATGCTTTCCATCAGGTGTCTTTACAGCTGTTGTCTTGATACTTGCCACATCAGAACCAGTGTAAGGTTCTGTAATGGCAAGGGCCATTCGTTTTCTTCCACTGAATACTTCTGGGACGACCTTGGCCTTTAAAGCAGGTTTACCAAAGTTGAGAACGGTAGGGATAGAAATCGTCATGCCTCCCAACACACCAGATGTAAATCCTGGAGCTGAAAAACGAGCAAATTCTCCATGAAGCAAGAGCTCATGAAAGTAGTCGTACTCTGAAGAAGCAATGCCTCCTGGAAGCTTGAATCCATCGAGCCACGGGCCGGGTCCAACGTTGGCAGCAAGAATACCATGAGCACCAAGTTTTTGAACAAATTCATCCGAAGGCTTTTCTCCAGAGTCCTCATATTGTCTTGCCTCTTCAATTAATGGATCAAGGATTTTTCGGACAGCGTCTCTAAACTTGAAGTGTGATTCTCTATTAAAATTGATCAATAGCTGTTATTATTCTTTTTTGCTTAAAGATGTCTACGTGTAATAGGCTGACTTAAATCCTTGCCAGGCGTTTGGTTCGGCATAAGGTACTCTTGATATTGCTCCTGGTTCTCTCAGTTGGATTTGAGATTTATGTCCAATAACGGTTCCAATTTTATATCGCTCATACTTTAGCAATACGTCTTGTCTATGTAAACCGTAGAATGCATCTGTTGCATCCTTTCCAGCGTATTCGATCAAGGGGAAAGCACCACCTGGATGTAAATCAACAAACCTACTAAGGTCATACACTGCATCATCGATAATAATCCAAAGATCTTCAGTAGAGTTGTGTTTGCGTACTTCAGCTTCTTCAAACGTCTTTAGTTCTTTATTTTGTGGCATATGTTAATATAAGAAAAAAGATGTGACCATTTAAAAAAAAATAGGGGAACGTGCAGGTGTATTTATATGTATTTATATTTTTTCCCATCAGTAAGATCAGAGTAACCCATTACCAAAAGTGAAATAAAGTATGTTACGTAGATATTATTATAAAAAGGAAACCTCTCTTTCTCTTCCTTACATTATATGTATGTCTTATAGTTAAGAAAGAATACTATGTCAAATAGCTATAACATCCTTTTTTAAAAGATATATGCTGATTTACACTCTTTCTTTTGGGGAAATGTTTTGGAAAAATTATCTGCAAAACAGAATCTTGCTTAAATAATATTAATTGTTTTGAGCCCTCACAACAATTCGCACACACGCCCCTCTCTTTTTTTCTTTTTAGGATCTTCCTTACCCTGAGCATTAGTGTGTAACATTTTAAAAAGCGCATGATAAAAAAATGGAAAACAAAAAGCCGAAGCTTACATAATTACGCCCTTTATCAATAAGCCTACAAAATTTAGTATGAGTTATTAGGCTACATCAGGGACAATATTATAGCCTTGGTGAGTTATTACTATGGTTTGGCAACATTCACTTACGAGTATTAGTTGTAAATCTTTTCTGAACGCGTACCTGATTCTTGCAAGCTTAGTATTCAATACCAAGCTTCTATTCCAGACGCGACGGTTTCTATTATTTTTTTAACTCTTGATTATCATGAACTCGTTGATTGCGAATATAACGATGGACTTGCTTGTTCTCACGTTGGTTATTCTCTTGCGCACAAAATAATATAGGCCAAGTTCGCTTTGCTTACCTTAGGGTAAGGATCTAAAGTAAAGCTCACGCTAACTAGACACTTGTTGTCGTTGTACTTTTCCTTTATCAATAATGTAAAACGACAGACGAAAGAGAACAATCTCTTTGTTTTGCTATGGGAAATTCTGTCCAAAGAATTGAAATATCTAGAGTTTTTAGCTGATCATTCCAAGTAAAATCTTTGTTTTTGAAAATGGACCAAAGTAGTTAACTGTTTACAAAGAAAATCCGATAATCACTCTATCACTCTGTAACACACTAATCATTCCCATTGAGCATGGCGACAAAAGCTTTCGTGACACTGTTCTCGCCTGGAGAAGAACAGATGATAGCACCAGCACTTCATTACGTGATCAGCGCCCTCTACAATTGTTATTCTTTAACTCTTCTTTCGTATTTTTAAACAAAATGCGCGATCAAGTCCGTAATATTCTTAAAGCAATGTATGAGAGAAAACTCAAACAACAGTCAAAGGTAAAAAATGAAAATCTCAGTCATCTTGGACTTCATAATCATGCGTGTATTATAGTTACTGTTTGATTAAAAATAAATTTCAGAAAGAGGATAAAATTATGACGTGTATGAAAAGAATAATTGGCGCATATTAAAAAAAGTATTTACGCAAAGGTTAAAAATAAAATACGTGCGAAGGAGGCGACATACAAATGAGAGTAATAAGTACCAAGGAGAGAATATAAAGAATTATACAGTTAGTTATGTAAGAAAATTATTACATACAACTTACCCCGAAGGCATCTAGATGTGTCCTAGCGATAACTAGGACGGGGAATCATCGTCTAAACGTATTCTAGTTCTTGGTTGCTCCTGATCGTCCACTCTTCTTCGACATCTTGTAGGAGCAACAGCAACCCGGCGAAACCCATGAGGAACCATGCCATTACGTCGAAGCTTACGAAGGATGTGCATGTAGTTGAGACAAGCAGCAACATCCTTGTTCCATAAGCGATATCTATCTGGAGCTGTCATGGCGGGTCTACAGTATAGATTGGTACATCTACAAGCAATGTTCAATCAGTATAAAGTCATACAAGTGGTTCATGTACTATTACCTTAAAAGGCCATGGCAGACAACAGTAGGATATCGCTCACGTTGATACGGTCATGGATTTGGAACACGACGGAACGTGTGGAGGCTCTCGTTGTGGCATGTTAGACAGCACCTACTGGTCTTGTACTCGTCTATAAGATAGACTTGGAACCCATGTTTCTTGAGGAGTCTTCGGAAACCAAGGCCACGGATGTGCTCACGATACCTAGCATGGGGAGCGGACCAGTTTCCCATCACAAACACGGCGTCTTCTCCAACTTGGCGCGTAAATCTTGAATAAGCTTTTGATCGGCACGTTGTCTGTTGAAGTATGCTGAAAGACGGATCTTGCGAAAGAGGGGGTATCCATTATCATGGTTTGTGATGGTATGTCCATAGAATCGACTAAGAACGGCAGACTGTTCAGATCTGGCTTGAAGGAAGCGGCCAAAGTCTTCTACGGATACGGTGCTGCTTGGCTGTTGAGAAAGGGCTTGCTCAGCTTGAACGACATCAGGATCCTGGGCTTTGAGATCTTGCAAGATTCGACGGTACTTTTTGGTTTTCCACGTCTTGTCTTGCTGTTGTTTAGTGTACCGAAATTTCACTGGTTGCTCTGGTGTAGAGTTTTCATGTACAAAATACAACATATCTCTTCTTCCTGGGTCCACAGCGACGCATCGACCAGAAATCTCTTGATGATTTCGACGAGTTAGATTGGTGATGTAGGAGGTAGCTTTATACTCCACTGTGAACCTTGCCGTGTATCTTTTTTGCCTGTCGAACCTCTTCTTGAGAACCGTGACACCAACGCCATCAGTTTGAATAGTGCCACGGAATCTAAGTTGTCTACCTTCTTGCGGCTTGAGAGCTTTTGAATCAAGGTTGACAACTCGGCGCCAGTAGTCCAGTTTATCGACAGCATTAGACCATCGAATTCCCAGGATGTTTTGGCAGAGAATCTTGCTGTCGATAGTAACGTAACAAGGAGACCATGAGCGCCGGAGAGGAAAACAATTGAAGACGGACAAACCAAGATGTACAAAGAGACGAGAGAGCTGATAGATGGCCTTAAAGTGGTTGACAGGGTTACGCTTGACATCATAGTAAAGTCCCTGTTCGCCAAAGTTGTAGCCTCTATCATAAGCATCAAAAACAGGCCGAAGAGTGTTAAGAGCTTCCATATAAATAGGTTCTTGAAGGATTTGTTCCATATCTATAGGTTGCTGCGAAATAGCCTGCTTGAATGTCTGCGCTGGTAAAAAGATGTCTTGACGGATGCGGTGCTTGACTTCGTCATCATCCATACCTTGTGCAGACAAATCTCGTCTCAAATCTGCTGTTCGTTGCCGTATACGAAGTAATGCGTTGACGGCACGTCGAAGGTGCTGGCCAAATCTAAGGTGAATGTTGTTGGCGTAAGCTGTGTAGATTTTGATGCCTTCGGTTATAGCAGATTGCTGAGCATATACGAAGTTGGGCCTCTGGTAGCTGGTGATTGTAAGGTAATCACCCAAGTACTGATCGATTACGGCA